ACAAAGGAGTTTTTGAGAGTTTCTCCCCACAATACCCAAGCAATTTCAAGCAGACAGGTGATGAGAATAACGAGAAATATCAATTAGGGGATTATCAGTTGTTCCAGTAACAAATTTTCAGAACTAAAATCACAAGAATTGTACAACAGTCAGTAAGGAGAACTGCTCATGAGATCTTGGGAGTGAAAGGGTTAATTTATGCTGTTGATGTGGAAGGTTCGTATAGGATAATGCCCGATCATTATTAAAGTGTAACACGGTCAAAATACAGGTGTTACATCAAATCTCAAAACAACCATAATTGCTTTTTTATTTTTTTCAATCTAAGACCTCTCACAAGATTTATAGATATTTTTTTGAGAAGGCTCTAGACAGATGTTCAATAGCAAGCTGGCATTTTAAGTCAGAAACTAAGTGGTTGTTCCTGTAGCATTCAAGCAGACAGACATTCAGACAGGCAAACAGATAGACAAACGGAAAGATAAATAGGCAGGTAGGCAGACAAGCTAACAGGCAAATAGGCAGACAAACGCATAGACATATTCTAGAAAGAGAACAGAAAAAGTGTTTGACTGTCTAATTGACTATGTTATCGTGTGTCTCTTTCAGATGTGTCATCATCCACGAATAGCAGTCATGTGACATCATCCATAGGTAGCAGTCATGTGACTGTTTCCACGACTTGGTCTTATCCGTCGAACTGCTTTAGTGTCTGCGTATGTGTTGGTTCCGAAGGTGAGCGAGTTAGGCGACCTCCTTCGAGGGGTATTATTATCTCAATTGTTACACTGCAGTTTTTTAACCAGTTGGCGTAAACGGCGGGTTAATTTCAAGTATTTATTCAAATCTCTAAGTTTCATAGAACGAAAACGAAAACAAGAAGGACAAATTTGACGGACGACAATTTATTCATGCACTTAAGCCGGATGAAATCGATTTGATCTGAAATTTTCCTTTGACAGGATAAACGTTTGGACCTCTCTCTTTTCTTGAGCTTTGCTAACAGATGAAATGTCCTATGCCAAAAGGAAATCTTCTTGAACCTTTTGATTCTCTAGCTTCAGATCACGTGACAAATACTATGACGTGACATCAGAGAGAAAATTATGGAAAAAATGAAATTATCTCTGTTTTAGTTAAATCATTCTGATTGCATTCGAATCCATTATCGATCGATTCAATTTTCAAGTCAATTTCTCCGTTCATTAAGTCGATCACAGACAAGAAAACCTGCAGGCTATGCGATTTGAACAATATTGTACTGATAATTTGGTTTTTATTGACTGAGCTGATAATGTAAACTGGACTCCGTAAAGAGTTCCTAAGCTGACTTTTCGAGCGTCAGCCGTTTGTTAGAGCGATTCGTACGGAGTTGAACATAGTAGCCACACTAACGTTACATATCTATTACAACTATTGTCTCGGAACAATACTACTATGAATTACTATGAATATTGACATTTAGTGAGCATGATGAAAGTTCAGTCATGTTAAAGTTCTTAGTAAAAGTATGGGACGTTTCTGATCACACCGGCGAGTAATATATAGGTTATATTCAAACTTTCTCAAGCATCATCCAACTTCATGCACCATCGCTCAACACGGTAGCCGCATCAGTCTAATACTTTGTTGGATGGTGTTGCACAAGCATGTTCGATCCTTTTCGTAAAGCTTTTTATAAAGTTTCCTGTTATACTTATTGGATCACCAATACTTTGAAAGGTAATACGACATCCTCCGTGGCAGGATCCGCCACCTCCATCCTTGCAAGTTCTCCTTCGTCTGGAGTTAACATGTCGTATTCAACAAATACAAGTGTTTTTGGAACAGCCAGCAACGACTATTCTTTACGACATAAAACCTCATCCTACATCTTCGCGCGTCCTCCCTCGTCTAGTGTCACCATATCATATTCAACAAATGTTATTCCAAAGAACAGCAGCTTCTCTTCTTTTCGATGCGCTCTGAATTCTTCGCCCTCTCTTCCCATGTCCACGGTTTCTATTCCTGCTGAAACCTGCTCGATCGAAGTTCACTGCACTAGTAAGTAAATTAAATTTTTCCTTGAATGTTCTTCTGGGATGTATAAGCAAGCTGAATAAAATAGGAAATTGGTGAAGTAGAAACAATCCAACGACAAGAAATTCGCTCCTTTGTGTATGAAAACCTGAGTTCTACACATTTCAGATTGTCACTAAAATAGACTCCAATTCATTTCCAGGTGTTTTTTCTGTATCGGCAACCTTTAATGGAGGAAACCCACATACTCCAGAAGCACATCCATCCACTGGTAAGTATCTTTTAGGTACTAACTGACGTTCTGACATAAGAATCACCCACCAAGTACGTAAATGACAGAGTGAGAGACAGACCGACTGAATAATAGACTTGCTGACTGACAGAATGCCTTGTAAGACCAAAAGACCAACAGGCCAACTGACTAAGAGACCATCTGACTGATAATTGATTGACAGAGATCTGACTGACTGACTGGCACTTAGTCGCTTGACCGACTTAAATTTGCTTTGATTTAGGGCCAACAGTCGTACTGATCAGATGAAAGACTGGCTGATATACGAAATGACAAACTGGCTAACACACTGAATGACGAAAGAACTTACTGATCGGGTAGATGGTCGACTAACTGACAAATGGCTAACTGTTTAGCCGTGCGCAGATTAACCGACGAACTTACCAATCAACTGACTGATTAAGATAACTGGCTGATAAGCCAAAGCTGCTGCGGGAAGGAGGCAAATGAACACTCAGGGGGTAACCAATTTTTTGAAAAGTAATCGAAGTGAGTTTTAAACAATAGCATCTGACCATAACTTACTTTTCAGGAACTCAACAAACGCAAACTGTGATCTCTGATCACGTTGCAACGACAATGTCGGGTGCTGTTACATCCTCCATCGCGTATACTTCTTCAACAACGTCCACGGCTACTTCAACAAGTTCGGAAAATACACAGATTTCTTCAGTCCCACCTACTTCCTTTGCGTCATCAACTGTTGCTGATGATTCTACCACAGCCACTTCGAGCTCTAGTGCCGAGGAAACCTCGACGGAAACTATTTCAACACATTCTACTGCCATTTTGACAACTTCACAAATTTCCTTGACTTCTTCGATTTCAACTATTTACTCTACAACTTCTGCTATTTCTCATGGTACTGAAGCATCATCGACGGACACTTCTACAAACTCGGCTTCTCCTTCACTTGTAACAGTTTCTTCCATATCGTCTTCTCTTACTCCTTCAGTATTGTCAACTTTCTCGACACCATCGATTTCATCTTCGCCCGCAACGTCCTCGATTACTTCAGCGACAACCATCAAGGTATCCTCAGTGGCGAATCCTTCCTTTACAAGCCCATCAGGTACAGCGAATTTATTCCTCTTTTCTCTTGATGCCAATACTGAATTTAAATATTTTAACCGACTGGATTTAAAGGCCCATTTGGATGTCTGAAATAACATGTGACTAATTCCAATTTAAACTCAATATCATTTGGCTTAGCGTTTGACGACAAGTATTTCATTTCATTTAAAAAAAGATGGTAAATTTAGAGCTTGATGGTAAAATTAGAAAGGATGGCACTTATTTATCACAATCAGGAGAAACAATAATACCTAGGTACTTGGACTATATTTTGACCATCATCGTGCATTGAAAGGAAAACTACGCTTCGTTTTTAGAATGGTCCAAAAAAAGTCATTAGAGCTTAATCCAGAAAGTGTAACGAATATCTATTTACTTTTAAGCTTCTTCTTTAATATCCACGACCTCTCCAGACTCAACTTCAGTAATTTCGCCGAGTGCCACTGTGACTGTGTTAGCATCATCGAGTGTTCAGATTGTTTATGCGCCCGCACCGCAAGTTATCAGCGTTAAGTTCAGTGAGACAGCCGCAAAAATTCTGATTCAGTTTAATGTGGAGGTGCAGTTTGTCAGTGCAGAGGAAACGTGCGACGAATTCTTTATTCCTGCGACATTGACAACGCTGGGCAGTTATCCTCAGTGCCGCCTAAGCCATACGCAGGAATTACAAATAATTCCTGGAGTTGGTGCAAACATATCAGTTGGAGACTTACTAGAGTTTAAGGCTGGCGTGTTCAAGGCCCGTAATGAAGAGTACGGCAAGTTTCTCAATGGTTCGTTTGCTGTTAATTTACCAGATGTTCCTTTGAAACCAGTGCCAGTGATCAAAGGTGAGCCAATGGAAGCTCAGGGACACTAGCATCTAGTAAAGGGCGTTTCCATGTCTCCACATAGTGAAAACTAACGTTAATATGTATACCATTATTTTGTGTCCCTTAAAATTCAGCTTAAAAATGCAGTGTTCTGCTTTCTAAAGTGACAAAAATGTAAGTTTAGGTCAATTAAGTACATTGAGCGGAGGTGATTTTCTAGTTCTCTCGGCAAAGGCCAAATAAGCTGTTCCCCTTTATTCCCAGGTGTGATTAGCATGTAAAATTGTCATCAAATCAAAATTAGTTGACAAGAAGAAAGGAAAGTAATGAAAAAGGGATCTTTAGGGATACTACCTTAATGTAATTTAATTTTTTTGGGATTTGCCAATAAGGAAAGGTTTAGTCTGTATATGGAGGAGGCAAAAGGGGAGGATTGGTGCCTAATAAGTCAGCTTGCTATGTCACAGTCAACTTAAATAGGAAGTATACGTAAAGAGGTTGAGAATGTACCGAGAGAACCATTCGAAAACTAAAAGTTCTTTTCTTTTTTTATTTGTCTACTCTTTCACTTCTTAGGTCCCAACGTTCTTTCTTCTTGTGGTAATCTCTCCCTCTCTGGAACTCAGTCCTTTGGTAGCGGCGGCCGACCACTCATTATCAAATGGTCTCTGATATCGCCTAACTCAGGAAGTGACTTCATAGCTATAACAAATATCCTCAGTAACCTAAGTTCACAAGATGACCGCGTTAAAATCCCAGGATCTCTCTTTGAGGCTAACAAAACATACCTATTCAAGCTCGAAATGGCCAACTTCCTAAATACGTCACGCTTTGAAGAAACTTCTCATTCAGTTATTAAAGTGTCTGATCCAGTCCCAGAGCTGACTCTAAGTTCCAGCATCGACCTAAGTGAAGGGGAAGTGTTTGTTTCAGAAGATTTCCATATCAGGACAACCGTGACTGTAAGTTTGCGGCTCCCTCTGCGGTTTCTCCTAGGCTGAGTTTTTTTTAGCCACAGAGACTACTGCTGTATAATTTTGTAAAATAGTAATATCTTTGTAATTCCTTCCTGCACAGTATGCTGGTGGTATTTCGGAAAATTAATAAAATTCTCCATAATCTCCCGTTCTGCAAGAAATATAACCAAAAGCTTCTTCTATTTCTGGTAGACATTTGCTTTACACAAGCATCTCTTAGCCTAAAGGTGGACCATGCCCAAGGACATTAGAGCACCCGAGGTTTATTCTGTCTCTACCGAAATAAGCCAGCAAAATGAGAGTTGAAAGCAATGAAAAATAATCTGAGGGAAAGTCTTCTGTTAGATAAATGCCTACTGTACAACACTTGAATATGGAGAATATTTCCTCCATTCTAATTCTCACTTCCTTACTCACCATGCAGGTTGCTCCTTGCGCGAACGATACCAGAGTAGACTTTTCTTGGGCTGTTACATGCAGTAATGCTAGCGCTAAAAAGAGGGTCGAGTTCAGTGCTGCGTTCAATGCCACCAGATACCAAAGCACTCTTAAGATAACTAGGGGCCTGTTAACAGGTGACGTCAACTGCACATTTACTGTGACTGTAAGGATGAGGTACAATCCTAGTGTTAAGACCTCCATCAGCCAAGTCATCAAAGCCTTGCCTAGTCCTCTGGAAGCCGCTATACTTGGAGGTAAAAACAATTTTGTGACATCTAGAAAGTGAGAAGAAGAACAAGAATTCGTGTTCTCTCGGTGGTTGATAACCTAACAGTTATTTTTAGAGAGCCAAAACTTTGAACCTCAAGTGAGGTTGATCTACTTAGTTTTAGGGTATTTAGTGCCATATCATAGCAGATCTTAGTGGAAAATTAATTACGAACCTGAGGGATCATCTCTCGATTGAGGGCATTAAATCTAAGCCAAACGAAGTAAATTAACAGTGCAAGACGAGGCAAGATCATGTAACTTCATTTAGTTCACTGACTGCCAGGAAAAAACCTGTGAAGAAGTTCCCCGTATTAAAGAAGAAACCTCGCGACAATCTATAGTTTTTTCCAATTTTCTCTTATGAATTGAAAATTGTAATGGAGAATCAATTTATCAAAGATTTTTTTTTCATCTTAAGAACTGTCTAAGCGTTTTTTCAACTCTATCGCTTTTCAATTCCTAGGTGATCGATTAATTGGTCGTAACAGTGGTTCGATTAAACTAGACGCCAAAACATTGACCATCGATCCTGATGGAACGAGACATGAGTTATCTTGCAGCTGGAGTTGTGCAGTACAGGGCGGCGGCTTATGTAACTCCACCGTGAATAATGAATTGATATTTTCTGCTGTAAATGGATGTATAATCGCGGTGCAGAGTAACCATTTCTTTGCTGGGAAGACATATATAATCAGGTTTGTCCCAGAATTAATACCAGTTGCTTACATCTCAAAATTAATAGAATAGAAGTAATAGTCGAAAAATAGCAGATCTGAATGACAAAATTATCGCGCAAGCTTTTGCATGCTTTTAGAGTTTCTTTTATTAGCCTTTACTTAACGTTAGCCCATATCTTTCTATACCGAATTTTTGCGAATTGACACAGATTTATGAGTATTTTTTCAATTATAGAAAGAAATTCACCAGTATTCTTATTCAGGAATAAGTTTAGTGCTTATTTCTGATAAATGATGACGATGGGTAGGGCGCTGGATCAGTAACAGCAGTGTTTGAATCTCTTTTGTGGCTTATTCAGCGAACAATTTTAAAGTTAAAAAAAGCTCTCCAAATTTATTCACTGAACGTTTAAGAACGGTGTTAAGTATTTCAACCTTTCTAGAAAATTTAGGAAAGAGTTAGTTTGGGAAACACTGGATGTGATCTTCCATAGGCTTTCCACATAAAAAGAGGTCTCGGCAGTCATGTGACGATCCTTTATCTGAAGCATTGCGTTCCTTCTAATGTCTTCAAGCAGCTTTTCTTCTTTTGACGACTATAATGATATGCTCAGTTTTCGCACGTTTTTTTAATAATTTATGTTCAGTATGGATGTGACAAAAGGTTTCCGTTCCGCTGCGGCCTCCATAAAACTGACTGTGGTGGAAGGTAACCCACCAGCTGTTTGGGTGAATGTAGCGCACATAAGGATGAACTCAAATGATAGACTGAAACTGCAGGGATACTACAAAACAAACATAGAGCCTGCTAAGGTGGAATGGAGCAGTTCACAAGAACAAGGTGTGTCGAATGGAGATGATTAACATAACTCAACCTGGTATCGGTATTTTTGAACAGCTTGGGTATTTTATTATTAGGAAATACCTTACTTGGTAAAGAATTACCATCGGACTCCTTGGTCAAACAAAGAACTTTGAAATTCTTTCTTTTTCCCCACAAGCAAATCATAAATGACCAAGTAAGAGTTCGTGGCGGACCTCCCTGATTCAGCCATCCAAACAATTCGTAAATACAAATACAGTTCTTGCCTTACCAAAATAATCATGTCACTTCGTATGCTTGTTATTTCCTGGAGGTGGAGGTCAGTAAAGTCACAAGCGACTGTTTTTCTCTTTTCTCCAGGATTTTCTTTCGTAGAGCTGAGTGGTTACAATCCGGCCACGTCGTTTAACCCTGGAAACGACTCATTTGTTCTCTTGACGTTGCCTGTAAATCTTCTCAAGCCCGACTCTAAATATCGATTCAAGCTAACAGTCAATGACGGAAGTGAAGAGGGCGTAGCGTCTTTAACCGTAGAAGTAAGAAAAGGCCCCACTGCCCGTCCGTCTGCCGGATTATCTGTGTCGCCAAGCTCCGTCCAAGCACTGGATGTTGTTACTTTGTCAGGTGAGTCAACGGAATACTTATCGTACTAATCGCCATAGATCAATGCAACTTTTTTAAGAGTTGCTAACGCCACGAGAATGCCTCTCTATGAATTATGCGAATTTGTTATAGAATACGATCTAATGGTTGTGTCCATACGATTACACTATACAAATTCCATTATCGGTATCTTCCGTTTCATTTTATTTCGCCTCTATCTTACGCAGCTCCTGGATGGGAAACCGACTTGGATGCTTTTCCTCTACGATACTCGTTTGGCTTGCTGGTCGAAAAAGATGTTTGTGAGACCTTTGGGATTCCCTCTAGCGATTCTGAACGAGAGCAGATGGTGCCTCAGGGATCCGGTCCAGATTACATTCTTCCCCTGTGTGTGGTGGTCTTGGATAAGTTTGACTCGTTTAAAATAGCAACGTTTAACATCACCTCAAGTCCACCGAGCAGCGATGTTTTGACCCCGGATGCTCTGGAAAGGTTGCTTCAAAATGCTGTTGATGATCCATTGCAGAGTGGTAATGTGGATGCAGCCCTTGGCGCTGTTATGAGTATCATGGGCACTGTGCAGCAGTCTAATAACACCCAAGGTAAATCATATTGGAGGAGTGCTGTGAAATTTACATCTAAAATAAAGATATGATCCATGCAGGAGAGCTGCAATCAAAGAAACTGACTGGAAATATTAAGGTTTCCTCAACCTGTAGCTTCGCACTTCAGTTGTTAAAAGTACCCGACTAGTTTGTGAGAGAAAAAGACTCGAATACTGTTGAAGCCATCGTTTTGCAGGCTTCATTCATTGCAAATCACCTGCGTGGATCCTTGCTTTACTTCTACATTTAATGGCGGAAAATATACTTGTCAAGAGACTTTAACTATATGTAATCATACATACAGTAATACCAAAAAATAATAAATACAGATGCGAAGGACGCAAAAAAATACTTAGACGCCACAAAACAAAGAAGCCACATCAATAAAAAATAATTCATTGACTCTAAACTTACGTGTTTAGATCAGCTCATGCAAACATATGAAATGTCTTCCATTGCATTCTTCAGCATGGAATGATTTATCATGCCCAGGTGATCACTTGTTAATTGACATTGTTGCCTTTAAAACTCCAAATTTCAGATGAGGTTAGGAACAACATTTCTCGAAGAACAGAAGAAATTGTCTTCGATATCCTTGAGTCCACTGTGATCGACCAGGATATAGCTTTTCCCCTTTTGACTGTTCTCGTCAAAACGAATGTAACAGCATCGGATAACAGGTAGACTAAAAGACATGATATTTTGAAACCACGAATATATCAGATGTATTATTTTATTCATTTTTCTTGAAGGAGTTTTTCCAACCTACTAAAATCTTGATGATTACAGTTAGAATACAATTTGGCTTTCAGAAGAGCATTCATGCATTTTTCAAATTGAATTTGGTGTTAAACCAAATCCAAGATTCAATTCCAGAATTTTGGAAAATTTGGGAGATAAGGAAACGATGAATTGGTAAATTCTTACCAATTTATATCTTTGCAAGTTTTCTCCTCAAGCTGTCTTCTTAAATTAGGTCATCACAGCCACTGCTTTAATTCACCTATGAATTAATATTGTTCTTTTTGCTTTGAATAAATATATCTACAAGACACAGTAAATAGCTCGTTTAAAATATGGACATTTCTCTTCCTCATGCGTTTCTCCAGTTGTGCAAATGGTTATACGAGGGTGGACATAACCGAAGCGTAAAATGCGAAATATTAACGTGAAATGTTTGACAGCTCTAGGACGGCCAACGCTGCAGTGATTATTCTGCAAGGGCTAGACGATAAACCAATTCCTGACAATTTAGCTGGGAATTTTTACTCGTGGATTGCTGACCTTGCAGACGATTCTATTGACAACAACGACGGCTTAAAAGAGGTAAGAGGTGATATACATGTAATAAATAACGTACTGGCCTAAATAATTTTGAATTTACAGCATATTATGCGCTAGCACGTAGATGCGATTTTATTTTCGAGTCTTGCCTTTTTCCGTCATAAATGAGAGAAGAGAACGAGTGCCAGGGACTATGAACAAGCGAAGAAAAATTGATAGAAACTGGCAAACGTGAAATCGTTTGCTCACCATAAAGCAAACATTCGAATCATTGAGTAAAGACAATCGCAAAAAATATCTCGAAAGCACTAAATGCAGTGGTCACTTACTCATATACTCGAGTCGTTAGAATACTAGTTCAACTCCTGACTCCTTTGCAGTATTTTTTTTCCTGTTGGTTACGGTATGAAGCCAACAATAAAATGTAAAAACGCTAAAACGCTAGAATGTTATCATAAGCTCATAGTTTTTCATTCAGAAACTATAGTGTCCTTGAGGCAAAACCAAACTTGTTTTAGTTTGATCTCTTTGACTTTAAATAAACCTCTATTCTTAAAAATTTTTTTTTTTGAAACTATGAATTCTGGCAGACAGTGGGAGATGCTTTGGAGAAATTTGCAGATAACATTGGGACGGACTTACAGTGCGGGGATCCCCCTAGGGAAGTTTCCGATGATAGACTGGGATCAGTCAAGGTACAGGTGGCAGGATTAAACGAAGAAATCGTATCAAGCAGTAAGCCTGGTGCCCCAAGATTTGACCCGGGCCCACAACTCACTAAAGAGTACAGTGGCCTGAGGAAGTGCGGAGAGGGAAAAATCTGTTGTGGTGTGTTTCTGAAGATGGTTCGGTACAAAAAAGATCTAATTGTAGCAGACAAAAGTAAACAAAGGGATGACAGTCAAGTTGTCAGCTCTCAGGTAAGTATCAACAGCAGTAAGGCTAAGTAGTAAGCCATTTATTTTGGAGCCTATTCCAGTTTCGTCTCTTAGGAGAGATCGTACTTCTAGAAATCTTTTCAATTCTCCAAAATGCGATGCTGGTCAAACAATAGTCATCCTCCATCGTTCCTTCAGCTTTCCTGAGTTGGAGGAGGCACAGTGATAGAAGATTCTCTTGCTTAAGGCTCAACCTAAACCTGACGTAACTAACTGCAGCTCAGCACGCCAACCAAGAGGCGAACGAGTCCCTCAACAGCAGCGTCTTCCGTCAAATTAGTGGCTATGTTTTCCCCTTTATTTCAAATAATAATGCGAAAGTCACGCCATGAAATTGTTCTGGAATTTTGTTTTTAGGAAACCCCTGACTTCGAGGACACCAGGACGCGTTGCACAGTGATTCCGCGGCTGTTCGCTTAGCGCTTGAAAGCAAAGTCTGCGCGATTTGGCATTTGAAAGAAATATGTGTGCGCTTCTGTTCTTTCTATCCCTTGTAAACCGGTCTTCATGGAAAGTGAATAGGAAGAAAAAAACACGGGGAGATGAGTGAAATAAGATAACAAGAGACATTCTCATAAACCAAATTTGTCAGTTGTCAAGTACATCTCTAAAAGCCTCCGGAATTCGCAAGGTCGTCAAGAAGAAATCTGAGGTAGATTTTAACCAGGTCAAAACCCACATCATACAGATAATAAATATGTCAGTGTTTAAGTTGAGATTGAAGCATTTTATCATTCATTTTTAACAAAAATGTTTATTATTTTTTGTGATTTCTAGATTATTGGTGTGGATCTACGTGATCCTATCACAAAGACACCGATTGTGATTCAAAGCCTTACACATCCTCTGAAGCTGGTCTTTACCATATTATCGGTACCGAAAGACAAAAAACTTGGGTGTGTTTATTTCGATGAGGATAAAAAGGTTTGGGTAAAAACCGGTTTGAACGCAATAGGACTTGTTTCAAGCGAGTTTACTTGTGAATCCACGCACGCCACCTACTTTGCTCCGTCACACGATTCAGTCGTGACTAAAGGTAAGTTTGGCGAGGGCAAGGTCAAGTGTCAAGCCTACTAGCTACGCGAATGACGAAAGACACGACAGGTCTTAACCCTTTGAGTCACTAGTATCTGTTTTCTCCTGACAATATCACCCCTGAATCAAACAATATCATCACAAGTATAAAGGAAATGGTCACCAAATGAAAAAGCTCTTCATTATTGAACAAATTCTCCATGTCAGCACCTTATAAAATGGGCAGAGAGCAGTAAGGAGAATTTGCAGACTGATGTTAGGATGTAAAGGGTTAATAAGCGCAAAGGTTTCTATTCCATGTCCTCGCAACGTTTTCCAAAAGAATAAAAGGGCGTTAAAAACGGACAAGATTAATGCTGGGTACAAACGCGACAAACTTAAAAAACAAGGCAACACCCGAGATACAAAAACCCTAATGTTTCTTCTCCAGGTTCCGCGACCATTTCACATACAACTAAGAAGTCTCACTGTATCTTTTGCAGAGCAATCCTCGACTGACCTTACTCGCGGAATCGTTGGTTTGGTAATGGGTTTCTTGATGGGAATTGTGGCTGTACTTCTTGTGCTTTTATTCATCTGGTGGAAGAGAAAACAAAAAGTAACCACAGAGCTTCCACAACTCGACCACAGGCTTTGATATCCTGGCGAAATCAATTTAACAAATTAACACTGTCATCAAAATGTTGTGGAATCACTTGATAACACCTCGTGAGTCCAAAACAAATTTTGACCACTGTGATGATGAATATCGTTGCCGATGAGGGTACAGACCACACTGCACTACTTTCGATTTTTTTTTTAACCACAATACCGACGTCAAACTTTCCGAGTCATTCATGTTTGAGAGCTGATCATGGCATTGCATGACACTTTGACGCGAGCAGCGTTGTCTGTATCTTATCGAAAACGGCAAATTGGCCAATAAGATTGCGACATTACTACCAATTGTGGTAAAATCATTAATTGCTACTTCTACTTCATAATTTTTCACTTAGTTATTGTGCTAAAGAGCCTTGTCTCGAGACATAAGACACTTCGGGTGAATCTTTGCTCTAACACACACTCCAGCATAGCTATTTTTAATCGCCATTTTTGTCAGCGGATAAACGTTTTAAAATGTGAGGATTAGACGGTCTACAGGGTAAGGTGTTGACTCAAAGTGATCGCTGTTAAATGCTTGTTAACTGTGGAGTCGTTTGGATGATGTAAGCCAGATGTAATATATAGTTTACGAGTTCAAACGGGTGAGATAATCAGGCTCTAACGTTAATCAGTTTTGTTCTGGCTTAATTTAATAAATCTTTTCATGGAGTTTTTCCCTTAGGTTAAATATAACCATGAGCCGGTTAGGTTTTTGATGAACAAATGGGAGCTCGCTTAGCGTGTTTAAGTAGTGCAGATGATAAATTATTGTTTGAAATAATTGGTTAGTTGATTAGCAAATTATTACCCACTCTATTTCTGCACAAAACCCCTCAATTATGTACTATTAAGTAAACATTATAAAACTTCATTTCCTGCAACAAGTGAGACTTTTTCGTGCACGTTTGAAATTTGAACATAACATTTGTTTTACCTAGTAAGACATGGACGCCTTTTTATTTAGATAAGGAAAATTTGGTAGAGAAAGAAAAACGAAAACAAAAACATGTCACGGTTTCAAAAATTGTCTTTTTTTTCTTAATAATTGAATACAGGATACATATATGACAGACAAACCGAGTGAAGTGTTTTTTAAAATACTTCAGAACTGAAATCTTTTACGTTTTAACCCATTAACTCCTAGAAGTGATTAAAATTTAACTTCTCCATATGACATCCATACATTATCCAGAAAACGGGCAATGGGAATCCTCAAACTTATCTTATATCTTATCAGATAGAAGTTGTTATCTTGACTTAGCACCAAATTCTTGTAACTAATATAAAGGGAAATTTATAACAGCTAAAGGGGAGAATTATCAATCAGATTGTGGTAGTTAAAGGCTTTAAAGCTTTAATCTCGAGAGAGTGCAGCATCTAACTCTCTACGCCTCTAACATTCTACGCATATTAGCCTCGGGACTCCAGGAAGTAATTAACTCGTAACTTTTCCTAATAGTATCCATATATTATCCAGCAACGTATCAGGTGGGAATTGTTATCTTGATCTAGCACCAAGTTCTCGTGACTCATTTACAAGGAAATGTGTCGCAGCTAGAGGGGAGAATTAACGATCAGATCTCGGGAGTTTACAGGTTAAAAGCTTTAATTTCGAGAGAGTGTAGTACTAAAAATCCCGTATTGCAACCTGGCTCTAACCTATTCATGCATTCGTCATTAGTAAGTCAGGAACGAAATATATTGTTGAGACGTGTTGACTGTATAATGACGTATGATATCATCATACGAAGTGGTCCACTCACGCATGACCACAACATTGGATGATCAACGTCGTGAAAGTGACGAGTACGACCCACTACTCTTTTTCAAATAGGGAGGAACATTTTGAAACCAATTAGAGGGATATTGGTGAGCGCTAAGTACAAAAGAGTTTAATTCGTTATTCCCTCTTTCATCTGGTACACTCATTCAAATTATAAGAGAATATAGCGTTGCTTCGAAGTATCTCCTTAAGTCAATGAAATCGTTTTATTTTTCATTCTGACTTTCTCTCCGCCATGGCAACATTAGAGTTGCAGAACTTTAAAACTCAAAGTTTTCAAAAGATGTCTCTTTTTCGCTTCATGCGGGATGGAGGAATGCGCGCCATATATCATCGGTGTTCTCTCCTGTAATCGAATGCAGAATTTATCAAAAATGACGAAGAGGAGTTTAGGTTGGAGAATATCAACCATGAGTGAGAATGATCATAACCATTTAAGTCTATTGGCGTGCTAATTTTCCCCAAGGAGCAGAAGACCATGGTGCAGTCCATTGATCATCATAAAGCGAAATAGGTAATTTATATACTGCATGGTTTCTGACCCATTTAGAGGTTTATAACCGAGTAGTAACATAACATGGCGGCAACCATCCTCTATGATGTTCAAAAGGTCTGGATCCACTTCAAGCCTCCATTTATCGATTTGTGCCTTGGAGTTCCGATTTGTTGACATGGCGTATCCGTTCTCCTCGTTCTCTGAGGTATGACTCTTTTGGGTATTCTTGGAGATTTCTCACAACTGTTATGTTGCAGTTAGACTTGCAAACATTTTGTATGTTTCTGGGGGTCAATTTGCCACGTGCTTTTGCGTGAGGATTTCTTTTCTCTGCCGTTGAAATTATTCCATTAGCTTCGGATTGTTTATCAAACTTAACTTCGCTGATGTGATGTTCGATAGCAGCAGCAGATATCTGCGAGGTCTCGCGCTTTATTGTCACTGGTTTCTTCTCCGGCGCATCAGCATTGTGTAGAATTGCTTTACGTGACTCGTCAGGAGTGTGTGATGGAAATGGCTGCTCATCGCCGTACTTTTTTTCACATGAATAATTTGCTCCTAAAGACATTTTTTTAAATCTTATTTGTTTCTTTGACCCACCGATGATTTCAACTTGTCTTGACTCTCGCATTGATAACGATGGATCAGTTTTTAAGTCAATGTCTTTCTGTCCTGGGCAATAAGCCCTCCATGATCAACGTCCTTTACTTCCACGAACATCAGATACGAAGTGCAGGTATAAACGACGATAAGGATTCCAAAGACGGGAACAACAAAAAATCTCCAGAGTAAAACGGTCGCTTTAAAGAAACCTTTGGAAGAAAAATCGTTTTGCAACTCAGTTGTTCCTGCTTTCCTTATGTGATGATCTCTTTATGCTGCAATTGATTCGCCGCTAACAAGTTAAGGAGTTCTGAAGGATCCTAGATATGCAAATTTTACAGATGCCTGGAGTCAACTCGTTATTAGAAGCATCCATGCGAGAAGAATGGCGTCTTAGCCGGATGGTTACAGGAAAATGCGTATAAAACATTAGAAACCTAAAATATATAGCCTTTGATTGAAAAGGGGGGAAGGGGGTGGGTAAACAAATACCAAAATTTTAAATTCATGACGAAATAGGTTCGAAGAAAACAATTTGCAAACTTGACTTTAGGGTAGGCGTCGGTAGGTGTTAACCCCTTCACTCTCAAGATCTGATTGTTAACTCTCCACACAGGCTGCTGATTGAACGAGTGTACCAGAGAAAGGAGAGAATAACTAATTCAACTCTTTTGTACTTAGTCACCAATATCCCTCTGATTTTCAGAATTGCCCCAATTTAACATGTCTCAACAATATATCTCGTTCCTGACTTTTTCATGACGAGTGCATAAATAGGTTAGATTCGGGCTGCAAAAGGGATTCTAGTATTGCACTCTCTCGAAATTAAAGGTTTAAACCCGGTAACGTCCGAGATCAGATTGTTAATTCTCCCCTCCCACTGCTAAAGATTTCCTTGTAACTTGTCACCGGTACTTGGTGCCAGATCAAGATAACAACTTCCACCTGATACGTTTGATTATTTCCATGATCTGTTCGCTAGATAATTCATGGTTATTATTGGGAGAAGTTACGTGTTTATCACAACGGGCTCGCGCATTTTTTTGTCTCTGAAAAATTTAGTCGCACTTATCAACACTAAATTGCACGTGAAATCATGTTGTTACTTACACTTATTTAATTCCGATTCCTTTTGTGATAGTTAGGAAAGGATAACATTGATGTTTACATACAACCGATTTCGATAAATAATATAATTAGTTTGAGTAATGAATCTGTTGTTGTTTAAAATCATGATGAACGAGTAAGTAAATGTTAATTGGTACCGTGCATAAAAAAAGTCAAATGGTCAAATAAATGCTTAGGATAAATAAATTGATATACGAGACTCTTTTAGTTAAAGTTTCGTTTTTCACCGAAAGTTACGGATGTTTCACGACGTACGATCCCACAGCAAGATCACGGATCACGCAAGGTCTTCACTTCACGGATCACAGATCAGCCCTGTACCACCCTGAAATCGGTAAACCGTCACGTTGGTCATTAGTTAATCATATTAATATGATCATAAAGCGACACTGTAAGGTTATACTGCGTTTCCTCCGACCTGTTTAGAAGTTTATAACCTAGCAACTGAATTAAAGGACGGCAACTATCTTCGATAACGTTAACAATGCAGGGATCCACCTCAAGCCTCCAGTTATCGATGTTAGCCTTTGAGTCCCGCCTTGTAGAGAAGTTATAGCCTTGCCCATTCTTTGAGGAAGTGTTTTGATTTGAAGTGTGATTTTTGATCCATCTGAGAGTATCATTATGCATTGTTATTCCAGATATTTTGTACATCCTTTGCAAAGTTTCAACCGGATTTCTAGCAAGGTCTTCGTAACGGAGCATGTGGTATCTATTGTTTGTTTTTTTGGTCAGCTTTAGAAAAGTTCTCACATTCGCTTCAATTTGACGACAGATCTGAGCACTATACATCTTTACACTTGGGCGAGGGGCGCCGTCTTTTGCAAGACCTCTGAAATAAGACCATGTTTTTATTCCCACTTTCATATGAGAAAAGACAACTGGACGAGGATCCCTAACCAGGTAAATAATCGAGCATGTGGTCCAATTACACAGAGGAAACAGTGACTCGACCTTGTTTCTGGGTATTCTAGAAGTGAGAATCTTGATGACTGTAACTTTATAGTCTAGCGTGCAAACGTTTTCCATGTTTAACGTGGTTAAGAAGGAGCACTTATTTTTCTTCGCTGTATTAAGGGACGTTTTTTCTCGGCACAATGGCGGCGAGGATAGTGCGTTACTCGAGAACCTTCGGAAATTTTGGATTTCTCTGACATACCTAAGAGAAAGAAATTTACAACCTAAAATTCCTGCAAGGAATTGCATCGGTCTAGGGTCGTGCTCGTGTTGCTTTGGGTCCAGCACAACTCCATGAAGAGGTTCGAATAAATAGAAAACATCCGGATTTTGGTTGAAAGCATCACCGAGGAATGATGAGCCTGTACGTGGTTCAGCTACAATAATAACAGTTTTCCTTTGTACTCGAGAAGCATCGGGTGTACGTCGACTAGTTACTTTTTCTGGTGGCTCGTTAAGAGCTGGGGCTCTTAGTCTGTTTCTTTCGTGGACAGGAGGAAAACCTGTGCTTCTTGAATGCATATTGCCAGTTGTCGGCGCCATTGTTGGGTGTCTGAGTAAATCATTATTGGCTGGCTTTGACGTTGCCGAACCTTTTACCCTCACGGTCGCAATTTCCTCGGTATTGGAAGTTTCCGCTTGTTTGTTTTCTATTATTCGGGATTTGACTGGGCTCTGTTGCACAGATGAATAACCCAAGGCAGGGGAATCCATATGCGAGGTTAATCTTGGCTTTTCAATGTTTCGGTTTTCATGATCAGCCACATCTGGTACTGGTGCTTTTAGGCTGTTTCCGTCATGAACTAGAGGAGAACTTGTGGCTCTTGTATGCAATTTGACAGATCTCTGCGCGATAACTTGGTGTCTGAGTACAGCTTTTTTGGTTGGCGTTGACGTTGCCGAATCACCTATCCTCAGAGCCACAATTTCCTTCGTATGGGATGTTTCCGCCTGCTCTTTTTTCTCAGCTTCAATATTAACAGCTTTCCTTGGCTCTGGAGAAGCATTAGGTGTACGACGGTAGGCTAATTTTTCTAATGAATCTCCAGGAACTGGGGCTCTTAGTCTGTTTCCTTCGTGGACAGGAGGAAAACTTGTGGCTCTTGAATGCAATTTGACGGTTCTCGTCGCGGTTGGGTGTCTGAGTAAATCTTTATTAGCTGGTGTTGACGTTTCCAAATCTCTAATCTTCACATTCACAATTTCCTCTGTGTTTAAAGTTTCCGCTTTTTGATTGTCATTTATTCGGGATTTGTCAGTGTCCTGCCGCTCAGATGAATTGTGCATGACGGGAGAATTAATCTGCGCGGTGAATCCTCTTTTCTCCGTAGGTCGTATTACAGTCACGCCTGGGTTATGCAACTTATCTTTAACATTTCTGTGCCTGTACGCGTTGGGTTCTAAGTGTGGATCCCTAACATCATTTGACTGATATTTTGCATATGTAGTTTGTTTTTCCACGTCAATATCAGGGGTAGCGGTGAATATCGCCTCTGATTGTTTAGTAAAAGTGTTGAATTCCTTAGTGTTGTCTTTCACTACATTATCGGTGGTGAATATTTGTAATTGCTCATCGTTTTCCACATCTTCGGCTGGTTTGAGTTCCTTAACAGTCCTTCGTGCCCTTTGGCGGCTACTCCATATATCCCAAACAGCGGGAAACTTTGATTTCTTAGTGCGCTCAAGGCCACGGGCTACTGAGATTTTACCTTCCTCCGAACTTCGTCGCAAGGGCGAACTTTCATCGCTGATTCTGTTGAGTAAATAATCCTCAGGTCTAGAAGACATCGGCAATGGATTGAATGGAATATTTTTCCCAGCTTTCAGTCCGGTTCGTTTCTTTTTCCTAAAGTATGTCTTTTTCTCTGGAACGGTCTTTGCCAAGTTAAAATCACGTTGTAATCCTTCTCGAGTAACACTTTCTCTCTTATCTTCATCGACGTGTGCTAAGAACAGGAACGAAGTCAGCAAAGAAGCTATGACAAGTATACCAAAAAAGCGAATTAAGAAGATATTTCTCCTCAAAATTGTTATCATGACGAGTCTTCGAAGGCAGCTCAATGTAGTCATTCCTAGTGTGTTCGTGTGTTTGTTTATCGCGGTGGAATTTGACCTCGATTTGGGATTGTGTTCCACGTCAGCAAATGCTTCTGTTTCATGTGACAAATACTTCTTTAAAATGTTAGACACTCGCACTGGCTTCTCTCACGGTATGCCAAATACTCCATTCACTGTGAACAGAGAGCGGACATTTCAGATATTTCTTCGACGAAATGCATCGTCATGGCACGGGTATCCCAAGCTCATGTTTCGTGAAAAGGGAGAGACGTATGTATTTGTTCATGAAGGCGTCACGAGTTGTGTTACGCGGTGTTATGTTGCGGGAGGAACCGTTAAGAATTTAAATCCTACATAAGAAATAGTGTAAGGAACAAAATATGTCGATTTACTACGCTAAATATTCCGAAATACGAACGGTTCGTTGTGGACTCTGTTTGTCTCTGCCGTTTAGGGCTTGCTTTGCCATCACTCCGTTTAATCAGGAATAAAAGTGATGGCATAGCAAGCAAAAAGCGGAAGGGATCACCGGAAACCACAACTGACACACACTGAATGAGTAATTTTTATCAATATTTTGACTAAACGTTCATGTTACGGAATATTTACCGAGGTCAATCGTTCGTATTTCGTTTCCCATACAATTCCTTAAACGGGTTCACAACGGTTCCTCGCGTAGCCTAACACCGCGTAACACAACGCGTGACGCTTTCATGAACAAATACATACGTGTCTGGGATTTCTCGAGACGTGAACTTGGAACGCCTGTGAAAGATGGCTTTCTTAGAAAGTCAATATTCAATACTGCTTCAGTCGGCCTGAGCTGTGCTGAAAAGTAGGCTAGCGTGACTTATTCTAAGGGTAAAGACCTGAACATCGCACACATCACACCACCTAGCATCACATCACAAGGGGTGTCTGGTATATTACTGCCCACTCAAGAGAAAATACCGGAACAGCCGGTAAAAATGGATTTATATAAGCTGCTGTTAACAACTGCGACAGACAATTTTGTCAATTTACAAAGACGTGACGTCCGCTAAAAAAAGGTGGGGAAAGCACAGCCTCCTCTTTACATGAGCCCAGTAGACCGAGCTGGCATATTTACGGTACGAAATGGGTTCAAGTGGGAAATTTCAGGCGCTAATTTCCTGAGGACTAGTTTTTGGCGCGAAATGTGAGAAACAAAACAAACGTGGCCGAACATGGACAAATCGTCTGTATAAAGCTTTGCCATCTCCACTCGCAGTTCCTGGTATTGGATTTGTTTTTCCGCTTTAAAATCAAGGCTTCTTTATTCTATTTTAGATTTGAAGTCATTTAAACATTCAATCAAGCTGCTGATCATATCTCTCCGCTGACAGAATGTTTTAGATTTCGAAGAAGAAGAAATCTGCTCGCTTGCCGCTATTGCTGTCCACGTTGTCTGAGGCCGTGCTCCGCCGGCGGCCAAATCCGTTACAAGCGTAGTTGGAGAAAATTCATCCCAGTAACCGAACCAAAGAGTTCATATTAGGAAAATTTCGGGAACCGAGCCAGACCACCTGCCCATATTAACACGTCGAGATTTTTTCAAAGGATTAGAGATGTGCCGAGATCTTGGAAACCGGGCCAGTCTAGTCAACCGCGCTCATATGAAGAGGCCCTCAAGCTTGATTTTCACTGTCGCAGGTGAACGTGCATTATACACGAAAAAAAAAAAAACAAAAAAAAAAAACGCACGTTGAAATGAACGTTCACCTGCGTTATCGCATTCATTGACTATAGGTTGTCATATTTCCTCTTCAACGCTTTTTCAAGTGCGCTTTACGCACGTCGCAATAGCAAATGTACAGGGTTAAACAATCTTCAACTTCATAAATTAAGCACGGGCGTGCAATTTTTGCAAATATAAGCAAATTACGCGTGGTGTTGATTTTTTACGCGGCAGTGGAGATTGCTCACGAACGTTTTGTCAACGCGCGTTTTACTTATGGATTAAAACCTAGGGTGCGCACCTAATTTTTCAGTTGGTCAATCGTGGGTGCATTGAAAATATAAACAAAACATTTATTAACAACAAAGTGTCAATCACATGGATGAATAAATTTAGCAGTATTCAGCTTAAGCGTAAAATTGGGAGACATAATAGTTGTATTCTGAGTATTCTGACCACTGATCGTCATGCAGCATCACGAGGTACAAATCTTCTATCTTCACCGTTTGATTGCCGCGGAAATTTTAAATACTGTGGCGGCCTTCTGCTTGAAAGACTCGCATTTAAAAGGTAAGACCAAGTTTTCTTGGTCGACCTGTTCCTTCAAATCGTGGCTTGTAAATTGAAAAATCTATCAGATTTCACGCCTGACAAAAATCCATCCTGCTCCGTGGCTTTGAATTAATGAGTTGTAGGAGAGGGGCATTGGGGTCCATTAGAAACCGCAAAACCGAAAAAATTTGGTCAGTACCGAAAACCGCATGCAACACCGTCAAAACCAATAAATTTTCATATCTTAGTTATCAAATTCCTAATCGATCCGATACAGTCAGTGACAAATGGAGCATAGGGAGGTTTCGCGGCTATTCAAGATCAGTGAAGGCGCTTAATTGCCGCTCAGATCGAGGAGAAACCAGAAGCCAAGTGGGAAAAACCGAAAACCACATTGGATACCAAATCTGAGAAGCCATTGGTTGTTGTTGTTTTTTTTTAAACTAAAACCGAAAGCTAAGTGCTAAAAAAACGGAAAATCTGCAAGCCGCAATGAACACCAAAACCGAAAAGCCGAAGTTTTTTGGCACAAAACCCGATTAACCGATCTAAAAAATAGCCAAAACTGCAAAACCGAAAATTCCAATGCCACCCTCTTGCATGTTGTCGGCGGATCTAGTTGAAATCGAAACTCACGCTTTAAATTCCAAAGTTGTATTTTGCCCGTGGATCGAGTTCAAAACCGAAATTCAATTTTGTCGGCGATTCGTCTCGAAGGCTATTGCAAAGACTTGACTTTGAGCGAGGAATTTAATGTTCAAGCGAAGACTTGAATGTTGGTGTTGTCCCGCTCCAAATGTAGACTTCATTAGAGATCAAAGACGATTTAATTGTAACTATAACGACAGTATCAAAAAAAAAATTTTGCTATATTGATATTGGTCCAAGGTGTTGTAATATTTTCATATGGTGCCTTAGTCTTGCCTTGCTCTGCCTTCGTTCGGTACCTTCGTGTCCGCCATTACGAATAACAACGGCGGTGCTGCACATTACAAGACACAATAAATTACACTCTGAATTTTAATCATTCGCGACGAACTCACGTAAACGACGAAAGAAGTCTTTTTCCGAGTCACTGCATCCCAAGAAAATGTCATTTGATTTATATGTGTGTTATTTCTTTCTCAGTACGTTTCGATGATATTGTTGAATAGCGCAAGAGGAGATCGCTACCAAGTTCAGTAAGTTACAATATTCTGATTTAAACTAGTTGCCATTTTGAACGTGAACGATCCAAATGTATAGCAAAAATACTGCTCACTTTCAGGCAGAGACGCTTAGGCATAGAAATACTGTGACGAGCCGCTTCGTGTGTGCCTGTCACTGCCCTGTCTTTACCGCAATCATACAAAAAACTGCATGCTTAGTATTAGAGTATTCATAGGTCGAGTAATTCCTCTGATTCAACTGTCTTTTATTAAATAATCAAGATAGTATATATACTATACAATACTCGTAATGAGTTATTTTACTTTTACTTAGAAAATTAGATTTACGACGCGATTGAGTAATAGGAAGTGTCCTTACAGTGGTAACGCTATGTAACGAAGCACACTACACATCATGATAGTAATTCGAAGTTGAATCGTTTCAGGGAAATATATTCGTTCGAAAGGACTCACAAGATTCTTACAAAATTTCTCCTTTCTCACGGAGTAAGTTCTCACTTCGATCGACCTTACTCCCAGGGTCATTGTTCCCGAGTCTTGTTGTTTGTTTGGTTCTGACCTAACCTTAGGACCCATCATTCGAGATGATTGTAAACTCTTGAGGTGAGAGTTATTTTTGTAAAGGTCATCAAACTGTGACAGATCGGAAATTCAATAGCAAACAATTTCACGCGGGTTTAGTAAAAAATTCTGATAATTTCTCGAGCCTCTGAGCTTCTTTTGGTATATAGATAGTCTTGTTGCTGTGAAAAATTTTTTCGAGTCGTCAGGCTATGTAAATTATTGGAATATTGACAAAACGCACGTGAAACAATTTCCATATTTCACGAATTTACTTTTGTTCACCTCACCGGTGACAAATATGTTTCTCACGACTGAATTTTTTATTTGTTTATTTTATCGAAAACTCCTAGGGGTGGGAAAGGGATATCTTTCGGTTAAACTACGCAATTATCTTAGTTTGTGGACAAGAAGTCCTTTCAAATTCTTCTTGCTGTCTTAAAAATTATTGGCTATAATTCGTCATGCATGAACGGATGACAGCGCCCGTGTAAATTATGCTCTGATCGTGCACGAGGCTAGTCTAGGCTCTTTTCGTCGACGTATCTGATTTTTTTTTTGCAGTATAAAACATCGCTTACTGTGCATTGTGTGACCAAAGAAAACTGGCCAAGATGAAATTTTAGCGAAAATACACGACTTTTTGAGGTGGTAAAGCACGTGGTTTCGATAACATCACAGCTCGTTGTAAGTAGCTTGCAATGGAGATGAAGCTTTATCTTGTCCCCAGGCAATATTACCACATTTCAGTGGGGGAAACAAGTTGAAGGCGTGTTTTCAGCTCACGGTTAAGAACTGGACTGAATGAGCGTGTGAAGGGAACTCCATTGGTCACAGGGTCTGGTAAAAGTGGATTTCTTTGTTAAGCAATTTTTGCTGCTGCTTTCCTTCCCGGAGTCATATTCTTCAACACTCTGTTTATCGTCACTAGACGCTTAACGTAAATACTGTCGAACTTTTTGGAGAAAATTTGAGGAGTGATAACAGAGTACGTTGACCATTAAAGTCACTTAATATATGCTTTTTTTTTTTCTTCAAGACCCGTTAGTTCATCGATCTGTGTGACAAGAAGAGGGCAGTATATTATCTCGGGATCATGCCGCGGAGCTCCGAGGTCAGCAACCCCAGAGAAGGGGCAAGTGCTGCGTCAGTCATGTTCTTTTGGTGGATGAATGACTTGATGAGCCTGGGTAGGAAGCGACCGCTGACTGATGAGGATTCCCCTCCACTCCTTGAGGATTACAAAGCCGAGTTGCTCGTGAAAAAGGCTGAAAAATACTGGTTCGATGAATTAAAGCGCACTCAATCCTCAAACAAGAAACCACAGTTATGGAAAACATTGTCTAGATTAATTCCGTGGGAATCTGCTCTTAAGATGATATTTTTAAGAATTCTATGGGCTTTAAGTTTTTCCTTTTTACCCGTATGCCTTTGGCTATTGTTAAAGACGTTGAATGATGGACCAAATCTGGACATTAAGGCGGCGTTCTTCTATGTTGCCCTATTGACGATATCAAGCATGACAAAAGCGACTTCGACACAGCATTACGATTACCTGACCGAACTTTGGGGACTAAGGCTGAAGGTGGCATTGATAGGTCTTGTTTATAGAAAGGTAAGTTTCTATGGTAAGCTTTCCTTAGGTTTTCTTTCCCTTTTTTTCCACGTTACCCTGTCTTCAGTTTGTTATTAACCTTGAAATATAGTTTTGCAGAATAGCATAATCACCACGGAGGGTAGAAAAAGACAGCTAAGATTAACAAAGACTGTTAATGGATGGCCTTGAAATATGTTGCTGATATTTCTTTTTCCTCAGCCGTTATTGTTTGTTTGTTTGTTTGTGTGCTTTTCAAGTATAGTATAAACGTGTTTTTTTGGTTCAAAATTGTTGTCAAAAACTATCAGGGTTTACTTACAGTTATATTTGCTCTTCTGTGGAAAATTAGATGCTTTCGCTAAATCGTTACAGCCTGGAGGCTACGCGTTCTGGAAACACAATAAACCTGGTCTCGAATGACGTTCAAAAAATAGAGAAGTCGTTAAACCAGCTGGGTATGGTGTTCTCCGCGCCGATGGAACTCTCAATCAGCTTGGGTATCCTATGGTATTTTATTGGCTGGGAGGCTTTGATTGGAGCAACAGTGTTTTTCGTCTTAGTGGCGTTCCAAATTTTGTTGGCAAGAAAAGCTGCCGATCTTAGAAAGAAAGCAGCTACTTTCACCGATGAACGGCTCATGGTGATGAATGAAATCATCGCTGGAATACGAGCAGTTAAGATGTTCGCTTGGGAATGGAATTTCATTGATGTCGTTCGTGAACTCCGCAAGTAATTAATTTTTCTAATTTTGTTTTTGGCTGTAGAGACCAACGTGACTGAATAATGAAATTCACCACCTAGGTATGGAAGAAAACATATCAAGGGGAAGTTGTTTTACTAGTTATGTCATTAATAATTTTTAGACGAATGGATAATCTGTGCGAGAAAATGATTTGCAAGCATTATTGCCTGTTTTAAAAAAATAAGAAAATAATCGCGTAAGGTGGGGGAGTTTTATTAATGTTTCAATAAAAAGAAAAGGCGAGGAAGGATCTCTTTCTCCTGTCAGAAACATTTTTTATTTTCGTTATGGCCACGTATTGGTGTACAGTGAGTGCTGTAACGTTCACTTTCACGTTCGATAATTTGTACATACATGTTATTTATTTATGTTTTGGTATATCTATTTATATTTGAAGGAAGGAGATGGCAGTTATCCGAAAGAAGGGCCTCATCGTTTGCTTCCTGATTGTTCTATTATTTACAACGCTTCCAATTGCAGCTTTGATTTCAGTAACAGCGCTGGTTTTAACAGGAACCATTTTGTCATCTTTTACAATATTCACGCTACTCCTTGGATTAGTGACGATTAAGTTTGCGTTCTGTAACAGCTTGAGTCTCTCTGTGTACATTGTCGCAGATGCTAAAGTAGCTCTTAATAGGATACAGACATTTCTCGGAGAAAAGCTGCCAGGGCTCGAAATAGGTGGAAGATTCCATGGTGAAACTCAGCCTCGGACAAGACTGTTAGATATCGACGATAACCATTCCAAGGTTGAAGAAAAGATGGAGAAAGGCCTTCCAATGACAAACTGCAATGGACGAGAGGACTTTTCCATAGAAATTTCCTCAGAATTTGAAGGTAGCTCAATGACAAAGGGGCCAGACAATCCAAAAGATGACCTGCGTTCAGGATATCCATTTCTCTCCATATCCAACGTGTGTTGTTCTTGGAACCACAACTGTTGCAACGAGGCCTTAACTTTGTGCGATATAACTCTAAATGTACGTGCTGGTGAATTGTTGGCAATTACTGGTCCCGTGGGGAGTGGAAAGTCCTCAGTGTTATCAGAAATTTTGGGGGAACTACCCCTTCGTGGAGGCACCATAACATATCACGGGAAAGTTGCCTTTGTCCCTCAATTACCATGGGTATTTTCTGGGTCTGTGAGAGAGAACATTTTGTTTGGATTGCCATTTGACGAGGAGAAGTTTCTGAATGTTGTAGACGTTTGCGGTTTGTCCAAAGACTTATCTGACTTCGCCAGAGGAGATCTCACAAAAGTTGGGCAACGTGGAGTGTCCCTTAGCGGAGGTCAGAAAGCTCGAGTAAGTTTAGCTCGTGCAGTGTATTCAAATGCTGATATTTATTTGCTTGATGATCCTCTTAGTGCACTAGACACCAAAGTAGGAAGAACACTCTTCGAGAGCTGTATAGTCGATAATCTATCGGGCTGTATTCGAATCCTGGTCACTCATCAGCTACAATATCTGAGAGACGTTGATTGTATTGTTGTGATGAAAAACGGTTCAATTAATCATCAGGGCACGTACATTGACCTTAAAGAAAAGGGGTTACTTTCAGAAATTCTCGATTTATCAGATCAATTTGAAGAGAGGTCAAAGCAGATATTGAAGATAAGTGTGGGCGGGGGAGACATAAATAATGGAAATCAATCAGGTACGTTGGTTTCCGACTCAGAGCGTTGTGAAATGCAACTGCACGAGGGTGACCTTATTTCCACAAGCAGCATTGCAAAAGTGAAAGTCGGATGTGGCCAGAGTTCTCAGGCTCAGTTTTCGGCAAACATGTGTAAAGTTCAACGCTTAAACGGCAACCAAGCTTTTGACCTGAAGGAAGAGGAGGAAGGAAAGAGAACTGGCACTGTGACCTGGCGACTTTATTGGAAGTATTTTAAGGAAGGACTCTCAGTGCCTTTGATAATGCATGTGGCAGTTGCGCTTATCTTATCACAAGGTAATTCATCTTGCTTAATAACACTGATTGTTACCAGAACAAGTACTTCACAAAGGTGTCTAAGATTGTATAAAACAGGGAAATATCTAGCATATGCTGTTCAATTTTTACGGAATTTTCTACGCTTTTGTGGCATACTTGTTCTGGTTTGTCTTAATTCTTGGCTAAGCTATGAATGAATAACTCATTGATAACACCTTCCACCTCTATTTAAAGAGTTAGTCAGTTCCGATATTGATTGATGTTGTTTCCGTACTATTTGTGCAAAAGGCAGATGAACTTTCAAGGTATTGATATTGTTCCATTTATTACAGTTTGCCTCCTGGCTCCAAACTGGTGGTTGGCTAGAATTTCAGAGATGTCGCCTACCCAGCAAAAAGGAACAGACACTCAAGCAATCCACGCCAGTTTAGTGGCAATTTCCATGGTAGTCATGACAGCATCGTGTGTTTCCTTTTATTTTCTCCTTCTGAAAGCAGCAGAAAATCTTCACAACAAAATGGCCATGACGATCGTTAAAGCTCCTGTGCTGTTTTATGACACAAACCCAGGGGGTCGCATCCTGAATCGCTTTTCAAAGGATGTTGGCACCATCGATGATGTATTACCGATACGGTTTCTAGAATCGGTTACAATGTGTCTTTTCTCGCTCCTGTCCTTTTTAGTTCCTGCTGTGACAAATTACTGGCTCTTCTTAGCTCTTCTTCCTATCTTAAGCATATTTATGTACTATGCACGTTATTATTTAGCTTCCTCCAGAGAGCTGAAGAGAATCGAAGCCATCAAATGTAGCCCAGTGTATTCACACTTTACGGAAACTATCCACGGACTGGAGATAATCCATATCTCAAATAAGAACAAAGCCTTTTTAGAGAGGCTTGAAAGGTTAGTCGAACGAGCTATTTTTTTTGTTTTGTTTTGTTTTGTTTTATTTTTTGTGGCGAGCTATATTCGAATGAAGTTCAAGTTTATTTAAGGTGGGCTTGTAAACATCACCTCAATCAGTTTAGTTCTCTGACCAGTTAGGCTGTGTTTCACTTTCGCATTTTGTGGGAAGTAATTTCTCACGTCACGAGCTTATGAAAACAATTGTTAAGTCCCGGTCAGGCGAAGTTTGATTATGCTGAACATCTTGAATACCAGCCGAATAAACTGGTCAAGACCATTAGATTCTGAGCATCTCCATCGTAAGCAAGGACTTGGTTTCTAGAAAAACAAGGATTTCGAGGACCTTTAATGGGTCGCCAATGAGTGTCTTGACCCACCTAGTTAAGTAAAATCTGAGCCAATCCCAGTTTTGCCTTCCAGGTATCAGGATGAGAATACGCAAGCTTTTTTTATGGTGGTGTCGTGTAATCGGTGGTTGGGAATTCGCCTTGATATGTTGTCCAGTGCATTCGCAACGACTGTTGCAGTGGCTGCCATTTTGATTGCAGAGAATCCAGGCGAGTGTGTGAAAACCTTTTTGATTGTTGTTTCGGGAACGAGCTCTACGATTCGTAAAATTCTTCTGGGAATTCTCTTAACACCGTTTAGAAACTTTATGGGGAGAGCGTAGTTCCTGTCCTTGTTTATCCTGTTTGCAACTGTAGTTCTCATAAATCTGTCTTAGATTTTCCCAGTTAGTTTTTCCCATTCAGTGAAGACCAAGTTAATCATGCATCCAGCTATGTGTCTCTTTACACTGTTTAGCCTTTGCTGGACTCGCGTTGATGTATGCACTGGAAACGCTGGACCGGACGCAATATGGTGTGCGAATGGCTACAGAAGTCGAAAACTTGATGACTTCTGTTGAACGTGCAATGGTGTATTCTGAATTAGACTCTGAGCCTGGTTATAGCACTGATATCTATCCTTCAGAGTCCTGGCCCGGCGAAGGAAGCTTTGCCATCGAAAATCTATCTTTGGCGTACTTTGAAGGTGGACCTCAAATCTTAAGAGACATCAACGTTCGGATCTCTAATAAGGAAAAGGTCGGAGTTGTGGGTCGCACAGGCGCTGGAAAGTCTTCCCTGGTTTCAGCTTTGTTCCGCATGCCAGATCCCCTTGGAAAGGTGAGTGAACTGCGAGAGGCCATGAACGTGGGCGTCCTTGAAACAACGCATGCGTGGATGTTTAACGGTTAAAAAAAGGGAGCAAAAAAAAATGCTGTCGTGCTTTCATTTCACTTCTGAAAAAGACAAACGAACAAACAAATAAACAGACCAAGAACACGACTTGAGAACAGTCAAACGTCTCTGATACAGTGACAGCTTTACAGTTCAGTCATTCTTGATGCGACCGGATGCGACTTAACAGCGTTATTTTTTAAACTTGTTTGGATCATCTCACTAAACGTGGTTCTTCTAAAATCAATTCTGCGAAGTCTGTTTTAGAAATCTAAGCTAATATATTTACTTTGTCAGTTCCTCCTTACAACTATGCTGGTGCACTTACAAAGTGCTACATGCCTTTCCACGCAAAAAGAGAAAAAATAAACAAACGACCGAATAAACAAACACCGCGGTTATGGGAAAAGGGGGGTATATGAATTTTTAACTAGTTTTGCTTAAGATTGTGTCCTAGAAGCAATATATTCTTCTCGGCAGGTACTGATCGATGGAGTTGACATAACATCAGTCAACCTCCAGCAGGCCCGTAGGTGTATGGCTGTTATTACACAAGATCCTGTACTATTTGGAGGCTCATTAAGAAGGAACATGGACCCATTTTCAAAACATACCGATCAAGAATTATGGGCAGCTCTAGAAGCTGTGCAACTAAGGACCCTTGTAGAAGGTCTCCCAAAGCAGCTTGAATTCAAAATTAAAGAATCTGGGACAAATCTTAGCATTGGTGAAAGGCAACTTATCTGTTTGGCTCGTGCTCTGGTCCAGAAGAGCAAAATCATCGTCATGGATGAAGCCACTGCTAATGTGGATTTCAGGACTGACCGTAGGATCCAGCAAGTTATTCGCCACAAGTTTAAAGACTCCACTGTACTAACCATTGCTCATCGTCTGAACACCATTATGGATTATGACAAGGTGCTGGTTCTTGACGACGGGCAAGTGGTGGAGTTTGACAAACCCGAGGTGTTAATGAGAAGTGGTGGAATGTTCGCTGAAATGGTGAAAAGCCAAACCCACATGGAGAATCGTCGAACATAACATCGATCGAGACTTTGCTACGTCAATGTGTCGTGTTCATGGGTAAGACGCGTAATTTTCACAGCGCCTCTCTCCGTCCAGGAGTACAATCGGTACCGCCGACTTGTCAGGGAAGCCTGATGATAGACTGGAGGGTATTCTTGCGATAGAATGGCATCCCTATCCTGGGGGGGAAGTTGTACTAATCCTAGTCGCTTCATACTATGGCTCGACTACGTGTTGGGTTTAACCTTGAACTGCTTCATTTCTTGTCCTAGCTTTACTTCAGTTATTGATAGCGCTGGCAGACACTCTTAAAGCATTGGACATTATCAATGGCGATCCCCTCAGGCTTGGTTGAAATTTGAACTTCTGGATTTTACAGGGAGCCCTTTAGTCATTACGTAGACATTGGATGGTAGCATAGTAGAAATAAGGACTAGCAATGGAAATGAACCTCAAAAACAGTTGGATTCAAACGTAAATATATTTATTAGCTATAGATTTCTCTGCTTGTAGATATACCCTGAATGGTTAATATTCCATTAGTCAAGTCACGCGACAGAAATTTGGACATGCGTAAATTGGATGGAATCGGATGAAGAACAACAACGCGGGGCTAATCATTGAGGTACTCTCTCACATGAAATGCACGACAAAAACTTGACTTACTCTGACTTTAAATCCAAAAATAAATTATGAACGTCAAAAAAAATACACGAAGCACAGTTTTCCTGACCTCAGGATAGTTTTAGGACGACTTGAGCCAAAAGCCTACCTAAATATAGCTCGGATGCGACACGATTTGCTATGCAGTACTTTGAAATACAGCAAAATTCTCCGTGCCTACAATGTACTTTCACAGCTGACTAAAAAGACTATATTTACAACTGTTACATTCATATTTAAAGGGATAAAAATTTGTTCGTGAGTGACTCTAGTACGATAGGTTGTGTATCTGTTCCGCTAAATGCAACGTCGCTGAGCGTTCTGAAAACGTAATTTCAAAATGGACGAACAGAAGGAATAGGCGTTGGTTGAATGGCTCTTCTAGGTTTGCTTTCCGACTCCTAGTGGGACAGTCGCAAGTAATTCCCTTCATATAACTGGGACTTTTCTTCCCCCGGTGTGGTTCATTGTTCCTAGAGATCGGCTCGTAACACCGTTTCTGATATGGAAGAAGAAGGTCTCTCCACTGGCTCTGGTGTATAGGTGAACGTAAGTCCTGTAGGATAGATAACTCCGTCAGAGCGAACGAGGCTGACGGCGACTTCAGTGGGTTGCCGGACAAACCGCCATCCACCACGAATGGCCGAGATGTCTGGAACAACACATAACAGACTCTCCCCACATCTGTTAAAATAGAAGGAACAGGAAAAGCATGAGAGCAGTGGGTTAAACAGGGTTTTCAACTGTTTTGTAAAGTAGCGGACATACTTCTGAAAGCACCGGACGTGAATGTTTTCTTGGCGCCGTAGTAAAAAAAAATCGCCAATATTGATCTCAAAGTACCGGACGTGGAATGACAAACGACCGGACGAAACGTCCGGCCTCCGGCCTCAAATGAAAACCCTGGTTAAAAGGTTCTCATTTTACGCTAGCGCGAAAAAACCCGAGAAAGGCATACTCTAAAGGAAAATTTTGGATTGAAGTTCTCCTTAGACCCTTTAAAATTTCTTTGAAAATAGTTTACTTTGAGTATCGTTCACAACGACTGCATTATGTTACACCTTGAGTTGAATTCATGAGGAAATGCTATATACCATGTTTGATAAATTAAGAATTACAGTGACTATGGGATTGGTATCGCTGGGATGCTTGGTTGGTCTTAACTGACAAATATCCTCACCAATTTATCTTGATTAGCACAGTTCGTCCGCCGAATTACGAGCGCAAGCAAGTTGCTTATCTCAACATACGACTGACACACGACTGGCTCTTACATCACGAGACAAACAATTAAACGTTAATTTATGTCTAAAACCATGATCAACAACAGCATTTTCTATAACAATACATGTGATGTCACGAAACATCTACATCTGTACTGTAAGAAACTTAAAATGTGTGGTTACGCTGGCTACTGGTGTAATCTTATTACCAAGTCTGACATTCACAGAACTATACTCTATAGACTATATCACTCCTACCTGTACATGGTTTCTGCTTCAACATCTCCAAACCAAACTTTTAAGTTTGCAGTGAAATGCTCTCCAGTTAGCTCCAACATGGCCACATCTCCACCGCCATTCAGCTAAAAAAAATAATAAGAGAGTAGTACATTCAACAATCGACCTAAATTTCAAGCATGTGCAGGGCGTGAAATTAACTTTTTTTTTCTGATAGCCACTTGGCTCCTAAATTCTTCAAAGTGGTAGCCAATTCAAAAAAAGTTGGTCGCCATTTTCAAAGACAAACAAAATCTTTCTTTACGCTGTCAGCGTTCTAGATAGACCCTCCAAAATTAACGTGCTACAAAGTGGACACTAGGATGGATGATATACAACGTTCAGGCTCATCTAAATCCAAGATGGCGTCTAGTTATCGATCGAGATGCATGTGCTACGTTTTGTAAACAAACTTAACGAGGAAGTTTGCCGCGGATTTATCTTTGCAAATCTTTTTAATTCACTATATATCTTGGTAAGGTTATGATGAAACGTTCTAGTCGCCAATTTGGCGACTAACTTTCAGGATTTGGTCGCCAAAGTGAAAAATTTAGGCGCATTGGCGCCTGTATTAGGCGCAATTTCACGCCCTGATGTGATACGTTCGTTATCAGACAGACTCATCACACGCCCACCCATAATAGTATTTCATTTTCATTTGCAGCGCTGGCAATTCACTGCCATCCACTTTATGACCTTGTTGAGGTGTGTCAATACTTGTGCAGCAAGAAGTTCATCTATTTTTCTTAATATCATTTTTGATCCATTTTATTGTTCTACATTTCTGGCCATCGTTGTTCATTTTAAGTCTTTAATTGTCTCCTGTTTGTTCTACCATATCGACCTAATACATTTTTTCAGCCTCCTTAAAGTTGAAGATAGTGAAACGGGAAGGTCTACAGTTCCATTCCTTATTGGAATCAAATTATATTGCCGACCCATTAGAGATTAATTTTTTTCATACCCAACATGATACCTCACGAAACGAGTTGAACTTCAAGTAACCGAGGGAAAATCTCAGAGGATCTATAACACGATAATCTGAGGCATTTTTGGCGTCAGAGATATTTTAATTCAAATGACATTCCTTTAAGTTGTCGTTTAGCAGGGTAGAAAAGCACAAAAGTGAGAGGAAAAAACAAAACAAAGCAAAAAAAGGGGAAAGAGAATGATAAAGATCGTCAGAGGAAGAACTTGAGGATGTTAGGACGAATTTCTTTACTGGAAACAAGGCAGAATGTTGGCTTTTTGAAAAGCGGATATGTAAGATAGGTTAGATTACCTGTAAATTGTTGACAATCGGGACAGGCGTGATTGGAGACCTCACAGGACCATTTCCTTCGTAAAAACTGTACTCGGATTTATCTAACAAAGAAGGACACGAGAGCAATGCTATCAACCAAAATGCAATGTCTGAAAATTTCATGAGACGTTGGGGGGGGGAGGGGCGGCGGCAATGGAACAGATATAAGTCTGTTACATTTAGTTTTAGGCAGACCCGTTGGAAAAAATGTATGTTTTTTGTGTGAGAAACCACAAAATACAAGGTTTTTTTTATGTAGGGTAAACATTAACTAGTAAAGGATTGATCGAAAAGGAGCGAGTAAGGTCAAGGTGTATTTGTCACAGCCCATGTTTACATTCACTATGTGCCTTCTTACTTCTCTCTCTTCTTTTTAAAAAAAGAAAATTCACGATAGGTTTGTACTGTATAAAGCGAAACGTTTTGAATTACATGGAACTCCCATTGATCACCCATTTACTAACCTGTGCTGATTATTGTCCAAGATGCTCCATCATTGATCATCTCCTTATTTTGCTCTTTGGGACAAGGCGTGGCCTGTGGAAAAAAACAAGCTTGTTCAATTAGAATCCCAGGCACAAATAGCGATTAAAATATCAAATGAATTTCAAAAGTGATTAGGGGATACATAGCCTATGCTCTGTGATTAGTTTGGAAAAACCCACGCATATCATTTGCATTGCTCTACTTGAAAAATCCCTACCCCCTTCCCCCTTTATCAGTCATAAAAATCAAAATAAAAATGGAAACGGTTTTTGTTGTTTTGCAAACCAATTTCCAAAATCGTAATTTTTTAAACTTTTTTTAACGTCAATCTTCGATTGCATTCACAAAAAGAATTTAGGAATATAAGCCATCTTCACGCTACATCCATAGTATATCTTTTCGTCGTCCATAAACGCCGTACCATACCAAGAAGAGGTAGTGGAAACTTCTCATCGACTCACCTGAAACTGTATAATTCTTTCTTGGGATAAACAAAGGTACATTCTCTCGGTTTCTTTCATATAAAAGGCGACCTAGGGATTAATGAAGACGGCTTACTTTAATGTAAACAAGCATGATGAAGCGCATCGTTGGGTTCATGAGGAAGGTTCCGAAGATTTGGTATGGGATAACTGGACCCATTAATATCATGCTTGATATTGTATCGATATTGTAAAGGGAAATTCTGTCTTGGTCAATTATGGGAGTGAAAGGGTTAATTTGGGCATACACACAAGGGTACACAAATCTCAAGCCCTTAACAAGACTTCATTGCTTACCTTATGAAGTTGTGATACTGGATCATCAGCGTCTAATAAAGCCGTCTGTTTGTCGACTTTTCGTATTACCTTTAGAAAGTAAAATTGCCCGAGTCAATTCTAGTACCACTTCACAACAGCAATAATGTGGGACACAAGTACACAAACAAAGCAGTGTGATCATGTATGGTTAGACAAACCATCATACCAGTCTAGGAAGAGCCATCTTTGTTACGGAGCAAACCAGCTTGACGGTTGAGCCATAATGCACATACCCTTCTCTGACAGAAAATTCTTCACTCTCGGATTCATCATCATGTACTGGAGACATCGAAATAAAAGTTACAAATAAGTAAAATAAAATTTCATCATTTATCATCCAACTGCACTACGTAGAGTGCAAACAACACGTGAATCCAGTGAAAATATCCTGCCATATTATACGGTTGTAGTAAAAATATCCTGCGATATTATGCGGCTGTTTGGACAGTCGGTTATTTTGCACCGTAATCCGACACAGATTAGTCCGTCCGTAATCCGTCCCCGAGACCGAGAGGTACTATCAGAGTGATGCACCTTGGCCTAAAAACAAATTCTTTGTACCGAACAACCTTCATGCTACAGATAATATGAGAGGGTCTCTTAGCCTCAGGAATAAAATCAGCGCACAGGTGTACATCTTACTAGAGATACACCCGTAAGCTAGTTTGTTAAGGGTGAGGTGTCCTTACTCACATAAATGGATGGTGAACGCTCCCCACTGTTGGCTACTTGCATGAAATGTGCCATTTTCGACGTGAAGATATCGTGTGCTGACAGTTTGTGATCTTAGGCGATTAAACAGAGCGACTGTAGAGCCTGATTGGATACATACTGGAAAAAAAAAATTCTGCTTTAGAATTCTCTACGGCGAGATTCTACAAATTCACATCAACTCAGTTGATAAACCTAATTATCCATCATCTTACAATGTTAAATTACTATGAATGAATTGACTTGTCACGGGAAGAAAAATTAAATAAAAATATTGTTACTCACAATCAGCGTTCTTTAATGACTGCTTTTTCTTAGAAGGCTTTGAGATAACCTGCAATGCAGAGAATTATCTTGTTATGGGGATAAGGATTTCTCACATAAACAGTTTTAAACAAGTTGTATCTCCAGTTTCCTTTGTAATGACTAATACCACTATACACTTTTTTGTTGGTCAACTTAAAGAATTTGTTGCATTATCCTGAAACTAACATTTATTTTAGAATTTGACCTATGACAGAGATCACAAACAACAGTAAAGTTTAATTCATTTTACCTGTTTCTTCATTTTTGTGCAAGCAACTGTACCCATGTAGCATACAAGTACTTACACTCGTGTGCATAGTGTATAATTCCGTTAAACAAGGATAAGCCATTATGGGTTGAGTTTAAATGTGTTAACACAAGGGAGTTATGTGCAATCAAAAAGGTGTTTAACCCTTACACTCTCATGCCTAACCAAGACAGAATTTCTCCTTACAAAATTTTTACAATATCAAGCAGACAAGCGATGAGAATAAACAAAAATATAAATAAGGAGATTATTAGTTGATCCAATACTAAATTCTTAGAACTAATATCATAAGAATTGTTTGACAGGCAATTGGGAGAATTGCTAAAGAGATGTGAGGGAGACATGGTGGCCAAATGGTCTAAGCTTGAGGGCTGACCTGGGTGAGATACTTAACACTTTCAACTCCCAAAAGTGATTAACATGCCACTTCTCCTTAAATTATTTGTACATTTTTCAGCAAACATGTTATGAGAATGTTCAAACTTATCAGGTAGAATTTGTTGCCTTGATCTTACACCAAATTCTCATCACTTATTTTACAAGGAAACGTGTAGCAGCTAGAGGGAAAAATTAACAATAAGATCTTGGGAGTTAAAGGTTAAATCTCACAGTGCCCCACTCTCCCAAGGCCCAGTTGTTCAAAGAGTGGATGACGCTAACTAATGGATACACCCTCTCCAATAGATAAAAGTTAACAAAATGTACTTTGCTATCCATCAGATAGCACACTAGCACACTTCAAACAACCAAATCCAGGAGTATAAATGGGTGCTAGCACAATGTCAAGGAAGCCTGTTACAATGTGCAATGCGGGAAGGTAACCAGCATTAGTATCGGATCCCATCTATGGGAGTGACCATAGTTCTTCTTGTTGCCTCATGCTAATGAAATTGGGATGAGTCCCAGCTGAGTGTAGCCTTGGCCTTTTTTTCATTATTAGGAATGCATGGATATCAGGGGAGAAACCAGGATTTCTCAAACGGGAGTCACACTGTGTTAAACACAGGGTATTCACCAGTTTTTGCCACTATCTGGTTGTTTTCTGAAGGAAAAAAAGGTTGAAAGGGGGAGGGGGGGAGGAGTCATGGGCACCCCAGGATCCTCCTCCACCCCACCTGCCTTGTTTATTACATTAGGTATTATCTCTACACAACAAAACTCACCTTTATTCTTTTTGAATTGAATGTACCAACATGGTCACCATTGGGATATAGTAACTGTGTTAAATAACAAGAAATAAATACATAAACAATAATAAAGATTAATTAACATGACTAGAGGAGGTGATTGTGTAAAAAAATTTTTTTGTCAGTTCAACCTGTAAAGCCATGGTAAAGAGTGTCCTGCTGCACATGCCAAGGTAGTTAATTTCATATACACCCTTTTGCCAAGAGTATATTTTAACTTAACTCTGCCTGAACTGAACGTTAGTCAGACAATTCTGATGGACTCAGAATAAAGTCTTTGGGTCTTTGATCAAATGCACTTTTGCCTTCCACAACTAACAACAGTTGATTAATAGAAAATTCACACAGTTTGGACACTACAATCTCTTTTGAATACACTTGAACTGTTGGAATTCACAATCACCTTTAAACCAAAATTAAATTTACATTTATGTACCTTCAGCGACAATTCAAAGTGCTTTCTTTTATCTGAATCTGATATATACAAAGTTTTAGCAGCTCCATAGCCCTAAAAATATCACAAAAAGAAATACAGTGTGTCAATATAATCATTATTTTTCTGAAAACCTAGATTAACCCTGAAGTTTTAAATATCCATACCAAATGCATGCTGTTATACACAATCTCTGCATATGTGCATAAGCATCCTTCAGTTTATACATGCACATCAAACAAATCACTGTATAGGGTTTCCTAATAGTCTCAAAGATATGACCAAAATAGGATATAACTGTAGATATCTAATCTAAAGTATGAGTCATTCTTGACAACAGGTTTTAGAAATGGGATTTAATTGTACAGTGTAACTTAATTTAGAGCATCTGATTGTTTTTTAATATTTGGCTACTAACATTTGTATTTCAGGTTACCATTAAATGAGTCTAGGATACTAAATATCAATCTTAGAGTTTGAGCTAGATACCTAGTGACTGGTCTGATAATCAGCAAATGAGTAAATATTAATCACTTGGTGAATATCAGTCCAGTTATCCAGGTTGATAATCATCTTCTTGCAAAGGATTGCTTTACCAGGGCCTATCAGACCACAAACAACAAGCCTTTCTAAAATCCTGGGATGCCACCTCAAGGAAATTTGGAGAGCTGCGAAATAAGGGAATGAGAGATGGAGGCTGGACATAAGGCCAGCTTGACAGACTGGCAACTGATAGAAATCCATGGCGTTCTCTGATGAAGGTCTTATGTAAATAAACCCAGAGAGGGGACTAAGCTATGCTAATCAAACTACACTATGAAAAATTTAATGAAGTATATGCGTATCCATTTCACAGACCCCTAATAAATGGAAATCTTTGAGAGCTGTAAAACCAAGTGTGGAAAATAAAATTCTATTTGAGCAAAACCTTTTCCACTGAACAATCAGCACCACCTCAGTCTTTTTATTTTTGCGATTTTGATCTGATGCAATTGATATCCCTTGCCCTGCATGTTGCATGAACTTGCAAAGACCAACAGAAAACTTGACATGAAATTGAAGTCCAGCAATAGTGTATTTGTCTTCCAAGTACATCATGACTCCAAAGATTCACTATTCTTGTTGAACAAGGTCATACTTCACTTTAAAATGATTTTTTTTCCACCCCAAAAAAGTAAGATTGGAGGTCTTGTTATGAATGAAATTATGTTAAAAAAAAACAAACAAACAAACAGACCACTCACAGACTCACAGCACATTGGTGAGAGTAAGCTTGTCTGCAAGGTTTTAAACATGAAACAAGACCTACCTTGTCTTCAATAATAAGTTGCTGCATTTCCTGTTCATTTTTGCTTCCAATCCCAATGAATGCAACTGGCTGATGCATTACTTCTTCTTCTGGAACTTGAGGCATAAGTGCCTTACGATACTGCCAACCTTCTCCCACAAGATAAACACAAGGTGGAGGACAGAAAAACCTGAATAAAACAATCAGTACTATGCAATTATTGACTAGGAGATAAAGGGTCTTATGACAATAATGCAGAACACAAACTGATTAAAAAGTCTTTACTCGAGTCAAATGCCTCCATTCTCCCCCAAGCCAGCTTTTCCCAGTATCCATAGAATAAAGTGACTAGGAGTATTACTACTTCTTCCCCCTCAGATGGGATGCCAGTCAATCACAAGGTTACCCCCAGCATTTCATCAGGCTTCTCTGACAATTCATTAGTAGCCATTTATAACCCTTAGTGGAGAGAGGCCTGGTGAGAATTAAGTGTCTTGACCAAGAACATAACACATTGAAGCAGCCATGTATTGAACCCAGACCTCTCAACCTGCTGTTCAGCACAGTACCCCCTGCTTTTCAAATGTAAACTACTTTGCTATCATGCTAACTGGATAATGGTTTCTATCCCAACCAGGTCACTTTCAGCCTCAATCCAAATCAAAGGCTTGGCAATTAAGTACACAAGTGTTAATGATGTTCACTTGAAAAAGGATAGCAATGTCTCCACCTTTTTTCATTGCCATATGACTTTTGTGCCACCTTGGCATGGAAAATGATAACTGTTTGTTGACCATCCCTTTGCACTACATCAGTGAGATATTGGTTCATAGCAGCTTTTGAAAGTCTTGGTTGAATTGCTGCACTACAAATGAAAAACAATCCATTACAAGAACATACAGAAAAGAACCCCCAGAGATAGTAAAAAAATACTGTCTTGTTCAACACAAAAACATAACTACATGTGACAATATAAACATTACACTCCCCCCTCCAAGAAAAAACCAACAAACAAATTAACCAACCCTAATCCTACACACCCCTCTCCTCCACCAATTCCACCTTAATAAATCTTCTAAGCCATGAATGCATTCTACAATTATACTTCCACTTTGTGATCATGACTCAACCCTTTAACTCCTATAAGTGACCATGACAAAAATTTTTCCTTACAATATCAATACAACATCAAGTAGAAAAGTTACGAGGATAAAGAAAAATATCAGTTAAGGGATTATTAGTAGATTCAAAACCAAATTCTCACCTCTAATGTTATAGGAATTGTATGGCGAACAGTAAGAAAAATGACCACGGAAATTTTTGGAATGAAGAGATGAAAGATGTTATATGTACACTGGTCAAATTTATCATTTTATGAAAACCATTCTAAAGATTGAAGTGTCTAGTGTCTGAGCCAGTGGCTGGCTCCTAAAATGAATGCTGCTTACTTTAATAAACATAATAAACATTCATGTTATTGACTTACGGGTCTTTGTGAAAATCCTCTTTTTCCTCATCTTCTTCAGGGGGAGGGGAAGGGGTGGTTGGAGGACTGGGGTGACTTGCTGCTAGCTCTAAGGCCAGACTGCGAGGTTCTGCAGCCACTCGAACTCCATCATGTCTGTGTTTGGGTGTTGATGAGTACCCATCAGCCACTCTTTGGTATGGACCTCTTCCTAAATGATAAAGCAAAATCTTCTAGTTTAGAAACAAAGAATAAATTTAGTTATATGAAAGTGTACTCATCATTTCTTTATACCCCTCCATGGAAAGTTAGCAAATTTCAAAACTGGTTTTAAGGCTATCCATGAGTGTGGGGGTTTTCAGCCAGAAATTGTGGTAATTTTCGAAGTTTCTCAATCCCATAATCTTTAGACAGTTGACAACAATGTTAATACAAGATATTGCTTGGCCTGATCCAATGAAAAAAATTTGTTTTTGATTGCTGATAAAATCATTTTCAACAGAAATCCCACTATTACTAAAATACTAGTACAATAAAATGATCATACAGTGTACTACTTTACTGTTATACAAGTAAACACAATTATTCTGCATGCTGAGAGGGAATGATATTCTAAGAATTTTATACCCTTAAGTTAGTGTAAATATACTAGTCACTGTATGGTGCCAATATTTCTAATTTGGAGAATTTTTTTTTTAACAATCAAGAGCCTCTCAGACTGGTAATCATTTCCTTTATTCCCATGACCTTATTGTTTAAATCAGGGGTGATTAGCAATTAGATGCAGATCACTTATAGATCTGAGGAATTGAATGTTCCTTTATAGAATTTAAAACGCAGTTTTACAATGTAACTGTATACTTAAAACCCCCTTGACTGCAAGAGAGAAGTCTCTAACTATCTGTCAATGGGGAACTGACCATCACTTATGGTGGAGGAGGAAAATTATATTCCCCTGAACTTTTATCTCTGCAAAAATTTCCCTTAAGGCAGCCTCTTTCCATCAATGTCTGTTACAATATTCTTGCCTTTATGTCAATGAAGAATCTCCCAAATCTCAGTGTAAATATCTGTGCATATCCATTAACAATGTTTAACAATAATGGGCATATTGACAGATTGAAATTTCTGTTTCAAGTTTCATATTTTTCTTCCAAAATAACAACTTCTCAGTTTCCACTTTGTAATCATTAACTGGCCTCCTTACACATTATTTTCCAGCTATCATTACTGAACGATAGTTTTTTTTTAAAGGTATTTCTAGGCCTGTAAAGCGTAAAAATGTAATAAAAAGGAAAAGCCAGCCAGGAGGGGGTGATAACATGTTTTTCTTCCTTAACCATCCCCCCATTCACCTGAAGTGCAGCTTCCCTTCACATACCCTGTTAAACTGGTGTTCATAAGTAATCGACTTTGCTCTGTGTTGTTGTATGAAGCAAGAAAGGATTTCTTCCAGAATGTTGATCCTCACTGATTAAACAACTCTGAAGCTTGTTTCAAATACTTTCATTCATGCCGAAATCATAGCCAAATATAACTGCACAATATCGCAAACGAAACGACTTTCTAGAGTTCCAAAGAGACTATCAATACGCCTCTACTGAGCGAGACTGGTAGGCTGAAATTTGGACAAGATTTTGCGAGTTGAGGAGGCACCCGATATCTTAGATCGATATGGCTATTAAAGCCTGATTTATAACTGAAAAGTTATGAATTAGATATGAAATATATGTCTGTTAATAATAAAAAAGTTTCATTATCTTTAAATCCTACATGAAGTGAAAACAAAAGAAATTAGTCATTTTACAGGCCGGTTACCTGCTTAAATCAAACAAACTAATTTCAACGTAACTCTTTCAGAAACAGCATCTTGTTTACAAAATAAAGAAAGTCGATTCCTCGTTGAAATTGGAGCTACAAAATACCTTCTTCGCCCAAAGGGAATTTAAAAATGTTTGAGTGGTTGACCTCATTTCCGAAATAGTGTACAAAGTCTCGTTTATGAAAGTACCACGACTAGATGTCGTTTTCTTGAAGACAAATGTCGACAACTACAGGAAATATACTCAAGCCTATAGAGACAAGAATATCCCACCACTCACCGGTCGAAACCCGATTGAGGAAAATTAAAGTTGAAAAGAAGAAAGCTTGGTTAACATTTGACAATCGACATAATATTCAAGAGAAATAAAAAAAATTGTTCAATCATTTGCCCCGATCTATGATATAAACCCCAACGAACATGATCACTTACTAGAAAACGTACTCTCCGACTGTGTTGGTAAACTTGCTGCGATTGTGGATGTAATTGGTGAATGATACACTGCCTGTTGTACGATTCCACTCGATGGGAAAACCTCAGAAGAATTGAAGTTTCCACTCTCTATACGAGGCCGTTTTACGTTCGTGTATCGATGTCCGATATCCCTAGGTATCAATCCTGCATGTGTCGTGAAAAGTGAACCGTCACGAGTGGTTCCATCGGCTGTAAAAATCGATCTCTGTCCATGAGATTCTGACATTTTTTGCCAGAGCCGCCGACGTAAATTGTCTTTTACCGTAAAAGAAAATTATCTCTTTTAAAAGCCAGTTAAAACTGAGAAGTTATCCGGAAATCTTGCATCAAGAAAGCTGTAGGGGGCATAGTAGTGAAGCCCGATAGTTCGACGAACGAGTAGTGAACGATATCGTCCTGAAAGATTATCTCCAAGAATGAAATTAGGAATCTTTGCAGGGGAATCCTTTTTCTTCCCAACTCTGCGCTGTCGAAATTGAAGTTCAACACTCCATTGATCTAACTTGGCAACGTGTCTTTTTTTTTTTTTTTAAGCTCAGGCTATCTGTTGACGACGTATTCACTCGGATCGACTGCCGCCAGCGACGAAATAAAATGGCTACCGAAATCGACAATGTCTCTTGCTTCAGAGTAGTTCGTTGAAGCCTGTTCGTTTACACGCACACGAAGGAAAACCCCGATTCGCGGAAGAACTGCACTGGTGAACAATACATCCACAACAATGTGAAGTGGAAGTAAGCGATGATGACGGCCGATGAGCGTGGGAACTTTTGTGGCAATTCAAGGCTCGTGAGAAAATTAACCCATACCATATATGGATTGTATTTACAAATAGCGGCTCTCGAACAAAGAGTGCACGCGACCCGCTACCGAATCAACTCGTCCCATAGGGAATGTTCATATTCATCACTTTTCGCTAACATGTGGGCCTTTTGTGCAGACAAGAGCGAGCATTTCACCCGATTGGCGGAGCTACAAAAGGGGTTGGTTAATAGATGAAAATCTTTGCTTTGCTTCAGCTGTTGCAGAGGCGAAGTTTCTCACGGGAACACAAAGAAAATTCGTTTTTTTATTGAAAGAAGACTGTCCGAAGAGTTTAAAATTTGATGTGTATGTTTAGAAAACGTCGAATCCGACGTCGAAGTTTGAACTATTGATACTAATGGGCACGCCGCCTAAGTTTGTGACTCCACGCATCCTGAGTTTTGTAATACATAAATCCTGATTTTTAATAAAAACAACAAACTCCGACTTAACACGTTATTAATTAGTTTTGTTCGGAAAGTGTTTTTCTTCTTCACCTGTCCAGCTTGCCTGGAAACCCTGAAGACCAAATAAATGTATTTTGAGGAGATTTTTTGCAACCGTTTTTTCAGCTTCGCAGCTTTATTTACAATTTCATTGTTGGGCACAACGTCCTTTTAAACGTGAACCACGGAACAAACCACAAACAAAGAACATATTTTTTAGTGGTCCAATAAATTGTGCGGTTGATCAATACTGAAATTTTACAGACCAGTGGGCTACAAAAGGCTAAATGCACAGTAAAACACACTGCGGGAACAAAAAACCTTAACGTTTGCTCTAATTTGAAACTGAAAAATATCTTTGGAAAATTCCCATCTTGACAAGTATGTAAAACTTTCAGAGAAATATAAATTTTTAACGGAAAAAACTTTAAGGATATACATATTTATTCAATAATTTTTTTTATCTGACGTAATGAGTAGAATATGTTTCTGCTTGTCGGTAATAATGACTCTGCTTAAACTTAAGAGCGTTTGAATTCCATCTTTACGCTTCATCAAGCTAAGGAAGCTATTTTTCTTTGCTATCATCGTCACGCCCTGGCTTCGGATTTTTAACGCTACAGAAGTTATCTAATTTTTTTTACTTCTAATTTTATCATTTATTTTTATGTTAATATATATTTTTGAAATTAAACCGGGTCTTTTCCTTTTAACTCTCCACATACTAAAAATTATTATTTTGAATTACTAATTCTGTGAATTCAATTTGTTTATATCCATTCACAATGTTTTATTTGTTTATCATGTGAAACGATGATAAGTTTTTGAAAGTGAAGTTAATTGTTTTCTTCCTCGTCTCCTACTTTCTGCATGAATTTCATTTTCCTCCTTTTTTCAGAACTGATCGTAACTCTTAAGGAAGGGGGGAAGTGTAATTGTGATACTGTACACTTGTCGAGCTATTTTTCAGATAAGCAGAGTACGCGAGTATCAAATGCTGTTAAAAAAACAGTTCTTACCATTGTGAACAGTTTTATATTGAGCGAATGCTATTGAATTGAAATTTACCAAACGATCTTTTGAACCTCATTTGTAAATCAACAGGATTTTAAAACTTTATAATTGGATTTTCTACTTTTCCATTCCGTGATAAATTTTCCGCCGCTTCTAAAAATACCATAGACGCTAATTTCATTTTCGACATAGCCATCGAAAGTGATCGTCCCTAAGAAGCCCCTATACACTGATGTCGCATCTCTTTTTCTCACGGATTAAGATTCTATCATTGATTTGCTTTCTATGAGTGGAATTCGCTTCACGCTAGCAACAGTTGTTTTTGTTTCTTAAACCAAAACCTCAATAAAATTACATACATAGCATCTGAGACCTCAGTGAAAGAAAGAGCTAAAGCTGCCGCCAAGTAACACTTGACCGCTGTCTCAGGAAAAAAAACATAGCTTCCGCTGCGGTTTCTAAATTCGTCAACTGAATTTCTACACCTCATTCATCGAATGAAAAGTCTATAAACCAATCTCGTCACAGTAGAGTTAAGATTGACCTTTGTAAATGAATTTTAATTCACTGCTAAATATAACTGCGTCCACTGATATTCCATGCAATATTACGATGAGAATTTAGCCTGATCATGGAGTTAGGAAAAAAGAAGATACTTTTTTTTGCGCCAAGTTGCGTCCAACGTCTAAGCAGTTTTATTTCCACTCTTTTTCAGGCAGAAAGTTTGTGGAGACGAACGAAAAGGATGAGAGGATAGGAAAAGAAAAACAACGAGAGATTTGGGGGAGGAGGGACTTTGGAGAGGGATGGTAACCTCCCCATCAACCCCCGGCCCCCCTCCCCCCCGTGCAACTTTTTTGTTGTCTTGTTCAAACATTTTGTTACTATAGCGATACAGGGAGTATAACTTACGCGAGACATTCTTGTTCTTGCGTTTCGTGGCTGAGGATTTTCTTTCTGCCATTCAGTCGGCAACTGTGTTAACTAGTCTTCTTGCTGTTGTTAAGTATTCCATTTCGATGAGGAAAAAAGCTATGGTGTTTTCATTCAAAATTTTACCCTGAGAAAAAAAAATGGATCAACATTAGAGAACCGTGATTCAAGCTTGTGTTAAGCGAACCTTTAATGCACAGTCACCCTTTATTCAGGGGTCACTTGTCAACTTTCCGAGAAGTTTTTGCATGTCACGAACTTTTGCACACTCACGCGGGAAAGTAGAACGGCAGCGCTTGGAAAAATTGAAAAGTGGCGTGGTTTTTCTTTTTTAAACCTTAAAAAAGCTTAAATTTTTCTGCAGATTGTCAAGAGCCGGACTGAAAGAACAGTAAAGGTATTTTTTGCTCCGAAAGCAGTAAACTCTTGGTAGGTTTACAAGTGACCCATCTAAGTTTAAGAAAAATTTGTAATGATGCACACTGTACTATGCTTTAACTTCTTTAAACATGTTCGAAATTTGTCAAGAGCTTCAGCTGCGTTTCGCCACTTCCAGGGTCTATCAGGAATCAGTCTTAGCTTAATTGGTTGAGACCTGGACTCGGCAAAGTCAATGAGTACCTAGCTTGGAATTGAAAGCTCATATGAGGTAGGCTTTCCCTATTTTCTTTCGGTACTTGCATTGTTTAGAGCCTTCAATTTTTATACATAATTTGCATTTTCCACTGCTAAACCTTCAAATCCTCCAAGTTTGGCCACCTTCAATCAATTTCTTCATTACAAACAGCAAGCTCCGCCATGAGACACGAATTCTACCTCTAGGCAAAAAAGATTTTTGGGAGATAAATGGCAAGCTGGATTGATTGCGACTGAAGTTTTACAAAATGTCAAACTCCTTCCCTTCAACGGGGTTCTCAATGGGATTAAATGTTAGCCGTAAAACGATCAAAATATTTAAGAGTTTTGTCGTTAAAATAGTTCACCATAAAACTTTTTCATTTATGAAATGTGACTTTTGTGTCATTTTGATTTGACCTTCAGTCAAAGAATGGCCAAAATTTTAACCGTTAGCCGTTAAAGCCATCACCCCGAGGAGACCCTCTTCGAAGGAACCATTGTGAAGGGCCACTGGTGACAGCAAAACAAGTTTTAAACCAGTGGGGACCCGATGATAGGTTTTCTCTTTCTTAAATAAACAGTCCACAAGCAGGGTTCTGCATTGCCTACATTCTTAGAGAATCTTAACGGTGACCAATTTACATTATCAACTCAGTTGATAAAACCAAATTATCCCGGCTACATCTTTTATAAGTTTTAAGAAAGAACAAAATAGAGCTCTACTCTCCGCCCTTGATGACGAGTCAAAAACTACGTAACAAATCTAGGAGGACTCTTTCATTGGACCTTTATGGCAAAAGGTTCTTTATTTCGATCAATCTTCATCTTTTTTCTACTTTTGGCGGTAAACTGAATAGTCATTCGTAATGCTTAACTGTCAGAGTTTGATGTTATTTTCAACATTAGTCATATCTGCAATCAAATGCCAAAAAACAAAGCGAATGTTTGCCAAAGCCCTTAAAGCTCCGTACAAAAGAGCCCAGATTGCTAAAAATAGATATTTGTCCGAATTTGTTTTCTTTTAAAGTGCCAATAATGCAACACTGATGGAAATAAGCGAAAGGATTCTCAGCCATTAATGAGCCTTGCTTGAACTATGATCTCTATCAACAATAAAACCAGTTCATTCCGTTACAAGGGCATGTAACAGATACGCTTCGTCGCAATCGATATTTTTAATCACACAAATTGTCCAAAGATACAAATACACTGGGTATCCACTTGGTTCGTAATGCGCTTGAACCTTACAGGAAAATGGGAGATGGAGGTGTATATATGCGCATTTAATAAGCTCTAATGGCTGCTTCAGTTTGTTTTTCCTGTAGTATTTTCCCACGACTCTACTAACTGAACTAACAGAACCAATCAGATTGAAGGCAGATTTATGTAATCTCTTTCTGATCCCACGAACTTAGAGTAATCCAATGAGGTAGTATCTTACTTCGTCTGCTTGCAACACAAGGTTTTTAGGTTCTTCACGTAGAAATTATGTCCTTCTCTTAATTTTCTGTAAACGTTATCAACATAGAATGGCACATGTTGCTCATGTTATACACATGTACAGGGTAAATGCCAGGATGGTAATGCTGCATATCACGTTGAATCGCATAGATCAAGCCTTTAATTATGTAACAACCTTACTTGCGTTCGAGTGAACTAACTTCCCCATGAGCTCTTCCAAATTTTCAATGTAGTCCATTAATTTATGCCTTTCCTCTCTCTGTTTATGGCGCTAAAACTGCAGCGCTGACAATAACACTGGCTCACCTTGGGTCGACGAAGCCTTCTGAAACAGTTCTCACGCCACAAGCAGTTTATTTGTGTTTGTTCTGTACTCCAAAAGCTTCATGAAGCAGCTCGTTATTGTACTCGAGACAAAAGAAATTATCTGCTCTATTGCACGTACGGTCTCTTTGGCTTTGTTTCTCAGCGCATTTGTCAGGCAGTGTTTGAGGGCTCTCTTTGCTTAGATAATACAAACAAACTGTGTCAGCGGAAGTTAAACAATTTTTTTCATTTGAGTACAATATCAAAAACTGGTACGTGCTTCGCTTTTTTTTTTTTTTTTTTTCAATTCTTCTTTTTTTTTTCTAAAGAAAATTGCCGAGGTGTACCGTGGGGTTCAATTTGCAAGTTAGATAAGCACGCGACTCCAATATTTTTTCTCCGCGACACGAAGCGACGAATTCAAATGTGAGCACGTCATATATTTTGATTGTAAACTTCTACAACAAAAACAAACAAAGCAAATGGACTTAATTCCTGTAATCTTTTTTCATAAGTTAACTCCTTATCACTCTCATTCAAGAGACCGTAAGTAATTTCGTGTATAAACGTTTCCGCTTCAATGCGGTTCCCACGACTATTTACTGATATCAGACAATAAACCAGGGATTAAGTCTATTGGGTGGCCTCTTTACCTATATAAGACTCTTCTTTGCTTTCACCCTTTCCCTTCAAACGACAGATTTTGTTAATATTTGTGTTTTCTCTCACGAAGGGAAAAGGAGAAGATTTCACCATTGGACGAATCGAAGCTAAACTTTTCTAGAAATTTTCACAATCGAGTGGTGAACGTGATCGTGAATTTCAATGTTTTTTTTCCTACGTTATCTCATTGGTCTAAATTGACTCACGCCACCTTCTCAACCAATTAGATGCAATCTAAAACCAGGCACGACCGAGTCACCCAACACAGCGGTCAAACGTCTACGTATGTGCGAACGTTGTAATGGCTGCGTTCATGCAGTCATACGCGAAGTACAAACAGTAACACAAGCCAGTAAGTCATGATGTTAGGAAAGCATACAACTTTTTTGGTCAAGCTTAAAACATGGTGTTAAATCAACAAGATACCCTTACCTAAGTGAGCTTTGTGTTCGAAAAGTCGAGTTCGCCTTTACCTTACTTTTGTTTCCTGATACATATTTCTTTGAACGTTTCAATTTTTCGAACAGCGTTTGTTCCTTGTGTTTTACTTTGAAATTCTGCGCGGAAATTGGCGCGCGGCCGTCCAGTATTGATACCCTCGCGCATGGGCATAGTTTAACCGCTGCGTTGGGCCACTCGCGTTTTCCCGCGCTTGGGTCAGTTTGCACGATTTGAATACAACGAACCCCAGTCACGCGGAGAAATTATCTTAAGTCCAACTGGTATAAAATGTTTTCATTTATCGCTTAAATAAGCAAGAGAACTCAAAAACAACCTTGGGGAGTAATATGAAGAGAAATGATAAGGGGGGAAATTCGCAAGATGAGAGGTGGAAAATGGTTAGAAGTGATAAGATGTACTGGCATTGGTCACAAGCATCTCTCTTTCTATCTCTGATTGTAAATCGTTTTTTGTTTGTGACCTCAAAAAAAAAAAAGATCTCTAATGAAATGGAAACTTTTTTAAAAAAGACATTTCCATTTCTGTGGTTACAATCATTCAAAACGATGTAAAGATATTTCATCTCTGGTTTATAATCATGATTACTTTCTCACAAAGCTCTAAGGGAAATAATTCACATATCTCCAACAGCGGTTGAGAAAACTTTTTTTTGGTTTCTTGGAAGGAGTAAAATTTTAAGATAGCATTGGTTCAAGATATCCAGGGTATAATTACAGTCAGTGCAGCAAAGACTCAAATTATCCAAGTTAATGGCTGGGAGTCAAATAATTGCATGGGGTATGTAAAGATAAAGTCTGCACACAAGCCAAAAGGCCCACTATGCTAAAACTCATCCTGACTTCCATGGCAGTGGATATAAGTATAGCTACTCCCCTTGGATGAGATGCCAGCTGTCCAGGTCACCTCCGAACAATTTATGCAGTTTCCTTGACAGTTCCCTAATACCCATTAATTCTCCTAGATTGAGGGAGGTACTTAAGGAGTTACAATGGCATGTCCATGGTCAAACTTTTCGCATTTTTAAAGCCATTTTCAACCAAGTAACTCTTTGGAATCTCAAAACATGACAAGCATCTTGCTTTCTTGAATAATTTTAATAGTGGGGATTAAAATAAGTTTGTTTTGGGAGCATACTTCTCCATTAAAAGTGCTGAGTTCAAACTAGAAATCAAAAGTTAACTCTTTTACAATTCAACATGTGTTTATAATGATTTCCCCTTTAAAAACTTTGACACATTTCAGAAATTCTGAGACATTACTTTAGGCATTACAGAGGTAAACTAACAGCGAGCAAACTCCTGACAAACTCTAAGTACATAAATGCACTTGATATTGTTGGCATGGCAACCACATTCAATAAACCCTTGTGTATTATACACTCAGGATGCAGTAATTTCAAATTCAGTATAAAATGGGGGATAACCTTGTACTGAGCCATTTTGTTAAACAACGGCTTACCTTTGTTTAAATAATCATCCCATAAAACAAAGCCCTGCAATACATGTATATTAAACATCTTTCAATGAGTCTTTCAAGGCTTTTTCCAAAAGAGAAACATACTTTGGATGCACATGAGTTCCATCAAGATGATACTCACTGTTGAATTCACAAGTTTGCTTTGCAAGTAAAACATCCAAGAGCTCTAGCCATTGCAGTCCACTGCAACTTTCCACAGCTTCTTTAAGTTTCTCATTAAACTGAAGCACCACATTTCGCGTCTCCTTCAGCACAGGAAGTATAGGATGAACAAAAGTTACAAAACCACGACGTTCATTCTGCTCTTTAAGAAAATCAATATAAATGCTGACAATTGTCTCAATCGCTTCTTCTACAGAGTCATAATTGCATTTGTCAACAGCCCTCAGCAGACCCTCTCTGCAATCAATTTCTCCAATGTTGAAAATGACAGTTGAATCATTTGGCACTTCTTTCAATGCATTCAAGAGAGCAAACTTGGGGTAAAAGGAGCTTCCTTTTCTAATGTGCCAAATTTTCACACCAGTGGCAAGCAATGGATGAATGACATGTGGTTTCTCCTGGTAATTGATGGTCCTCCAGGCAGGAGATATACAGTGGCTATCAGAAGCAAAGTAAATGAAATCTGGGTTTTGAGGTAGTGGAGAGAATGGCACTTCCATCACAAGGCTGATGCAAGAAAAAAATGCAGCTTCATTACGTAGGAGTGTGAGATGTAACCCTCTATCCTTGTGTAGTTTGTCCAAAACAGGTATGAAAGCCTTTGTTGAATTAAGTGCACCTTTTACAAAGAGTATCTTTACAAGAGTAAACAACAATCCCAGCTGTTGAAACTCAGAATCAAGAGCTTTCCCAATATTTTCTTGGTTCTCAAAGTCTGGAGGAATGCACAGTGTGGTGTTGTTGAGGTAAATTTCTTCTGTGATCAGCTGTAGAACTGGTATGAAATGTGAGCAAGAAACCCTTCCAATTTGTAGGTTGCCATTTCTAATCAAGAAAGAGCGGGCTTCTAAAAATGCTTCATTGTGCTTGCTGAGGATTTCATAAGTGTGAACAAGATAAAGGCAGATGCCTGGATCATGCGGTGATAGCTCATATGCACGAAGTACAAGCTGCAAAGTTTCCTTTAAGGCACCCCACTCACGCAGAATGTCAGCTATGAACATAAGTGATTCTGATGTACACCAGACTTCACTTAGCTGATCTTCAAACACACCCATTCCCCCTGGAGAACTCATCAAATTAGCAAGTTCTTTTCTAACATCATGCTGGTGTTGGCCACCTGATTGAACCAGTAGTGACAACAAGATAACTATCGCTTCCTGTAAGTCATCCTGACTGGTACCAGCGGTATGGATTGCAAATCCTTTCAAGCTCTCCATGTGAGTGGAATCTTCCTTTAGCACATTTGAAAATAGATCTATAGCTATTTTAATGTTCCCTGACTTGGCACAGACCTTGGCAATAGCTGCTTGAACATCATGAATTTCATGTTGAGAAGCTCCAAGAGATTCCAAGTGACTCATGTATTTCACATAAGCATTAGATGCCTCTTCCAGTTTTCCCACCGCAGCCAAACAATTTCCATGGATGAAGCACAATGACGAGTCAGTGGAGTTAACATGAATAGCTCGCTCAATGTACTCAAGAGCTATCTGTGGACGGCCAGCTTCAAGGTAAATTTTAGCCAAGCAAGACAGAGGAGAAGAATTTTCTTCATCCACTGAAAGTGCTTCAGCACAGATTCGAGCTGCATTTCTCAAAGTACCCATCTTTTTCCGTAGATCATTCAAGCAGAAACTAGTCTTAGTTTTTTCACTGATTTTCGATTCATTCAACTCCACTTCAGACGAAGACTTTGTACATGTAGGTTCGCCATTCTTGACAAACATCCCAGGTCCCTTTTGATGAACAGACGAAATACTAGAAGCAAGAGAAACTGGAGGGTGCATAACAATTCTTCGTCTCTCCTTTGGCTCAGGAAGTTGTTTTAAAACGACAAATAAATCCATGCCGTCTTTTACGACCGACGTGACGTCTTGCTCTAGAGACAGTGTGGATTTCCTTGTGTTCACGAGCGTCAAGTTTTCGAGGTTTAGTTCGAAGAGAGATGCATGGTTAGCCTTGAGAGCCTCAAAAAATATATCCATCACTAGCTTCAGCTTTTCTTTTTTGCTTTTATTCCATCTAAAAACCATGCTAAACTCCTGAGGACCATCAAAGTGAACGTAGAACTTCATGGTTCGACTTCACCAAGTAGCCCTGCAATCAACGAAGAGATATTTCCTGACACATTTCCTTCCGTGATCTTGTACCCAGTCCTAAAGGAGGGAGAGGTTACTCAGCAACTTGAATAATGCTCTATGCTTAAATAAATAAAGGCGAGCATGATACGTCCAATTTTTTGGTTGATGTTGTTATTGTTGTTTATTTTATTTTTTTTGTTAACAAGAAATTGAATATTATAATTTAGACCTGACTTTAAGCAGAAATTACTATCGTATTATTTGTTCTTCGACTGAAACCTGAAGTGTACCTTCCAAGCTATTTTGAGTCAAAGAAGGGAGAGTTTTATCCTTTTAAGCAAGAATTTTGTTTTTCCATTTTACATGTCGATACTAAGCTTGTCATAAGTTACTGTTATTACCATCATTAATATCATATAAGAGAATATCTCTTGCCTTCTTTCGATATTTAAAAATTATCCCCGAATAAATGACAGCAAAATGAACAACGACAAAAACAATGTCTACATAAGAAAAAACACGAAGCAACAATGTTATGTGACTATGGCCCGCTACTATGTATTATTCCAATAATCATCAACAATCATCAAAATTGACTCATCAAGGAGTCTGATAAACGAGATTGTTACGGTATAATTTAACTGGCGAAAGAATTCTATATTCCTGCAGACTACTTTATTAGACAACAAGTCCTAGGTTAGAATTCGTATTAAAAAGTGACTACTTTTAGCAATATAATAATAATCCACTTAGAACCTGCTTAAGCACAGTACAGACTACAACTGAATCAGTTCACTACTAACACCAACTCAATGTTGTCTTCAAATCTCCTCGAGATGCACAATAGTTCACTGTCATTAAAGCTTTCCAGACAGTCGATCTCTGCCGACAGCAGCAGCTATTACTCACATACGACTAAGTACTTATATACATCCACAACGTGTTCTAAATCTTTTCAGAAGTCTAAAACACAACTATTCCGGTAGATTTTCTATCTGTAGGTCAAATGAAATTATTTCGTAATACAAATGGTATTCTGGTAGATTAAATCATGAGTGCATAACGTAATAGAATGCTGCAGACAATTTCTTGGTTTGACATCAGAAAGTTCGAGTAACCACATTGCCATGGCCAGGCATTCTAGAAATTTCCGGAAACAACTGTTTTTATTTCACAACCTATAACAGTGATCTACCCAGTAATTCTGTACTAATCCGTATTTCCGAATTTTTTTAATTTAATTTTTTTTACAATGGAGCCTCATTGCCGTTTTGGGGTGGATGAACCACCAAAGCGGAAATGCCAAGATCGTTCATCGAAATACTTCCGGAATTTCTAGAAGAATTCGCACTCTGCCTGTTGTCCTGTTGACGCTGACTATCTTGGCTTTCGTCGTCACCTTCCTCAAGAGCGAAGTCGACAGCTCCACTGTCTTTGACAGCTCCTGTCACGGACGGCATCCCGATCCGTCCACTTTGAAGCTGCTGCTTCATCATGTTCCTTCCCACCAACCCTCTGAGTTCGCCTTGTAAATCGTTAAGAGGAAGAAGCATCGCCAAGCAACACGACATGGACCATTTGGGATTTTTGCGCCATTCTTTCAAAAAATTATAAAGGTAGACGGAGTACTGAACTGAAAAAAACAATTGTGGTGCAAAAAGCATATATTTATGGATCCACACAAACTTTCTTGAGAAAATTGCTTACCATTTACTTAACAAATCAAAACAAATAAGTAAGGTGCAATAACGTTGGCTGAAGTGTTGAGCGAAGGATTGAAGTTTGAAATATTGGGCGTTACATGGCAATCGCTGTTATTATGTGAAAACAGTTTTTGGGACGATCTCGGAATTTCCTGGGTAGATTTCTTGCAGCTTCAGTATTTTCTTTTTCATGAACGCCTTTCCAATTGGCTCAAGACAAGAGTACATTTTACGCGGAGACACTGAATGGAGTAATAGAAATACACTATTATGCATACCATGCATCCTGAAAACTTTTTCCTTTAAAGTAGAGGATGTAGCTGCTTCTAATTCTTTGCTCACAAACAATCTCACTATAGAATTTCTTTGCATTATTTTTCATCAGGAAATTTGGCGACATATTGCAATGCACGGCATTTTCCAAGGTATGCCAAGTGCTGGTACTGGATCAGTTCTTCTATGTACGCTTTTGGAGATAAAACTGCGATCGGTAGAATGAGTTGAAAGTTTCGTCTAAACTTTTTTATTGATAAGTGAACTTCCTAACCTTATGGGACTTGTAGAATAGGTTAGCTTTGTAAGTGCGTTAACTTACCGACTAGTAAACCAATCACCAGCGTATTGGCTCCAACCACTAACAAATTGAACATAACAGTGTCAACATATGGATCAATTGAAGCTGGAACATTCTCCTTGGGGATCTTACTGACGGCGCCGATGCCTAGGTTTACGAACGTAACTGCAAGGGTTATAATCATCATTTTATTTTCAAATGGGTCTTCAACTGGGCTTACATAGGCAAATAAAATACCATACAGTCCCGAAATCACACATGCCAGGCCAACATAAGCCCTGCTTTCTCCTCCTATGAGGATCAATCCAGATGTTAAGATGACTTTGCGCACCATCTCGACGAGTTCCCAATACCAAGAGGTGCCGGTGTAATTCTCGGAAAGAAATCTCAGTCCGGCTGCAAGTTCACTGATGTATCTTTGTTGTTCTCTTGATTCGTTTTCCGTAACCTTTACTTTTTTGTGTTTCTTCCAAAGGACTAGGTAAGAAACCAAAGGGATAAGGAAAATGTATACAACGGCAAAATATGCAACGTTGACCAAGCGCTTGTACCTTGGACTGCGACACTCAACTGTGAAATCAGATTTGAGATAAGTAAAGCAGCCGTAACCTTTGTCAGTAAAACAGAGCTCCCGGCAGGAGAGTGGGAGAACATTTGCAGTCTTAGAACAAGTGCTAAGGTAGGTCACGAATAAGAAGAAAAACAAATTTCTGTAGACAAGCTCTTTAGTCTGAGAAACTTGTTTGGATTTATCGTCATACAATGGCCCCAATGTTGATGGCCAAAATGGCAAACAAACTCCCAAACGCGTCTATCTTAAGTTGCGGCAAAAGGCAGTGCATTGGCGCCATTTGAAGGACATTAAATTGAAGAATTTCGGAATACCGTGCAATAACAGACAAGGAGTCTGGCCATGAAATGAATGAAAAAGCATCCAGTAGTCCAAATGTAACTTGATAAAATCCTATGATTATCTTTAGCCTAGCCAAAATGATGTCGACCAGCGGACGCTGGTTGTTGCTCTGTCTGTTCTTCTTTACACTTGTCCATACGATGACTACAACTAGAATCAGCAACAACGCGATGGTGATGGCTAACTGTGCTCCCATCCAAGACTTTGATGGACACTTCTTACAAGTCTGAAGTCGTTTGTGATACCCAGGGCTGCAAACCTCGCAAAGCGGGCCCTCGTAGCCTTGTTTGCACGTCGAATCCAGACCACCGAGGCAAGATTCCTTTCTTGGGCATTCGTAGGCTAACGGTAGATCAAAACTATACTCAACTTCGTTATTTTCGATGGAAGGCTTCGAAGACCGCAGGTTGAGAGTAAAGTTCTGGTACATGCCTTTGTACACATCATTATACCACCTCCACCAAAATCCTGGTTTGAGTGTGACGTAGTCGTCTAAACACAGGAAGCCTTCTTTTTGACAAGCCTTACAGCCCTTAAACAGGTGGGTACGATAAAATCCTTGTAGACATTTACAAGCACGGAATCCGGCAAAAGAGTTTGTATCCGTTCCTGTAAAGAAGAGTTTGATCGTTATAAGATGACATCAGAGATGCATAGATGCCTGAACCATTTTAACTGTATCTGAGTTGGCTGGCTAAATAAGTTAATCTCGGAGTGGCGTTCATGTATCAGTGATCATATTTTTGTCTTAGCTGACTGAAAAAAAGGAAGCATCGAAAAAAGAATCTAATTAACTGACTGTTAATGCTAGGTGAAGAATTCTGCTGCAAAAACCTTTCTTCGTATGAAAAGTTTGATCTTGTTTGGGTTAGGGTTGAAATTTTATAGTAGACGTTGTTACATATCTATCTACAGTTGCATATCTTTTAGCTTCTGCTACCTTGGGGGCATGCGACACAATCCAAAGCTCGCCTTCCTGGCTTTTTATCGAGTGAAACAAATGTCCCGTTCGGGCATCTTTTACACTGGTCGCTGACGTATGCTAAGGTATCGGAAAAAAAGCCTCCTGAAACAAGAAGCCATGAAAAGAAAAAAAAAAGCAATTTAGAGCCTTAACTCTCTATTCAGGTGTTAAACTTTAATGCTTCCGCTTCTTTTAATACATTAAAAGTCAGGTTCAGGCATATTAACCCGGCGTCCAGCAGGCTAACCTTGAGATCACTACATGTATTCTACAGGTAAAGGGTGCGTTAAATTCGCTAGTTAATGTAACGTATTATTTTAGAGATACACAATATTTAGAAAATAGATTCCATGTTGTCGTGCATCTGTTCAGTAATAGATCACAGCTGAATTCAAAATGTGGTTAGAACAAAAAAGTGGCACACGAGGCGCAGCCGAGTGTAGCCCTGATGTCCTTACCAAATTTTATCTACTCCTGAACAGACCAACGGAAATATGGAATCTATTTGTTTATATACTAAAGAAGGTGAACGATTGTTGAGGGTGATGTTATCTATACGTCCGTCCTTCAGTAGATTATAAGTAAGGAACCAATCAAAAGTGTGTGCGTATTTCAGCTTATCATATAAAAACTAATGGCAACATTAACGAATAATGATTTTTTTTACTGTAGCAAATTCCGAAGGAAACTCTCAAGAAATAGTCTGCATAGTTTTGATTTAATTCTCACAATGGATCATTTTCTCAATTAAAAAAGGAACGTAATCGATCACACTCTTACCTGGAGGACATTCTGAACAACTCGTGGAACCTTTATCTGCAGATTTAACAAATGTTCCAGCAGGGCAAGGCAAAAATTTGGAGCTATCTTGTGACCACTGTGCAAAACCGGATTGCTCCAAAACCCTCCGTAACACACCCTTCATGTCTTCGTCTATGTCCTCGAACTCTATATACTCTTCATCGCTTTGTCCAACGCCTCTTGATGTTTAAGGGAGATAAGCAAGAGAATAGCAATTACGTATCACTGAAACTAGTTCCTTTCCTAAAATGAGGTCTGCCTCGAGGGAAAAATCATCCACGTAGCATGATGTTATCTTAGGGCTTCCGTTTCAATAACCTGTGAGCTGCATAAATGCTCACTCCAGTAAGGTTGCTGGTATACTGTAAACAGCGAATTTGCATTTCGGTATGAAAGTGTTGCATTTTTCAGTCAGGAAGAGAGCCAGCTAGCCATTCAGCTAGAGTGACAGACAGACAGGAAGACAGAAGGACAGATATTTACTTCCAAGGTCACCTTGGCATCTCTGATAAACTGAACCTTTGTTCATGTCAAATGACTGTTTGCCACCATCTTCTGATGAGAAATTGTCAAAGCTAACAGAACACTTACAGTTGCACTCTGCATTGCACTGAACTATTCTCTTGGTTGAAATTCAGCGACCCTATCTCTCCCTCATTCATGCTTCTGCCAAAAGGAAGACAGGTACTGTCAAAGCTTTGAAAATATTGAAGTAGTCTTCATGTCTTAATGTTTTTGTTTTGTTTTTTTTTTCTGCAAGCTGTGCATTAAGGATTGTTTTTAATACTTGCATTTTGGTGGAAAGGCCCTCGATGCCCTCAAATGACTCTAGATGTACTGCTTTCATTGCTGTGCGAATCAGATATCTAAAAAAGAGATTGAAAAAATTTGTTTCTAAAACATTAAATTGTAATGATGTAAATAAAATTTTGATTTATAGTAAGCTGGAACAAAACCAGAATGTCCTAAGATCACTTCAATGTTTGAGAAAAGGCCACCTGAAATTATAAGGTAAGAGATAAATTGAAGGATGGGTGGAAAAGAGAATTGATGGTAAAATAAATAAATAAATCAATCAATGGTCTGGATTAACAGACAGACGGGCTGACGGATAGATGGAGGGAAGGATATATAGGAAAATGCAAGGAAATATGGAGGGATAGGTGAATGAATGTAAGGACAGATGATGTATATTGGTGGATGGATAGATATGAAATAAGAAATTTGTCAAAACTTACATTCTCATACTTGAATTGCTTAAAACGAAAGCCTTAGATCCAATGAGCTCTATTTTGTTTTCTGAAAGCATTCTGGAGAAAGTACACACGTTAAATAATGAAAAATCGAGAAATACAAGATGTATTGAAAATAGTAATGATGTCTTAAACTTACAAGACTTTAAGCTTCTGTAAACTTTTAAAGGCTCGATTTGGAATGTGGGTAAGGCGATTATCATTCAATAATCTGAAAGTTGAAAACATCAACGTGATCTTTAGGAATTGAAGTCATTCCAGATTTGAAATTAAAAAAAAGTGATAATCATAATATTTAACTTACAAATACTGGAGATCGGTGAGATTGGAGAAAGTCTGACTTGATATGGAACTGATATTATTTTGTGGCAATGACCTGTAACATAGTGTAAGGCAAAAAGTGAACAATTTTGCCACTGTAACAAAACATGAGGAAATTGCAAGGCCGTTAAATAATTGTAGGAAAACATTGTCGACTCGATTTGTTTCATGGTTGAGTCTAAGGAAACCACTTCGACACTAGACAAAACTGATTGAGTTAAAATTAAGTATGAGTTGAATAACTTCTCCACCATCTGCAAGACGGTTGTTTGTGACCTTCATTTTTCATCTCAACCTTTTCTTTTTACAGAAATTTGCAATAAGGGCAAATGAAATTTGCTTTAGACTCGATGAAATCATGACCTGTAAACAAAGCTGTTGCATACTAATACTCACAGTAGTTTGAGTCTATTGAGATTGCCTAACAATCTCTCAGGAATTTGGTCGATCTTGTTTCTTGACATGTCTCTAAAGAATGATTTCAAACATCGTATGATTTCATAAAATTATATTTTATATTCATATTTACTAAAAAAATTTACAGTAACACAATAAGAGATACTGTTTTGCAAAATTTTAGAATTTCTGTCTTACTTTTCCCAACCAATCCTCTTCCTTTCATAGCATTACTGAGCTCTACCTTTACATAATTTAGACTGCTATCTTAACAATAAACTCGGGAGGCTCAGATAAAGAAGTCAACAATGAATTCTTTGAGGCTGAACTTGGCAGTCGTTCGCCGAGGACCACTGCAGTGACGATCAGATCACCTTCACGACTCAAAGATCGGAATCGAAATCAGGATCACTTTCACCGCTAACATCACGGAAACAACTTTGAGGATATTCATCACGACCTCTATCACTTCAAGTTCTCGTTCAAGTTCACTTTTACGTACTTTATGAAGGGAAAGCATAATCGACAGTAACTCACAATTGCAGTAGGTTCTTCATTGCCCCAATGTTTTCAGGAATGGCTGTAAATTGATTGTTTTCCAGTGCTCTGCCAACAACAGATCTCCGTGAATAAACACTCAATAAACAAGAATATTCATTACTTCAATTCCTCACTAATCAAATGAAATGGATTAGTTAGTATATCTAATGTACATGAGGACATGAATTTTAAGTATAAGAGCAGTAAGCCCAAGGATTGCCTTAAATAAAAACATGAAGAAAAATGGAGAATTTTCAAGAAACAATGGAGAGAAAGACTTTACTGGGAAAAGCATTCACGCCTATTGAAACTACGTCATCGCCTTAAAAAGGTTACAAAGCTTAAATTTAATGGTAGAAGCACGAGTATCTAAGCGTTTATTTGTTGAAGTTGCCAAATGAAACAAATATTCACAGTTAAATGAAATGTAAATCGATCGCTTTTTCAGACAACAAGCTTAGGGTAGTGGGAAGGGGGAACTCAGTTTACTCACAAGATCAGTATTGACGAAAGGTTACTTGAGATTGGGTCTGGAATGGCCGTCAAGTAGTTGTCGCCCAACTCTCTATTTTTTGAGATGAAATCAAACAGGACAACATTTAGTAATGAACATCAATTTAAGAAAAAAGATAAAGGTAGCAAGGTTAAACACCTTTTACCATACGGCGTGAGCAAGGTCTCCATCAAACCGCTCAAATTTCTATGGATTTATTTTTGACGAAGTATGGTAAGCCATACGATACAATTCCATGCACCTGTCTTAGTATTTTCGTAATGATAATACAATAAACAAAGGAATGTTTTGATGAAATTCCCTTCATAAAAGAACTCTTTGTGCACTCACAATGTCTTGAGCTTAGGGCAATTTCGAAGAAGGCCATCCGGAATAAAAGAGATGTTGTTATTTGACAAATGCCTAAAAATACAAATACAATGTCATCTACTTAGCGCTATATAACCCTATATACTATAAAATCAGTAGGTAAATTCTCCAAGTTGTTCTCTATATACCATCTAAGGTGCTAAAGGAGAGTTGGTCAGCAATCAAGAGCTTCTCTAGTTGGAGATCATTTTAACTGATGGCTTGTGGCAGACGCATCTATTTTCATAACTTGGAAATATCTGAAACCAGGAGAGAGCAGGCCCAGCTTGTTGCGTATCGCCAAGCTCAGTATCTAGTTCTTTGCAGCTCAGAATGAAGGCATCAGTTGACTATTTGTAACGTCTCAAGAAAAATAAACAGAATTTACCAGTTAAGAGCTGGTTTTGTCGCCTTACCCGACCGGCTCTTCATGTTGATAACCATATCAAGAATCATACTTACAAATTTCTCAATCTTTTAAGATTCTTAAAGCTGTCCCTCGAGATGTGCGCAATTTTATTGCTTTGAAGCCTTCTAGCAGGTAAAAAAGTGATATTTATGATAAATAAATATTCTGTCGCACAATTACTTACGGAGTCCTAAGTTCAAACTCGGCTTAGTTACGTTTTTTGTACCCCAACAATTTTTTTATTGCGCTTGGTTTTTATTAACTTTTTTTTTTTGGCTTTTGTTTTTTTCCTAATATATTAATTAGAAAGATATTGGACCAAATAAATGTATACAAATGTAACGATGAATACAAGCAGCTAGAAACTTGGCTACATCCTTTAATTATTTTTACAATTTCTTGCAAACTTTTCATGATTACCGTTATTTTATTCAATTTTGCTTTCTCATTATTGTTATTATTATCATTATTATTGTTATTTCCAATATTATTATTATTATTATTATTATTATTTGATATTGCAAAGTTTTTATATATAATGTTGAAAAACAAATTGGATATTGAGATCATTTTAATTTTCGTTGCAAAAAAAACCACTCACAATGTTTGCAGGTTAGCCACCTCCTCAAAAATGTTTTCCTGTAAAGTTTGTATCGAGTTTCCACTCAGTTCCCTATGAGAAAAAAATATTAAGGATAGCCCTCTTAAATATGCTATGAAAAATCCATCTACGCCGTAAAATTCTAAACTGTCTTAAGAGGAAAACGAAACAAAGCAATACTCATGAACTGAACTCTATTACCTACTTCAGCCAATTACTTCTAGTGCAATTGGATGAGAAAACGCATTACTGACAGAAATTGTTAGAGCGCTTTTCAATGAGTGACGTAAATTCAAAACCAAAGTCAACACAACGGCCATTTAGAAGGAAGGAGAGTAACTTTAACAGCCAATGAGAACTCAGTTGAAGGTAAAACCAACCAAACTGTTTAAAACGCGGGCAACTAAGTTGTAATTGGTTGTAGTATTGTATCTAATTGGTTTAGAGAGTGGCGCAAGTTTTCTGTACCAATAGGAGAGAGAGAAATAAAGTAAAAACAAAGCAATCCCAATTTAATTTTGACACTTAATTGAACCAAATCCATCGAATGTGGTATACAGACTTACAAGTGTGATAGCAAAACTGTTCCATGAAATATTTCAACTGGTAATTCCTTGATCTTGTTATACGACAGATCCCTGAAAGATTTTCAATATTCAATTTAGGGAAAGAGCACTTGTTCTATGCACCATTTCTGATTCTATGCAAAAGAAGTCGAACTAGAGGGCAAAAAACAGAAAAATGTATAAAAGTAACCTTTCCCTTGAGGTATTTTTCATATCATCCAGTAATGTTACAAATTCGAGTGCACGAGAGGGATTATAAGCATGTGAATTACACGGATGTAAATAAATTGGTTTCTACTTAAAACCCACGAATAATTTTTTTCCATTTCAACAAATTGTTCATGTTTGGAGACATCCTTTGAAAATCTTACATTACTATTTGATATGTAAACAAGTTATGTACCAAACAGCTCCTCACTTATTCTAACTGAGTACTCTTGTGCAAAATAAAGGACAAAGGAGCATCAGATCTCGGAACTTACAATGTTCTCAGTCGATTTAGATTTCTAAAAACTTCTGGTCGCAAGATGGACAGCGTGTTGCTATGCATATTTCTGAAAAGGAATCAAAGCAACCCCAAATGGCTCACACAGAGTTTTACTCTCATGTAAGAAACAAGAAGGAAGAAAGAAAAATGTTTATTATCATGGTGAGATGCTCAAATACAATAGAGCATGATGATTTTAGATATATGAAATTCATATATTTGCACTGTAGTGAAGAGATTAAATTAAGAGATCCTCGCAGCTAAGAGCACTACTGAGACGAGTATTTGAAAATAGGACCTGAAAAAAATTCAGGCCCGTACGGGATTTGAACCCATGACCATAGAGCAGTCGAGCCGAGTGGCCCACTCATCTGAACTTACTCTGGTTTCCTTAGCATGAAGCGATAAGAGTATCACTCCTCCCCCTAGTTGGGATATTAGTCCATCGCATGGTTACCTCCAGCATTTCATCAGGCTTCCCTGACAATTAACAAGTACCCATTTATACTACTGGGTGGGGATAGGCACCGTTAGAGTCAAATGTTTTGCCCATGAACGCAACAAATTAATCTGGCCATGTCTCGATCCCAGACCTCCTGCCCTGGAGTCCAGCAAACTAGCTATTAGGCTGTCTCATATATTCATTCAATTTTGAGGAGGGAGAGGGCTAAGGCCCGTCCAAAGCGTGCTGTTTAACAATGCAACAAAGTGGCGCTAAAATATTCAAAGTCGCTGATAAACTCACATATAACTCAGACACTTAAGGTTGTCAAATATGCCATCTGGAAGATCCTTTATCTGATTCCAATTGAAATCACTGAAAGAGACCAGAGGTAAAACGCTTGATAAATGAATCACAGAATAAGCCAAATGCAGTCATCACACTCCATTTAGCTATAAATCCTCACAATCTGCGCGCTTTCCACGCCTATTTTAAATTTTTCTTACACCAGCAAAATACATATCAAAGTTATCTGCTAGTTTTATCAGAATCAACACAGCAAGTTCATCTGGCTGCCCAAGAACTTCAAAACAAATGCACTAAAAAACATTTCCAACTTACATTCGCACAAGTGAAGTCAAGTTAAATAGGGACTCATTTGATAATTCTCTGATGGAGTTACGAGCAAGGTCCCTGAGGAATGGTAATTTATTATATATATTAGTTACGACCTTCAAGTACAACAAGTAACAATTAAAAAAAATATGATAGTAAATACACTCGGTCTCATGATGACCCTCCCTCCCACCCTTTTACAGGTCTATAAAGCAAATTAGAAATTAGCCCCCCGTTCGTAAACGAAGTGCTAAATCTCCTCATTAATTGGCTTCTGGCTATTGGTGTGGCAACTTTGTGAATGACTGACACTCAGAAGAAAAATAAAATTTACCCACGTGGATACAAGGCTTAAGAAAGTATTTAAGAACTGCAAGCCAGTGTGAAGAAAACGTGCGTGTGAAAACCAGTGGAAGCCTCTTAAGTAAGTGGAAGGGGAGTTGGTCTGTCACTATATACTTTTGTAGGTAGCGTCGCAATTGCCGTATGAAATTAAGCCAAAGTAAAAAAAATTTGTGTCCCGGCTCTAAAATATTCTTCAATCAAAACGAAAGATTATTTCGCTGTTCTTACAGTTGCTGTAGGGTCATCAAGTTTGCAAATATTCTTCTTGGAAGCTTTTTAATCCTGTTGAGTCCCATATTCCTGAAAAAGAAGATATGCACTATTACAGAGAAAAAAAGAAATGGATACAAACTCGCATTACGTTGAAAACAAAATATTATTCTATCGATCATAACCATTACAATTTCCTCTTATGTGATTGGTGCATCAGCTGCTTTGTTTTCTCTAATTATTCTGAAGAGTAGTACTCGGACAGTTGGTTGAAGCAGCCAAACATACGACGTTCACTTAGCTACATCCACCAATCATAAGACCAATTACAATAACCATAGCAATAACCACTTACCTTACAAAACTGAGTAATTTTCAAAAAAGTGGAGGAATTTAATACTATAGAACTTCTATACATTTGAATGTATTAACTGGAGATATTTTCTAAAATTTAAATAAATGTATCTTTTTTCGGAAATTGCAATGGTTATGATTGATTGGTAACAGGACTTCGTTTCGTCCAATTCATTCAGTCCTATTACCATTATTAATAAACTATATAGAGAAGCGCTTTAAGGAGTTAAGTGGTTATGGCCTAGATTATCAGAACAGAAGTTTGAGTTTGAAGTAAAGCAATTTCAATTTCTTTTATCTCTTCAATTTCCAGTTCACAAGGTTTCGTTTAAGCGCATGATGATACCTTTAAACACATACAGCCCCTTTCAAACCTTATAAGTAATTGACGATTTTGATAAGTTTAAGAAAGAGTAGGCAGTAGAGATACTTACAGGATTTGTAAATTGGAAAGCGAATCAAAAACGCCCTCAGGTAGCTCTTCAATTTTGTTTTGCTGCAGGTACCTGCCATTATTGAAATGTAACACAAATAAAACATTTCAAATATTGTTTCGAATTTTTCTTGGTTCTATATCGTAGATATAAGTTAAATACTTCTACTACTGCTAGTTATCACGATTACATCTTTTAAATCAAAGGTAAGTACGGTGAAAAAAACATTTCAAAAAATGAAACAAGCATTTTACTCACAATTCTCGGAGTTCTTCAAGATCACTGAACATGTCATTATTGAGCTCGTATAAGTGATTATCTCGAAGGTCTCTAAAGGGTGAAATGGGAATATTCTTTCCTCAGGAATATCTCTTTCATCATGTTACTATTAAGAAGTATAAATTATTTTGTCACTTCCTTCCTTTTACAAGAGGTACCTTTTATTTCCAATTTTCGGTCGCAAGAATAAAATTTTCTATTAGCTTTACAAAACTTTTTCCAATTGTTGTATTTTCCAGCGAAAATTATCAATAGCCACAGAGTGTCTTTATATACTTACAATATCTTCAACGAATCCATGTTTTGAAATATATTTTCTGGAAGATTAAAAACCTTTAGTTTTCTTAGGACCCTTGAAGAAACAAAGTTAGAAATTTCAGTATTTTGGCTATTTTTTTTTACATTCCCGTTACTTTTGAATTTAAAGCTTAAAGATAAAAAGTAACTTAATTGGCATTGTGCAGTAGATAGGATAAGAGTCGAAGACAGATCATTCAAACGGAAACAATTCGTTTCCATAGTTAAGGTACATAACTATTTTTGTGCACGTTTACATCTTCATAATAAAGATTATGGCTGCATCTTATGATTAAAGCTGCATCTTAACAAATCTCCATCTCCAATACCAATCTGTGTTATTTTCGTCTGTCCTTCTGCATCTTCTCTTTTGTCTTGCCTGCACAGCTGGTAATTCAGGGTTAATTTTGCGGGTCGCAAAAAACGAGTTTAGTTAAGGTACATAACTATTTTTGTGCACGTTTACATCTTCATAATAAAGATTATGGCTGCATCTTATGATTAAAGCTGCATCTTAACAAATCTCCATCTCCAATACCAATCTGTGTTATTTTCGTCTGTCCTTCTGCATCTTCTCTTTTGTCTTGCCTGCACAGCTGGTAATTCAGGGTTAATTTTGCGGGTCGCAAAAAACGAGTGAAAATTTTATGGCACAGCTCCCATTAGCCGTCTTCAGCTGTTTGGTAGATATTTTTAAAATAATAGGCTGTAATTCCATTATCACATGAACATCAGTTTAGAAATTGACGTTCAGAATTAGCTTGGATCTTATTGTACCCGATGACTGAAAGGAAACCCAAAGATCAATAAAGAATAAATAATGAAAGCTATTTCAATTTATATCTTCAGTCGCCATTGAAAAAAAAATAATTTGAACGAGATGCTGTGATCGAAAGCGACGAAGGATCTAGTTCTTTGCGATGGTGACGATAGCAGCAATCGAAAGACAGACAGTCAGAAAGACACCAGAAGACACATAACTGACACATAATTCTTATCATCCACGTTATCAACTCGGAGAAGGGATTTATTTCTGATCAAAGTTCGAAATATTCTTAACAAATAGATTCTGTGTTGCCGTGAGTCTGTTCAGTAATAGATCACCGATGATGAAGAAAAAATGTGGTTAGAACGAAAAGAGGCAAACGAGGCACAGCCGAGTGTGTCACCGACGTTGTCCATGGAGACATCATCAATGCCACCACAGCTCCTATAATAGATTACACGCAGGACCCAATGAAAATGTGTGTATCAAATCATTCGGTCTATTTCATAGTAATACTTACAAGTCCACGGTAGTTGTTGGGATGCATTTCAAGATTCTGTCAAGAGGTGACGCATTGTGGCAATTGAAGTCATTCCGTGCTGCTCCATCTTCTAGGTGGCCATGACCGGTGCATTGGCTGTCACAGTCTTTTACCACCAAAGAAAATAGAAGCATTTATCGTACATTCAAAAGAAGTATCTCGTTCTGGATCGGCAATGCATATGTTGGTTATAGATTGCTTACAGGATTTCTGTATTGCACCCGCTCATAATGTAATCTTTTAAGGATAAATTAACCACGTTAGATTCTGCAATAATTCGAAAATTATTGCAAATGGTTAATCTTTTACAATATTTTTAATGAAGTGATAAATCAAAGAACACAAGCATTTAAAAGTCCTGTCGAAGTACACTTTCTTCCTGTGATCTCATATATGAGTTGGAATGATTCGGTATGAGAACAGTACCTCTTTCTTCGTTTATTTCATTTTATTTCTTGGATCGCTCGGTAGTTGCACTAGAAGTCGTGGATATGTAAATGTTGTCTTCTTTCTTATAGAGAGACTGCGCTAGGATTCGTAATATTTTTCACATTCTTTTCTCGAGGCAAGGCTTTCTTACAATGCCAGTGTCTGGGAAACTGTGCATTTCCCCCCTCCCTCCCACTCCCACCCAGCCCAACTTTCTATCCCGAAGGGATTATTAATCAACAAAGTGTTCTTACTTGCTGTTAAAGAGACTTGTATTTCTTTTGAATCAATTCCGGCTTGATTTTTTGCAGTGCAAGTGTATGTTCCCTCGTCATAAACTCTGATCAAGGCATAGCCACTGCTAGTCACCAATACTTCATCGTTGTTTGTTATCGTTATATCCACAGAGGGTGTACCCACGGCTGAACACCACAACCAATGTCCAGACAGAGCCCTTACAGTAGAGGCTGGTATCTTCACTGTTGGCTTTTCTAAAAAAAAGAGAGAGAACTTTGTGGCACAATTGGTGATAAAGAAATGGGAAAAAGTGACATTAATAAGTCAGAATGCGGGCCATTCAATGCCATTGGCAGCATTACCAAGGAACGCATAGCATCACCATTGAATTGTGTTCATATGGCACACATACATTTATATTTCACTCGAATTTTAAAGAAAAAGCGTGCACTGACTTCTCCCGCCATTACTTCTCGTACTTGGACCATAAACCTTTTGAAAGGTATTATCATATAGAGCACAATCCGCTAAAAGAGAGTCAGAAATCATGAATAATATCCTCATAAATCCAAACTGAAACAAATCATGCCAGGGCAGTCAAAGGAGGTTCTCTACATGCTCACAAGGTGGATTTAGCTTAATATGTTATAAATTGCGAAGAAAATTATGAGACATAGATACACCTACTGAAATGTTAACTGAAGAAAATGACATAAGACTTCAAAGCAATTATCACCTTCTTATTAGAGGCAGCTATTTAAATAGCCCTGCGGTAACTGAAAGGTTCCTTGTGGCATTATTGATACTAAAGACGTTTGGTAATAAGAAATCATTCATACTAGAAGCTGCACAGAGAGAAACAATTTTTTTTAATATTAAATGTTAAGTGGAATTTTAATCCTCTGGGAAACTTTATTAACTGTCTTAGTTTGTTTAAAACTAAATTTGTGTAGTAAACTGGTACGGAACCAGTGCGTGGTATTTCAATGTCTTTCTCTAACAACAGGAAGTCAGGTTTGCTGTTTGCTCTTTACCTGCAGTGGTAGTTGAGATGAAAGATCCTTCAAAATTACAAAGGAGAACATCGGTGTCCAAAAATAGTCGAAGGAAAAGATGGCGATCACTCGAGTTCAAAGAAAATGAACGTTTAGTGCCGCGAAAAATCCCAAGTGAATTGCTTTTGTCGTCGACTCCGTCCCAAACTTGCAGTCGAGTTTCGATTTGTCTACCAAATTCATCTTTATAATACAGCTGGAATGTTTCAAATGTTAAGATGATGTTATGATTGACGGGCGCTGTTATCAACCAGCTACAAGTGTTGTTGGCAAAGAATCGAGGGGTGAGGATTGTTCCCCGTTTGCCTTCAACTTGGTAAGAACATGATGAAGAACCCAAACCTACACCTGAATAACGAGAGTCAAAGTTCATCTTGCTGATTTGCCAGATATGAAAATTAAGACAAAATAGTATCTCATTTTTCTTCTTCAATCATGGTTTATCATTAGTATGAAATGTCAGCTGTATTTTACCTATAAGGGGGTGAGTTTCTAAAGAAACCGTGATGCTGCGTCGGTAAGGGGTATAACAAGCTTAAGATAATTTGGTTTTATCAACTGAGCGGATAATGTGAATTGGTCACCGTAAAGAGTTCCTAGGAAACTCTTTACGGTGGCCAATTTGTGGTGGCCACCCAGGAGTATATATGATTACCGGCGAATCGTCAGGGAAGCCTGTTGAAATTTTGGGGAGGGGGGAGGACGGAGGGAGGCATCCCATCCAGGGGGGTAGTGGTAATACTCCCAGTCACTTCTTGCCATAAAAATCGTTTTGAGCTCCGGCTGGATGGGCCACTAGGCTGGAGTGCAGACCTGACTTACTTATCTAACTACCGATCTCAGTGCTTCACCAGAGTAGAGCTTATTCCGATTCTGTAGCACTAAGTGAACAAGTGTATACTGCTACTCCCCTGGATAGGATACTAATCCCATTTCAGGTGTCCTTGTAAATGAATTATGAAACGACATTCAACTTTAATGTAACAGCTAGAAGATTTAGATATTATAAAAATGATTGTGATGAAGCAAAAATCGTTCATTTTCTATCTCAGGAGCGAATGTTAAACATCAAGCGCTGAAGAAAAAGAGAAGGGTTCCAAATAACGTGTAACTAAAGTGAAAATAAAAAAAAAAAAGACTCCCACCGTTTGCATATAGAGTTGATATTAGGAGAGCCAGCCATGTTCTTGGTATTGGAGTCGACATCTGAAATAACGGAGTTAAGTTCAAATTAGCAACAAAATTTCTTAGGATTATATATCAGTAGCCTGAACAACATTTGCAAACTCTTTTAAATAATAAGCAAAACTTTGAAACGTTGATCATTGATTCCGTTTTTGAGGATAACTTTTTGCAGGTACTTAATTTTGTGAAAATGATATACTTAGCTGTCGAGTCAAAAAAAAAAATATTATTGCAACCGTTGATTTATTTTTCTCTTAATAATATTCCTTAGGGAATTTTTTTTACAGGACTGCGATAAAAATATTTAGAAAAGGCTTTTGATTAGAATTCGCAAAGCTTCGAATTTTAATATTTTCTACCCTCATGTATGAATGCCTAATATAGCATAAATATATTAGTTACGTCGTTAGTATTTTGAAATGATCACTCGAGCAGAAAAATGCCTAGATGGAGGCAGGTGTTCCTGACCAGAAATATCTTTTAGTTTGAACTACTTACGTTTCAACATGCCTTGGTACAACTGCCTTATCTTATGCGCTACTCTCCTGTATCCTAAATGGATGCCAACTGATGTAATTGCCTTGTTATGATATAATCTTGCCAATTCCTTCTCCGATTCTTGTGCTTCGGTTTCTTCTGGTCTGCGCAGAATTCAGATAAATTGTTAACGTAAATGTCATTCCTATAATGCACCTACCAGTAAAGAACTGACTTAGTTATGGTAAAGTAACAGATGTGTTACAAATTCCCATGTTTTTAGGACACGAAAGCTATTTTTCTAGAGGTTTACGTTCTGTTCCTCTAAAAATTATAACCAGCCACTGGCTCAATTGAAGTTGAATGGCTGTGCAATGAAATTTTATACAGAAGTCTAATAATATATTACAATCCAAAAATGAAATTTTATTGCATCCATGGAGCCAAATAGCTAGTTGGCTTAATAGTTGCGAAGTTGCATTTTATTACTTTGGTTCGAATTTCGATTTTCTTGTTTTCCAAACGTAATATTTCTTAATACACCTTAGTAGAGAATCATTCTCTGCCTTTCATCAGTGGAGTTGAAGGTGTGAAACTCGAAACAAAGTGCACCGTTCGAAGATCGTCATAAATTGCATAACCTGTTAGAAAATTGATTTTAAAGGGGGCGTAATATCTGTTTAACCATAGATTCTGTAAACCTCACCACACTTTATCACCTTTCTGTGATGGAAAGTAATCCAAGTTGGATGCCTGTCCAAACGGTTACAGTGAAAATCACTTAAAACCTGTACTTACTGCAATGGCTCTCACAAAAGCGATGGCGAGCATTTAATCACCTGTCTGAGATGTTTTCAAGTTATTTGCTGTCTTCAGTCTCCAGTGATTTGTTCTTGGAAAGAAACACTTTCGGAATGAGCCCACCACGGGCTTTGACAAAAAATTTCAGCCACTATTCTCTCACAGTAAGTAAACAATGTCTAGAAATTCAGTTAAAACAAGTCCTTTTAAAATACACAAAATGCAAATTCTTGTTTGTTGTTGGCACACATAATATGCTAAACCGATGTTAACGGTTCTTTGACTATCGTAAATGACTTTATATTGTATTAAATTAAGCAGAAACTATATATAACAGCAGTTTTGATAGGAGAGGGAGTTCATGTTAGATAGAATAAGAAGGAGATCATGAAATTTAGAAGTTTTAAATTAAAAAAAAATGGAAAAATTTAAATTCTGTCACCTGCATTGGAGCCTTTTTGGAGGAAAGTCAATTAAGACACGACTGTCAGTTGAAATAGACATATTCAGAAATGTAAATAATAGATGGTTCTCCCTTTAATTTTCGTATAGTTAAAAACTACTGCTCAAGAAGACACCTATCAACGTGATTTTTATTTTGCATTTTCCATCTACTTTTTTTCGATTTGATATATTCGTATTTTTGACAGAATTGAAATTATAAACATGCAAATGATAAGAAATTGATTTCATGCCAGTAAAGTTGATTTGTGAGTAAACACATGCAAGTGTCGAAAGCTTTTTTTTTTGCGATTTGCATCAAGGTCATTTTACAGCAATTAGGTACCTTTTCAGACTCACCATTTGTACGTAAGTCAAAAGGCACAAATCTATAACAGAGAATTTAAGATAATCAATACGTAGTTAAAGATTGAACTGTGTAAGGCTCGTGAGGGGGATGATGGTGAGACAATCGATGTAGCAGAAACCACCTTTGATAGCTATTTCTAGAAGATGTAGGATTCGTTTTAGGACAAAAACAACAACAGCACATTATTGGTTGTAGAATATAGATATATCATATTTCTGTAAATATATTTCTGCAATACAGGAACAAGTTAGTCATCGTTTTGTTGCTTTCTAGTTTCTGGCCATGTTCCCAAAGCATGGCTAAGTAGGATATGACTGATAATAATAATAAAAAAAAAAAATACGCACGCGACACTCAAGGGAGCTGAAATACTAATTTTTACCATAGAATTAACCATCCCCTATTTTAATTAATTTTATTATTTAAAATAATATAGAATGCTAAGAAAACCAGCCATTAAGAGCCATAAGAAAATGGTTCATGCAATAAATAACGGTAATAGGACTGGGTGAAGTCCAATTCGGTTTGTAATCATATGAGTGATAAACACAATTGGATGACCCCGAAGGGAGAGTCCATTTTGTCAATCACGAGTATGATTGCAGACAGAATTGGACGACAAGAAGTCCTGTCATCACTTAATCATTACCGTTACAATTTCCGAAACAACAAATACATTTAGCTCAAATATCTCCAGCAGAGACAATGTCTAAAGTAAAAAGAAATTTTCCCATTTTAGAAATTTCTCAATTGTTTTTTTAAGATAAGTGGTTGTTACTATGGTTATTGTGATTAATTCTGTGATTGGTGGATTTGGCTGGGGGACTTAGTGTGATTGGCTGCTTCAACTGTCCAATTACATGCAGGTGCCTGATTACACTTCACGTTTACAGATGGACAGAATGATTAGTGAAAAATAAAGCAGCTACTGCACCGATCACATTTGAAGAAATTGTAGTGGTTATAATTAACAACAAAAATACTCGGCTGGTCATATTAGAATGTTAATTGAGACATCGTTTCATCATTGAACACTGAAGCGCAGGGAAGTGACTAGGGATCTTCGATGTTTTGTATGTATAGGCGGATGCAGACGTCAGAACATGTATCACACTTTCACTGTCTAGAATTTACGCTTATCTGCTCTTTGTGTTTCTACTGTTCTCATTCTAAAATGGCCTGCAGATAGTAAAGGGTCTATTCTTATTTTTCTCTTATGCGTTACATCCGACAAGCTATATCAAAAGAGGACATTGGCCTACAAATTTCAAAATTTTGGGGTTTAAGAAAAGACCTTCATCAGAAAAAGGAACTGGACAATAATCTTAAACAAAGCTGTTGATAACGATTTTAAATAATATTGTTCCATCATTGTCTACATTTTTCCTACACCCAATCGCTGATGCTGCCTGGCATATGCGCCGCCAATGAATTAAATACATGCCTAGAAGATGTTTGCACAAGGAATTTAAAGAGGAATGGAAAAGACTTATCTTTTATAATACTCAAAAGTTTTTTGATTTTTGTTTCAACTAGCGTTGACTAGAGATGTTTAATTTTCTTGAAAAGCAATAGCAATACTTTCGTAAAAGCGGAAAATCTTCCATTATGCAATATGGTTGGTCTTTGTATGCGTCGATTCTACTTATGTCCCCTACAAGTGAGGGAACACCCTTCTGTATCCTTACAGTAGCCTCATAAAATCCCTCATTGGGAGATGTAACAAAATGCAACTGATACAAAGTGTCTTTAACGAGGGTATTCCGGGACTTTTTACCCAAAACCACCCCACAACCGTCACACGTATCTCGTGCATCTCTCGTGGTACCCTGAAACCTTTGCATGGCTTCACTGGGCATTTCGCGGAATGCCCTGTTCACTTCTTTCAGTTTCAACCGCCGACACATCTTCACCAGCTCTTCATTCTGTGACGTCAGATTGTTGATATGTAATACCACAAAATCTGCTAATTCCATCACCACAGACTCATCAGTGCCAACCTCTTCTAGGTCAAGACAAGGACACCAATGATCGTCTACGCCAGCACTCGCGCATGTGCGATTCCTTGGATCTATCCGGCTAAACAGGCTTTGCCCAACTAAAATCCCCCTTGGGTAATGAGGATATGACAAGATGTGACGTAAAGTTGCATAAACATCAAAAGGTGATGTAAGAACGCGGGAATTATGAAGGAGGTTACTTTGGAGGTCAGGATACTCGTCTTGAAACCATTCCGGCAAGGTAAATGACATAAATGGGAATCGTTCTTCAAGTTTCCCTTGTATTGTACTCCTGAAACCAGAAAATCGTGGTCCGTGATCGGAAAAAATTATCAACAAAGTGTTTTTCAAGAGTGACTCTTTTTGCATCGTCTCTAAAGTTGCTTTAAGGTCATCGTCCGCAAAACCAACCGTGTTTACGCTATCGTGTGATATGTCAGCATGAGATGAGAACGCAAATTTTGGCGTGTCCTGGTAACGTCGGAAAAAACTCATCAAATAATTTAGAGATTCGTTATGAGCAGGCCTACTGTTAAGGCAAAATTTGCTCTTCATAATTAGTTGGAAAGCCTCTAGCCAAAACGGTCTGGCGTAATGGTCAGTGGGCGGATCGTGGAAACCTTTCAAGCGATAATTAAAGGAGGCAAGATGCGGGGAATCTTCTGAAAACATCGTAGCGTACCCACTCTTTTCAAACTCTTTAAAGATCCAACGCCAGTTGTCTACTGGTCTAGATGAATCAATTCTCTTTCTAGACTCTGATTGCTCTTTCTCCGTCTTTCCAGTCAGCAACGCTGTCAACTGTGCCGTGGTTCCATCTCCTACGATTGTCTCACCTGTCGATTAGTGCAAAAAGATGCCTATCACTGGTAAGGTAATAGTACGTAAAGGTACACTTGACTTTTATAAGATGAAATATTTCGTAAATGGACGGCAGCAAGAAGCATATAAAAAGCGGTACTAAAATCTTTAGAAGACGAGTTAACGAAGGGCTACCGAGTCATCATTTAAAGTGACTTTAATTTTTTTTTGTAAATTTAGCCTTCTTAATTCTTTACTGAATTGGTATGGAATTCTAACTTCAAACACATGAGCGTTATCATTAAAAAACCAACATATGGCCTATCTTTGGCACAGCCAACTGCTACAGCGCTAACTCTAAAGTGAACAAGAGATAACCTACCTTGAAATAATATCGAGGTCATATTCTTGACCAGATAGTCCAAACTGTGAGGCATTTTTCTTTGAAAATTGACCGCCGACGTGGAGTCAAACATAATCAGTGCAACATTCAAAGGAATTCTTCCTGGCTTGGACTGTCTTCTGAGAACTTCTTTTTTAGGAAACACGTGCATGTGTACGTCAGTTTTTATATCTCCCGACGATGTGACGACATCGACTCGAATGAAGTCCGTCTCTACGGATGCACTTCCGCTAAAGTAACCTGAAACCATAACCACGTATGGCATACATCTCTTTTAATCTGCTTTGCTACTTACTATATTACTTACTTACTACTACTACTTCTACTAGCACTGCTAGTACTACTGCTACAATTTCTACTACCACTACTACTACTACTACTACTACTACTACTATTACTACTACTACTATTACTACTACTACTACTACTACTACTACTACTACTACTACTACTACTACTACCACTACTACTACTACTACTACTACTACTACTACTACTACTACTACTACTACTACTACTACTACTACTACTACTACTACTACTACTACTACTACTACTACTACTACTACTACTACTACTACTACTACTACTAATACTATGATTTATTGCGATTTTTTGCGCTGCAGATTCCTAGATAATGCAATGTAGAATAGACTGTTATCTTTTAGAGCGTCCATCTCAGAAGATGAAGAAACACTTTCCTTTTTTTCCTATGCCCACCCAATCCTTCAGTTTTTCAGTTTCGTGGAAACGGCTTTTAAATGCTTGACATGTCAATGCTTGACATGTATTTCTAGATTTTGTTGGTGTAGAGGAGTTTAGATTTTTCTTAATTGAAGAACAACTGGTTTAACATCAAAGGGGGTAACATCCCACTGAAACTGTGGTGCTGCGTCGGTGGGGAGTGTTATTATAATTTGGTGTTATCAATTGAATGGATGATTTATACTGGCCACCGTAAAGAGTCGTACTTAGCTCAGTATGTCTAAATTTCTATTACAGCCAAGATCCAAGATTGGTCCATGCTATAGGGGGCTGCTTTAATTGTAATATCAAAATTTATGTCGCAATTAAGACCGGTAGTAGTAAGTATAAGTAGTAAAACAGTTGAATAATCAAAAGTGATTCAGCCATTTTAGCATTTTTTTATTTTTCTGAAGAATACAGCCTAGAAAGGTAACTTGTGAAAAGTTCCTCAGTCCGTGAACCTTTAAAAAACTTTAAAAAGCTTAGAAAAGCTTAAAAATGATAATCTCGGAGAAAACTTTTGAGTGGTGTCCTCGCAATAAGTTCCCCTTACCCCCCTGGCGCTGTAGGAAAAAAAAACAGAAAATTGAGGACAATAGTTGAAATTTTGACTTCTGAAAACACTCACCTGTTTGATTACGCTTTTCCTCGTTGCGAACTCTGACTGGATCAGAAAGAACCACTCCAAAATCGTCCCCCAAAGGCCTTTGGATCGTTCTGTATTGCACGGAAACGACTCCAGTGCCTTCAACTCGAAGGACATTGTTCTCGAAGCTTGAATAACTAGCACCATTACAACGCAGCTTGCCGAAGTCCTTAGTAAAATGAATCACACTAGGGTGAAACGGATCCAATTCGGGAAGCTTGCAAGCTACGAAGTTGTTATCATCATGGCGCTTTCCTAACAAGCTTTTATTGCGAAATAGTGAAGAACTGATCGGAATATGTTTAGCTGAATGATTAAGAAGCAGTATTGTCTGATAGAAAAACGAGAAAAAACTTACAAGGCCAACTAAAGAGACAAATATCTTCCAGTTAAAAATATTTGCCATGTGTTTACGACTGAATCGCTCCTCGCACATTTTGAAAGTAAACAACTCCTATAGTTCTCCTTTACCGAAAGGAAAATCTTGGCACCAAAAAAAATTGAGATTAAATAGAATATTGGTTTTCAGAAAAAAAAAACCACATTTCTGAATAACTAATATATGTTGTCATAGAAAAGAAAAAAGATGAATTTTCTTCCCAGTTTTATACAATGTATTTAGATGTTTTGAAATATGATCGATTGGACTATTTGTATAAGTTCTTGAACTTTCTCCCTCACCTAACGTCCAATTATATAAAATGCGTATTTCTTGCTCATAACAAGAACTGAAAAGTGGTAATTGATGTAATTATCTATTAATCCATGAACGCACGTTGGACATGAGGTGATAAATGGCTAACAAGGCGCGTAGAACCAAATAAGCTATAATCAATCTCGTATCCAACAAGCGCAAATGGAAAAAATGTATCCATTTTCATTAAACCCTGGACGTTTGGGATCAATATCAGTATCTGGGCAACTGCCCACCTACCCCTCCCCTAACCCAAAATTAACCTTGTTGAGTTAGGGAAGGGGTAGGTGGGCAGTTGCCCAGATACTGATATTGATCCGACGTTTGGATATTTGGAGCCTTTTAGCAGCTCCATATCAGATAACCGGAGTTATGTGAACCAATCAAAACACTAGAAATGCAATTTCTGGAGTTGAAAATTTAATAAAAACTGACTGCAGAATTGCCCCAAATAAAGATAAAGTTGATTTTAGCAGTTTTTTGGCATATGTTTTATTGATTTTCCTTATTGTTTTTCTTCGGAAATTAATATGTGTATGTGGCGGTTGCAGACGTACTAAATTTCTCCTTTGTTGCTGAGTAGCGGACCTAATCGCACAGACGTAAAGGCTGAAATTATTATTCGAGGACTGGTAAAGATAACCTTGCATTTAGCAAAGAAGTAATGGAGGACCAAACTAAATAAGATTTTTACGTGGGCATCATTCAGTGCAGGGACTGGTTAAGTAATAAATTTCCCTGGCCCTCTGTTTGTTGAAGCGTACAACATGTCACTGAGTTACCAAAGTCATTTCTTAGATATTCATGATGGTAAGCATTCATTGGTCGGTTGTTTTCTTTTACACGAGAGTATGATGATGGGTTTGTGACGCGTTTCGTTTAATTCTTGAAAAAAAATTATAAAAGCAATCGTGGACTTTTTCCGTTTCGGGAGAAGTTATAAGAATTATGCACTGCTTTCTCGAATTCTTCCATGCGCCCGTATGTTTTGAGGAGGCTATGAAAACATTCAAATAGTCCTCTGTTGCTCAAATTTCCGTGCAGCGTGTGGGCTTTTCTTCAGGTTTGTCATCGAAGAGTGCTTCTGATTCAATTCAATTATAATGAATGACACAGAATATCAACACATAGCGTTGATACTCTATTTGCACTTTTGGAAAGTTCACCAAATATGTATGATCTGTAAAGATTTCTACCTTCTACAGTTTTCTGTGTTCTTTGGAATCGATGTTTTGTTGGTCAAGATGCGATTAAGGGAGATGCTCCAGTATAAATTTGATATTTTTACGACGTCTTAAAGTCATCTACATGGTTGTAATGTTATCAAGACTTCCCTAACTATGAACTGAATGAAAAGACACACCTTATATTTAGAGCTTTGAACGATTAGGCTTTCCTGCCAAACAAATGAAAAATACCGATGCCTCGTGTCATCTTTAAAACTGACTTATCTTCCACTAATTTTTTTTCTATATTTAATGTATTCTCACTTTTATAGCTTTCTGGTTGAATTACTTTTTGTCTGTCACATTAATTAGATCATCCCATGAAAACCATTTCTGGTGATGGAGGCCTCCTCTTAAACGATGTATGTTTTGTCATCCTCATGAGAGTCTCTACTTTAAATATCCTCTTTTTGCCCTTTTTGTAACTGGAGTGTAGCCAGGATTTTTCAAATGAGTGGGTCACACTGTTCAACAGAGAGAGGGGGGAGTAACGGGCAACCCCCCCCCCGAAGTAACACTTTTATATTACCTGTTAATTGCACTTAAAAATGGCCGTTTTCGCCATCGAACCAACCAGGAATATCACACAATCGTTGACATTAAGTATCCAAAATGCTGCACATACGCAAAAAAAATAAGTTTTTAAATTAATAATTCTATTTTGATTGCCACAATTTGTGTTAAACTTTATTTTTTATCCTTGCTTTCTTATTTTTTATCCTTGCTTTCTTATTTTTTATCCTTGCTTTCTTATTTTTTATCCTTGCTTTCTTATTTTTTATCCTTGCTTTCTTATTTTTTATCCTTGCTTTCTTATTTTTTATCCTTGCTTTCTTATTTTTTATCCTTGCTTTCTTATTTTTTATCCTTGCTTTCTTATTTTTTATCCTTGCTTTCTTATTTTTATCCTTTTTTTTGTAGTCTTTATAACAACGGTTTCATCAAGGCCGTACGCCTACTTATCATTGCACCATCACGCAAATTTTACCATATTAGGGCAACGGACCGCACAAAATAAGCAACATACACCTTATTCGATGGTTTAACATATAAAATGAACGGATATATTGCTCATGGCTCGTATTTCCCAATCCCTTAAGGGTTCAAAAAATACAAAGCAACTCGCAAGACTTCCTCGCTTATTATATGTTGAGCCATCAAAAAAGGTGTGTTCTCTGGTTTCTTTTTTTTTCTTTTTTTTAACACCATAGAGTATGCCATCTATTCACGTTCGTTCCTGGAGACGTGATTACCTCTACCCAATGAGAGCTGAAAGAAGAACCCCATGATTTGTCGTTCGTATCCACGTGACCAATCACGTGATCAGCGTTAATTACATATTTACAACAATGCATTGCGGTCAACCGCAAAATTATCTGACGTACGTCAAGAGAAGTAAGGTCCAACGCAAAATTTTCGTAGAAGAATACATCAGTGCTTCCTTTCTTCTTCGATGTTCGATGTGACTCCAATTGTTTTTGTCCCTCCAACAGTAGCACGTTTATATACAAATCTGCAAGTTAAAAATTCGAGAGGTCAGGGATCAAAACTTGGCTGAATCATTGTATTGTGTTTTTAGGAAAAACACTTTACTTTATGAATGCCTCTTTTCGCTTAGGAGTTTTAACGGGTACCGGCCATTGTCAGTGAAGCTTATTAAGTGCTGGGGGGGGGGGGTATCCCGTCTAGGGGAGAGTGGTAATGATCCTTGTCGTGTGATGCTGTTAGGACTAGGATAAGCTCTAGCTGGGTGGGCCACTTGGTGCAAGTCCTTTTTTATCTAAATTGGATTTGACTTGATCCTCAGGGGTGAATTCCTATTTAAAGAAAATTCAGAAGTTGAAAGCTTGGCACTCAAACCAACCCTTGGAAGCGACAAACCCTGTCTAACCATCAATCTCTGTGCCGATCCCTTTTGACATGCGTTAGTCCCAAGTTGAAAATGATTGAATTCAATAAGTGATTTAAAATAACTTAATTCAATACCATGTTGTCGAACTTTGCCAAAATTTAGTGTATAAATTTCCCTTTAAAAGAAAAAAAAAACAAACATGGGTAATAAAATGTGCTGGGTTATATCAAAGGACTAGTCTTAACAATGAATAACGAATAAAAACTATTATATTACCTGAACAACTTACGCCACATCGGTCTTGTCTCTTCCCCTCTCGGGCCTTGCAGCAGAGGTTGCGAGCCTTTACAATGTTTACCTTTAGACGGCTGGATGCTTTGTCGAAAAAAAGAGACACATTCACTTCCCCGGCTGGGAAATCTGGCAGCACCTACCCAGAAAAATAAAAAGGATCTTACGTGGGTGAATTAGGACTTTAAATCACTAATAGCAACCATTTTACTCCGAGGGGCTTTTTTCCTTTTCCTGAGATAGCTTGTTGATATGAAGATGTAGCTCTATTTCCCCACTCCGTAGCCGTTCGAGTGTTTCCGAAAAGCTCTGTGATAGGGGCTGGCTGGTTTAGCAAAATAATCTCTAAACAATTATTAACCTCAGCGTCTTTGAAAGGCGCTAAATAATTTTAACTGTTGACCAAAATCAGCACGCGCACTTTTCCTGTCAACTCTTTGATGATCAACACCTTTTTTGTTTCATGAAGCCCTATTTGCATGAGAAAAATCGCCCCAGGCAAGCGCAACCTAGTTACAAGGTAAAGACATCTCTGACATCACGAATGATAAAAGCAGTTGTTAGAAATGATTTAACAATGTAAAATTTCATAGTCACTGTATTCGTCCCCAGTTTCTTGAGAAGTCTAAGTAATTATCAGTACACACGGTATAATCATTTTTGTTCAGGAAGGGCACTAACGTTACTCGTATTTGTACAAGAAATAGGTAGCCGAAATCTTGATTTTTCACTTTGCCAAGAACTTTAGCGATATTTGTCTGCTTCTATTTCCGGAAAAAATTGTTTCGCGTTGGATTCATTAAAGATGTCTTAATAGCACTTAAAATGATATTTAGGACTGCACATTTGCGAGTTATAATTTTTTAAACTTATTGTTATCCTAAATAAAACTACCCAAAATATTTGCCAAGCAAATATAAGGGCTGTAGACGTGGCTTAATTTAAACAATAAGGTTTTGTTTTTTCGTGTATGCAATAGAATTGATTAAAAACGGTCTGCTAAGCTTGCTTTCGAGAAGCTGCTTTTATGAAAGAAAGTAAAACTTTATCCCATTATCACATTTTATGAAAAAATTTTTCATCGTTTTGATTTATTGATTCATGTTGATAATCCATTTGAAAGAATATACGGCTCTTAAACCCCCTACCCACCTCTAACTGTATGTTAAGGGACCTATACGCCTAAATGACTCTCAAAGAAGTCTATTATGCTGCAGTTTATTTGTAAAAGTCATGCACTTTCGTTGTGAATAATCTTGAAAGACTGGTTCATACAATCGGTCATTCGAACAGCGACTCTCGCATGTGAAACGAAAAGAAAAAAAAATCTCGATTTGCGGTTCCTATTTAGCTTCTTTTCTGGCTGGCACTTTAAAACAAGAAATAATTATCGTTAATGCAGATATGTCTGTCTTGAAGCAAAAGCTTGAAAAGTCCCATTTAACCCATTGCCATTCATTGACGTAGTCGTTTAGTAAAGCCGATTCATATTTTATTTTCGCTTTTTTTTGGTGTACCACTTGTTCTGCATAGTCAAGAGCCAGAAAGCCAAAAAAATCACGTTTGAAAAACAACCTAAAACAATATAACAGCTAGGTGCCGTAGAACGAGCAAAGCACTTCATTCCTCGTAATTGTCGAATTATTTTTTACATAAATTTCAGTTGAACTGATTTTATTTTTTGGTAAACAAGCGAACAACTTGACAGGTTGTTATCGAGAGGCTTTTTATTATGCAGAATTTGTTTCGCAGAGATTTTTGTTTTCAGTTTGAAAAAGTGAAATAAGAATATTTGGTCCGTTAAGTTACCTCTCCGTGTCTTGAATCAGTCATTTTCTTGGTCATATAGAACAAAGATGAAATGAGACGAGACTCCAAAAGGGATATGATATGGTTATGGATCGACAGACGATTGAATGGATTGCAATGACAAACTCAAAACAAGAACTATTGCATGACTTGTGAACTGTGACGACGGTTCTTCTAATCCCTGTTCTCTTTCCTTAACTACACTCACCTGGCCAACCGTCATCATGTCCAATTCGTCTTCTTCGCCTTCTCTAACTTTCAGTAAATAGTTGTTATTCTTCGCATCACCGCGAAACGATGGGTCGACCGAAATGTTCTCTTTCTTCGCACTAGCTAAATAGAGTCCACTGAGAGCTTTTGCTTCACTGCGGTATTTTTGTTTTGCTTCTCTCGCCGTATCGGTCACGCCAGGTGTAAGAGACATCGGTTGAACCGCATGAACCGCCAGTAGATCAGAACATGGGGAAATGGGCAACCTTTTCTGATTTCTACGATCGCCCGTCGCTTCCATCCATTCAAACCACGTTTCTTCATCCTCTTCGTCTTGAAATACGGACGCAGTTCCTTGCTTATTTCCCATTATTAAAAGTCTCCTTCGAAAGTGTTTGTAATGTGTCTTCTGCTTGAATGCATATGTTCGTAGATGGTGAATCAAAATAGATTAGCCCTCGCTCAAGTTCGATCGCTTGGTTGAAATTCTGAATGCGAATAATCCCCCGCAGACATACAACAAAGGCGAAAACTTTTGTAAAAATGTGCCAGAGGTAAACATAATCATTTGTACGACTTCCCGGAATAAATTAAATATTCATGATTGACTAACTTCTTTATTTTTATCTGCAGCATAATGACTTTGACAGCTTCAACGCAGAGCGAATATCATTATTATTATTCTTGGGAATATTAACATTTGTTATGCAGTTTCAAAATTTTTTCCCTTTTTTTTGATGAAGCACGAGAAAATTGTAAATAAAAATTGTATTTCGCTTTAAATCTTCCATGATGATGTGGTTGCATAATTTTATTTGGTTCTAAAAGGGTACAGCTGTACAAGAACAATGCGGTGCGGGGATTTAATGAAGATATTTTTTCATGTAATTAGAATCTTAACGTCAACAGCGAAGGGGAACAAGGCCAATAGCAAAGTTTTAACCAAATGCCCACAGAATTATCCAAAATTTCTTAGCAGAAAGACTAATGCCCTCTCGGGCCTCATTTTAGACCAAGTTGCTCGGGAGAGTTGTTCACTCTTCCTTTGAAATTGATCTTTCCGAATGGCTTCAGGCAAATGTGCGCGTGGGACACTCGTGGGTGCAAGATATGAAAGTTGGAAAGGAAGTTACTAGGTTTTTGACTGATCTGATCTTCTGTTAAACTTGGAGTCAGATTGAGGCGGCATATGTTTGATATTTTTTCTTTCTTCCGGTAGAGAGGGTGATATTCGAGACAGTGTGATGTTTGCTACTCTTTCTGTCCATTTTTCACCTTTTTGTATCCTTCGCTGCACCATTTGCCACCGTTTATGTCATTGAATTAATTTCGCTGCATATGGTTTTTAACATTATCGACTCTTTCGTCCCACTTCGCGAGAACTTTCAGGTTTGATTATCCGGTCATTCGTAACAGTGTTATCAAATCTTAGATCGGGTCTTGTTCGTTTTTATGTTAGTTCGTCCCTTCGTTCGTTCATTCGTTCGTTCGTCCCTTCGTTCGTTCGTTCGTTCGTCCCTTCTTTTGTTCGCTCGTTCCTTCATTCGTTCGTTTGTTTGTTCGTTCATTCTATCATCCGTTATTTTGCTCATTCACTCCGTCTTTCAGTCGCCATCATGTTGGGTCGGTGGATCGGTGTGTCGATCGTTCGTTCGGTAGCTTAGGCTCATTGGGCTGTTCAATTGATACTCATTGGCAAGATTATTTTGATTTCAGACAAGTTAATACATGGAATCACTTTTAGTGACAGAACAGTGCGATAAACCTCTATGAATATTTTCGTATTTTTGTATTTTTAGTTTCACTTATTGATGAATCAGCATATCATTTCCTCTTTTCTCACTAGCCTCAAACGGTATTTGTTCGATGTTGTACAGAAGGGAAAACGAACTCTTCGTCCAGCCAAAAACAGTTTAAGACATTTATCTTTAGAGACAAGCAACAGAAGACATATCGCACATACATTGCTTAAGTTGTAAATCATGTCTTTTGTCTTTTCAAAACCCCCAGCGTTAAAAGGATGCAAACAACAGCCCCTTGTGGTGGAAGTGTCAGCCAAAATCGTTGTCACGGCAACTATAACGCCAGCCACGAACTGTATGGCGAACAAACGAATGCTACACAACGGTTTTGGCTTGACGCAATTCATGTTGGGTAATAAAAATTTTCTGGCATATATCGTGAAGATTAAAGCAACGGTAGAACTAGTTTGCAAACAAGAATACAGGGAAATAATTAAACGGCAGGTCCCCACTCGTATCTTTCGATGAGCTGTTAGGTAAATCTCTACCGCTCCCGAAGATAAAGTTTCCTGTGCGATAACGAGCCATTCCAACAAGGAAGATAATATGATTAACACGATGAAATTGTCATGAAGAAGAGACATTTCTCGTAGTCTTCTGGATTCTTTAGTGAAAAGCATTGATAAAACTGATACGAGAAAATAAACAAACCCCATACTGAGTAAAAATAGGCACCATTGCTTGGAGTGAAGACAAACAGATGTGCTATCTCCTGATCCTTGAAAAAGATGAAAATCGTAGTGTGTCATGATTTAAACAATTTTCAGGACTGTTGCATCAGGACTGATCCATTCTTCACTATCTTGGCAGCAATATAGTTTACAAATAAATTCGACGTCCCGCTGTGCTTTGAATTTGTGTTGTCCTCAGACCACAAGTAAGGCATTTGCACCACGCCATACCATTAAAACGAACACCACCCCAAACCACGTTAAGAAAATAGGAGCCCTCTTTCAACCTAAGGACTGTAATCCACTCTTAGAATTACATGTATTTCTTAATTTATCTGACGATATTTAGCACCTTTTAAAGTCATCATTAATTAAATCGTTAATTTCAGGCGTGATCGGTTTCAAAGAGCATGTAAACAGTACCTGTTGAAAATAATTCTCCTGTAATGTTATATTTTGTGTCTCGTTAAACACAAAAAATGAAAAAAATCCAACAGTTTTACGAAAATAAAAAAGAAACTTTGAAATAAACGTGAGCAAAAAGGTGCTACAGAAATCACGTTGCTTTTTAATCTGATTGGTGCCACATTTAAACCATTACACTCATTTTGAGATGTGTAGAAATTAAATCTTAACCTCTTGTAAATGAGCTCAATGGTCGCCATTTTTAGTCGTTTGCCCCATATTTCTGTCATTCCATGAAATTGACTCTTGGTCAGTCCTATGACAAAAACAAGGAAGACGATGCCAACTAGTAAGTAAAGGCGATCAGAATCACTAGTTGTCAATTGTTGCAAATAGGCAAACGATTTCAGCCAGTACGAACTTTCAGAGAGGGTAGTAATTACTTGCTACTGTTCTTTTATATGCTTGAACTGGCATTGACTATAGTTCAGTGGTACTCTTATTTTACTCTGAAATTTTCGTAAAGCTTTGACTCAGTCAGTTTACCATTACCTTCTTAAAATAAAGCAACGGACTTCTCCTGGAACCCTTGCATGTTCATGCTGTTATTTTGTTTCTTAAGCCAATTTGTAATTATAATACATCAGGATAATCAAAAGCAATTACATATACATGAATGTGAAATAACCGAAAATTTAACATGTGGCGAGGAAACCCAAAAAGAAAACCGAAAAGAAACCAAAAGTTTTAAGCGAGCGACAGGCTCCTCATATTTTGCAAAGTGAGACATCAGTTACATAGCGTGATAATTTAGATTCAAAGGAAAGAAAAAAACACACGCACAGAAAACAACAACGACAATAGCAGGCACTCAAATAAACATATCCTTAAGCAGGGTAATTTAGTGCTATCATTTAAGTTGATAACTTAAATTTGCCACCGTTAGCTTAAGGTTAGGTTAGGTTAACTTATCAACTTAGTAAATACTAAATTACTTGATAATACTAAATTTCCCTGTTATATTGTCCCACCGATGTAGCACCACAGTTTCTTCAGAAACTTACCTCCTTTATTCATGTACTTAAGCAGCTTGAGAAAATTGCGAAAGTAAACATAGGATTAATGTTCACAATTAATATGAGACTTCCAACAGTTTTGGATTTCTATAACCAGAGAATTGAAAAGTTTAGGTCCTTGGAGACGTAACGCAAACTGTCTAATATTTGTTTTAATATTTGTTCTAATATTTTTAATAATGATTTTTATTTTCTTCAGAAACTTACCTCCTTTATTCATATACTTAAGCAGCTTGAGAAAACTGCGAAAGTAAACGTAGGATTAATGTTCACAATTAATACGAGACTTCCAACAGTTTTTGATTTCTATAACCAGAGAATTGAAAAGTTTAGGTCCTTGGAGACGTTACGCAAACTGTCTAATGTTTGTTTTAATATTTGTTCTAATATTTTTAGGAGGTATGTAAAAAGGAGTTGCATTTTCTGGTGTAATATCAGTGAATGCTACTCGACAATGAAAATAATCTTTTGGGAGCACCAGGAAGACGGCCTATCTTGATCAAAGACATAATATTCCCTATTTGAAATTGATATTTATTTTATAGATTAACAATTTTTAACTGCTTAAATATGAATGCGATATAATTTACTTTCCAATTGTTCGTCACAGGTGTTGATTGACGGTATCGATATTAGAACTCTGAACCTTCAGAGAGCGCGACGTTCGATGGCTGTTATCCGGTTCTCTTTGGAGGTAGCTTGAGGAGAAACCCCAACCCATTTTCAGTACACACAGACTTAAAAGCTTCATTTACTAACAGGTGAAGGAGACAAGGTCCAACTTCGATTCAGTGTTGGTGAGAGGCAGCTGGTCTCTTTGACTTGTTCAGCAAGTTTTCATCACAAATTTAAAGACTTCAAAGTGCTGACCATTGCTCATCGTCTAAACACCATCATGAACTATGACAAGGTGGTGATTCTTGGACGATTGGACTGATGGGATGGAATTAAGCAATGATTATCTTGTACGACCTGAAAATAAATTTCAATTCTTATAATGAAAATTTTGTTTGTAAATTAAATGCGCACTATTCAAGTTGTAAAGAAGCTGATGAATCTGCCAAAGTCGTTGCAATCCAATGAGGGTAGCATTGTTCCGATAGCTTTGAATCTCAGTTCTATGAATTAGCTGAAAGAAATGCACCGTAGTTATGTTTTAGTTTAATTGTACCGGTGATTATAGAGATGCTCATACTCTGATTGGTCGAGGATTACGTCATATCTCTCTATAATTACCTCCTGCAATGTGATCATAGCAGTAGCGCTGAACTTCACCTCACGCCAGTGCTACAGAGGAAGTGATAAACGCGATAGAAGAAATCCAATTTCGAAGAGTACAAAGGATGCCATAGAGTCTGGCGTAATGCTTTTTAAAAGTTATCAAGTTTTTGCTGATTTAATTACTGGCTGCGTATCCCGATACGAGTAATCAAAACAATGTAACAGGATGGCTTCCAGAACTAAACGAATTTGCAACAGAATTCGAAAGCACTGGAACAATTATACTTAAGTAAAAACATGGAAGCGACATCACCTTCTACAGTACTGAACGATTATTCGCCTCAAACGAGGTGAATATCATTGAATAATCTCCTCGAATGGTCTTGGGGATTATTCAATAATATTCACTTCGCCTGAGGCAAATAATAGTTAAATTCTGTGGAAAGTGAAGTCGCTTTCATGACTTCCAGTGCGTTTTAGCAATGATTATAGCATACCAACGAGATAGTATTCCTGTGATTCTGAAGAAATTAATTTCATAATCTTCAGTAAACAGAAACGCGGTAACTTTTGTAACGTCCTATGGAAAATAATGAAGCGGATGATTTAACTTTTAAGGTAGTCGGTGTATAATGAGAGAGGAACGAAGAAATTTGCATGTTGAAGTTAAGAGTGTTTCCATTATTAGATCACAGTCAATCAACCGCAGCGTTGCGTTTCTTAAATTACGGACTACATCTTCGACAGAAGATTTTCATCTACCAGTTTTTACGAGCGCTGCATCACACGTTAATTTCATTTAATCAGTTGGCAGCGATAAGTTCTTGCTTCTCATGCTTGCCCCTTGACTTTACACCGCAATTCAGAAATACTGGACTAAGGAGAAACGTTCACTTGTTCACGCCACATAGATTGCGTGCAAATGGACAGTTTCTAACACGAGGCATTTGTATAGCAGTCGCAGTGTTCAGGTCAGTGCTGAATCAGCGGAGCTTTTAAAGTTAGTTAAAAACGCACTGTCGAGTCCTTTTATTTACTTACCGTATTTATTCGACTATTAGCCGAGCGATTTTTACACAAATTAAACTGAAGTAAATTAAAATTGGCGCTCTAGAGGGGGTCTCGGCTTATGGCCGAAAGTAAAAAAAAAATTTTCTAGCGCATGGAAACTCTACTAAATCGGGATGTATTTACTTATAAGCTAACTTAAAGTAAGGAAACACAATATGCAATCATTGGTTATTAACTTTTAATTCGAATTCGAGAGTGCGATTGGATGGTAGTTTGAACCGCGTCGGTGTCTCGCCCATGTTAAAGATTCTTGATAGGGAATAACCGTGATGCTAACGGGATGCGATTACAAATCGATGGAACTTGGCTGTTTTCTGCACGAGATTGTTTGATAGATACTACGGATGTTTTGAATTTATTTTTTGGATCACATTAATCCATCTGAGTTATGAATCGTTGCTTTTCAAGTGAATAGTTAGCTTTTTTGTCCTTTACATATTAAATCACCATAAATAACCATTGTCTAAGCCTCATTTATGACAATTAATGTGATTTTTTTCAGAAAATGTTAGGTTTTCCCGTTGTTAACAATTCAGTCCTGTAATAATGAATGGGTCTCGGCTTATAGCTGGGTGTTTTCGACTGCTTAGAGCTCTCTCTTTAAATGTCAGCTTTTTCACTGAATGTGCAATTACTAAATGTTTCTTGCATACTTAAACAGGTAATTATAAGTCTAATGATAGAAGACCCGGTTATTACGCCAAAAGCTTATAAATCATACGTCGTGCCTTCCGCATCGTTACATCCCTTAAAAAACTACCTCAACTTTTAGAGCTCCTCTCCTATTAAATTTGACCCCCCTCCCCCCTCCCCTCCCCTCTCTTCTTGCATGTAACTCGATAAAGAGCGTTACACAGCCTGCTCGTTTAAGGGTTTACCTGTTATCTTATTTTCACAGAACAAGCAAAAGGAGGAAAGGAAGGATTACTTTTGAAATATGGAAAGGGATGAACCGGCGGGTAGCAGTCGTTTAACAGCCCCACATCCTTATGACTCCGCAAACTGGCGCTCCCGAGTAACACTACAGTGGATGAACACCGTCTTAAAACTTGGCAGCATGAAACCACTGGGAAAGGAAGACATTTTTCCCGTTCGCGAGGAAGACAGTATGGATCAACTCGTTCTAAAACTTGAAATTAAATGGCAACGAGAAGTTTACATCAGCCGAGCTCAAGGTTGCAAACCTCACATGTGGAGAGCATTATCCCGTATGTTCTCATGGCGAGCGTACATGACGCTGTTTATTCTCAAAGTACTGAGACTTCTTGCCTCCGTTTTTCTACCACTGCTGCTGTGGTTTTTCTTGTCACACCTGGAGCAGGAACAGCAGGGATATTCTGTTTCTACCATTCTGTTTGTTGGTGGTATAATTGTTGTTGTTGTAACCAAGGGACTGACGAAGAATCACTACACTGGGATGACAAAAATATGGGGGATACGACTGAAAGTGGCGTGCATCGGGCTTATCTACAAAAAGGTGAGTGCCACGGATTTGAAGCAAAGAATAGTAAAGTAGCTCCTAATTTTACGTTCTTGATCTTGTTATCGCTAGGGTCCGCTACTTTTTACACAGCTTCATTTCAATGGGTGGGATGGAAGGTGCCGGAAATAAGACGGAAGTGCCTCTTTGATCCACCATCCTATTGCATTGATGTAGCAACTAGGTCATATAAAAATAGGGTTATATATTTAGCATCCACGCTTCCAAATTCAAAATGGGGATAAAGCACAATCGAATCTCTGCCTACATGGGGCGAATTCAGAGATCTGTTTTCTTTCCACATCTCCTCTGTGGTTTAGTAATAAAAGACGCTAACGAAGAGTCTTATCCTAACAGCTGATTTCGTCTAATAGTTTTCGTGGAGCGATGTTTTTGTTTCCTTCCAGTGATAGGATTCCTTCCGATGCATCTTAGAACCACTTCTAACCTTGGTTCAACAACTCATGGTAATTCTGTTTAGATAGATAAGCTGCCTGGGATATTCACTAAACGCTATGTAACATTTCTCTTTTACGCAGATTCTAACCAAGCTTAAGCGAAGTGACGTTCAGGAAATTATCACAGGAAAGACCATAAATCTTGTGTCAAACGATGCTCGGAAGATCGAAAAAGCTGTTTGGGATTTATCCAATATCGTTTTCTTTCCTATCGAGATTTTGGCTGCTTGCGCTGTTCTTTTGACCTTGATCGGATGGAAAGCTCTTGCCGGAGTTTCATTTTATGTTGTATTAATTTGTTGCATCATTGTACTGTCACATCAAAGTGGAAAGCTACGCCTCAAAACTCAAGAGGCCAGAGACAAAAGACTGGAAGTTATGAACGAGGTTGTTTATAACGTTCGGGCTGTTAAAATACACGCCTGGGAAATGAAGTTTGCTGAAATAATCAATCAACTAAGGAGGTAAAATACACCAAAGAAAGTAATGAAGTTATATTCAAAGTTCCTGGTGGTACGGAATACCATTACCGGGGAGGTTTTAATTCCACCTTCGATCCAGGCAAACTTTTGTGACTGATTCATAGGGTTTGTTATTTTATAGCTTTATATCCGTAGTCCTCGTCTACAGCTCCGAAGGCGTTTGCTTTCAAGCCTTGAAGTCTAGACGTATTCCTGTTTTGATATTTTCATTAAAAAAAACTAGCTTTCAAACGATTTCATTTCCACGCTTCTCCTTGTTGCTTATTGAAAGGGATGATCAACCGAGGCGAAATATTTTCATACTTAGCATCTTAGTCTCTGATTCAAGTCCCAAAAAAAAGACCCGGTTTTAGCAAAAGGAAATAAGACCAGCTTATTTATGTGCCAATCATTTTCCTTCATAGGCGAGAAATGTGGTTTGTCCAACTACGAGGGCTCATTGTGTCCGGCTTAAATTCCGTGGGTTTCACAACAGCGCCATTGGCTAGTCTGCTATCTATAATAACTTTGACCGCTACCGGGGAACAGATCACTGCTTTCGCAATGTTTACAATCCTATCCTGCCTTAATGTAATAAATGATTCTGTGACAATGGCCATGGGTTTCTCACTGCCCTATGTTGCCGAAGGCTACATTGCCGTCAAAAGAATCGAGAAGTTCATATTAAGGCAGTTTGGATTGACATCGGCTTTATTCGCTAAGCAGGATAGGCGATTGAAAAGAAAAGGATGCAGTACAGCCGTCTTCAGACCAGAGAGCTTCAGATCTGGAGACACTAAACTTCACTCTGTATCTAAAACTCCAACGAAGATAGATACAGAAAAGAACGGGCTATCTATGGTTCGAGTCTCAGCTTCATGGGACAGACGTGAAGACAGGAGAGCTTTAACGAACGTTACATTTTTTGTGAGCCAGGGTGAGATGTTAGCTGTAACAGGACCAGTAGGGAGTGGAAAGTCCTCTCTGTTGATGGCAATTCTTGGAGAGCTACCTGCTATCAGTGGAACAGTGGCATTTAATGGAACAGTCGCATATGTTCCACAGATTCCCTGGGTTTTCTCGGGCACCGTTAGAGACAACATTCTTTTTGGAAGACACTTTGACATTAAACGTTACAACGAGATTCTTGATGTTTGCTGTATGCAACCAGACCTACAAAACTTCTCTAAAGGAGACTTGACCGAGATAGGACACCGTGGTGTAAGTCTCAGTGGTGGTCAGCGTGTACGTGTAAGTTTAGCACGTGCACTGTATTCTGCTGCAGATATCTATTTGCTGGATGATCCCCTCAGTGCAGTGGATGCCAAAGTTGGAAAGCATCTCTTTAATAACTGCATTTGTGGATTTCTCTCAAACCGGATTCGTGTTTTGGTGACGCATCAGCTTAACTACTTAACTCACATACCTAACGTAATGGTGCTGAACAACGGTGTCCAAGTCGAGGAAGGACATTGCTTCAGGGAGGAGGATTCCAAAACTTTTCAGTTTGTTTCCCAAACAGAAAGTGCCAAAGCGACATGCAAATCACCTCCGCATAGACCAACTCAACTTCCTCATGAAGAAGACCTTGGGGATCAAAATTTAAAAGTAGAGGAAGAAGACCGCAATACTGGTTCCATTACTTGGAAGATATATTGGAGCTACATCAGGACAGCCCTGAGAGTTCCTTTTGTGCTCTGCCTTTTTCTGGCTGTTCTTGGCATAAAAGGTATTAGAAAAACATTGTAATTAAATAGTTCCAGTTTCATTGGTATGGGTAACATCGAAGTTTTAATTTCTTTTGGTGAAGGTTACCTCACAGGATCTCTATGAAACCAATATAGTTGCCCAATCAGATCTGCATTGCAAATTAATTTTTTTCGTTAGATAAATATTTATGTTGGAGCCGACGTACCAGGTATTTGAAATCCAGATTGTTAATAAAGTGATTCTCTCAGAATATAGATACCTGCTCATTTCTACTGGAAGTATTCACTCCTCGTTCCAACGATTTAATTTCAGTAACATAACTTTTAGGATTATTATTTTCCATTTGTTCTCTTTAGGGTTACTGGTTGCTTCTTACTGGTGGGCTTCCCAGGTTACGCAAATGAGTCAGGAAGGACAAAGATCCTTTACGACATTGGGAATATACGGCGCTCTTGTTGGATCATCCTTTTTGGGCAACATAGTTGTGTCTTACCTTGTTTGTCTAACACTCCTCCTAGCTTCTGAAATGTTGCATAACAAGATGGTCTTGGCTGTCCTAAAGGCACCAGTTCTGTTTTTCGACAAAACTCCAGTTGGATGCATTTTAAATCGTTTTTCTAAAGATATCAGTGTCATGGACGATAATTTGCCTACTCGCTTTCTCCTGGCTGTGGAAGTCTCTTTATTCTCCATCAGCACCGTTCTTCTTCCTATTGCAGCCAACGCCTGGCTTATTTTAGTGGCAATTCCTGTCGTTGCAGTTGTCTTATGTTATGGACGATATTATATAAAGTCATCTCGTGAAATTAAACGATTGGAGGCTATCACCTGCAGCCCTGTATATTCACACATTTTAGAAACCGTCGCCGGACTTGAAGTAATTCGCTCATCTCAAATGGAGCAGGGTTTCTTGAAGAGTCTATTTAGGTAAGTGTACAGTCTAAAACCCCCGATAAAGCTGTTCGAGATTTGGTAATGAAACTTGGTAATGATTACTTATTGTTTTTTCATGATTAACTCACTTCTAATGCAAATCGTGACTTTGGTAATGTATACTGTTGTTGTCCTTTCTACTGGGAACGTGTCACCTTTTAAAGCTAAGTGCTCAGCTGTGATTGGCTGGTAAGGATAACTGTTGTAGTGATTTTAACCATGTCAAATACCAGGTAAAATGACAAAAACCTAGAGAGAGAAAGGGAGATTACCCTGCCTTATTGGGTTCTTCTAACATTTTTTCCCATTTTCTCATCCCAAATTCTCATGGATTCTTTTAGTGTAAATGTCTTACCATTCAAATTGATTCTTTTCATCTTCTAAGACACCAGGATGAAAACACATCAGCTGCAATCATGGTTATCACCAGCACACAGTGGCTTAATGTGCGCATGACTACTGCTTGCAGTCTAATGATAGCTGCAGCGGCAATTGGCGCAGTTCTTGTCACTCAAAGCCCAGGTAACGTTGCACCATTTTTCAGAGTTTCTAAGATGCGATCGTTTTAGAAACAGATTTTTGCTGAAGTTCTGCTCAGTGATTGGTGGCGAAGCGATGAAACGAAAGACCAATGGGCTGTCAAAAGCTGATAGACAGAGAAAGGCAAAGCTATGCAGGCCTAAGCATCCAGAAAGACAAATGAACAGACATAATGAAATTAACAGACAAAAATTGAACTACCACAAACAACTTTGGACCTAAACACAGACACAAAGAAAGACGAAGTGACAGAAGAGAAAGTAAACAGACATAGTAACAGCTCGCCAAATAAACAGATAGACAAATCTAACTGAACCGAAAGGCATAAAGATTGAAAGCCGGGTAGAAAACCAGTAACATAGATGGACGTGCGGACGCAAAACATAGACATTATAAAAACGGTAAAGAAGCGTTTCGCGCCTTAATCATACCGATGATCTTATCAAAAACCATCTTTTAGCTTTGGCAGGGATTTCCCTTTCGTTCTTGCTTGAATCGTTGGATGAGGTACAGTACGGCGTCAAAGTAAGTTCTGAAGTTGAAAACAATATGACATCTGTAGAGAGAGTAATGTGGTATACTGCTTTAGAAGCTGAGCCAGGATATAGCACAAGATCTTGTCCTCCATCGTCCTGGCCGCAGCGGGGTAACCTAACCATCAGCAGGATGTCCCTAAGGTACACCAAAGGTGGTCCCCTGGTTTTGAAAGACATCAGCGTGTCCATCGCTGACAAGGAGAAGATAGGTATTGCAGGCAGAACAGGAGCTGGCAAGTCATCCATTGTCGCAGCCCTTTTACGCATGCCTGAACCAGAAGGAGAGGTTAGAATAGGTTATTTCACATTAGGTATCTACGCAGTCTTTAAATGTTAAAAAACGAACCCAATGCTCTAAACTGATGTCGCAAAAACGCATGCGAAAAAACAATGCGGTCATGTCTTGATTTCAAGTGTGATTGCTCATGACGTAATGAAAATCCCCAGAATGGTTTGATATTGTAATAGCCTTATCGGTGTCATTATTTGCACGACCACAGCCATTGATGACCTTAATTAGCCATTTTTATGAACTGATTCCTTTTTTCCGAAGGGGGTTGCTTTCGAACACTTTTTCAGCTTAAGTCACTTCTGAATCAGAATCTGTCATCTGCTTCCTTTGTTAAATAAAAGGTGGCGTTGTGTCGCTTTTATAGCGAGTTAGTCAATGTTCCTCGAACGATATGTGTATTCAGGATCGTTTACTTCTCACTTTAAAGGTTATTCACGGTTTTAATCTTAGTGGATATCTGAATGACATGATTAGGTTACGATTGGTTGTGAAAGGTGTCTGCAGCTTATACCGATTTGAAATACCCAGAGAAAATACAGCAGCAGATGGCTTTATTCTTTTCGATGTTCTGCTGCGATAACAAAAGAAACGCTTTAGATAATTTTGTGTAAGCCCTCGATGAATTTAAAGATTTTAAAGATTAATAGTTGTATTTGACTTTCAAAATGCTTCTTCAAAATAACGTCGATAACGATTTTTTTTAATTGTAAAGTAACTAGCAACCATATTTTCGAGTAGTTTTATTTTTTTGTAATGTAATTAGGGAATTTTTCTAAAGTAACTAATGAATTAGATTCACTTATTTACTAATTCATTTATTCATTTTTCGGAAAAATTGGCACTACCATACCACACCGAAAATCAAACAGAAATAGTGTTATTTATTTTTATCTCAAAGGGCACGGTAAGGGATCCTGCAATCTGATTGGTTCTTTACGCGGTCCGTATTTTCCTATCTCTGCCCACGGGAAACGGTAACGCTTTCGTGAATCGCCGAGTACATCCCTACTTTCGTTGCCATTTTTCATAAATATATATCGTTTTTCCAGCTGGGCAGTATTTTAAGCAAAGACGTCGGTCACTACCTCAAGCCGATAAATAACTTATTAATCCTCTCTTTTCTCTCTCTCAAATCACTTTGGTTGACAGAAAAATATTGGTTTCAGAATAACCTTTTTGTATAAGCAGTACTGTCATTATGTTGGTTGACAAGCGACTGAAAAACCGTCTGCAATAAATTTTAATAGTTCACAAAAAGTGTCTAGAAAGTTAAAACGTGAGGTATTTGGTTACAGTTGAACTAATCGATGGAACTTTCATTCATTTAATAAATGAATTTTCTCAAACAATTTGTTCGTAGGGAAAGGACGAACGAAGTTTTAATTTCAGTTCTACAACAAATACACGCTCTCGGTGAGTCTTTCCAAGTCCATTAAATTTAGACATTTGTACCATAAACTGCACAACAGAAACTGATGGAATTCGATGAGAAAAGGCCGCATTAAATCCCCTTGTGCCAAATTGGAGTGTATCATTCGAATTTAGTTTTTGTGGAGGAAAGACCAGATTTACACACGCTATTGCAGCAAACAAACGAGCAGACTCTCACAACTTCAAAATAAAAAAAAATTTGAATTAACTTAAAATTACTTTCCTTGCCGTTTACTTAATGAACAGAGGTAAATCTTCGTACATGAATTAATCGTCGACGAGAGTGAATAATACTTGCCGTGAGATCATTGACTGTTTTTGAAGAAAACATTGTCGTAACAGTCCTTGCCAAAGTCCTCCAGTCCTTTTTTCTCACACGCTCTCTAATTGACAGGTGTCAGATTGTGACAGATACTTGTAAAAATAATGTTTCAAAGTTTGTTTGGAAGCCTTTTAAATCACTTTTATCGTAACGGAAATGAAATGTGAAGCCTCTCTCTGTTATTTGCATCACCTCTATTTTAACTACCATTTACTCACTCAAAAATTGTTCAGTTTGTGGAAGATCTTGCCGTATTTACGGCCCTAAAGCATTCGCACTTTTTCGGAGAGAATTTCGCTAAGTTTTGAAAAAAAATGAAAATGTCATTCACCAGCCTAGGTCGGTTCTTATTTGGAAAAACTGTGCCCTCTGTCTTGAGTACCGCCCGAGGCGTACTCAAGAAAAATCTGAGATCAGATTTCACAATAACCGTTGGTTTTATTAACCAAGCTTTGAACAACCTGGCGTAAAAAATAAGACATTTAAAAATATTGAAGAGCAATCCATGATAGATAATCATTAAATAGTTCGAAAATTTTATTACGATGTAGTTAACTTTCCATTTGTTGGTCACAGGTGTTAATTGACGGTGTCGATGTTGGAACTCTTAACCTTCAGACAGCGCGGCGTTCCATGGCTGTTATTGCGCAGGACCCGGTTCTCTTTGGAGGTAGCTTGAGGAGAAACCTTGACCCATTTTCAGTGCAAACAGATCTGGATCTTTGGACTGCTCTTGAAGAAGTGCAGTTAAAAGCCATGGTGGAAAAGCTTCCTGGTCAGCTTGAGTACAGGGTGAACGAAACCGGGTCTAATTTCAGTGTTGGTGAGAGGCAGCTAGTCTGTTTGGCTCGTGCATTGGTTCAGAAGAGCAAGATTATCGTCATGGATGAGGCCACTGCCAATGTAGACTTCAAGACAGACAACTTGATCCAGGAAGTTATTCGTCACAAATTTAAAGACTCCACAGTGCTGACCATTGCTCATCGCCTGAACACCATTATGGATTATGACAAGGTGCTGATTCTAGATGGCGGACGAATGGTGGAATTTGACAAACCTGAAATTTTGATACAGAATGGTGGAATATTCGCTGAACTGGTGAAAAATTCCTATGCAAGGAAAAGTGAAATCAATGGAGTTAAGAGTGAAGGTCCAAATCATTGAAAATGCATCAAAAAAGAAATCCCATGGTAGAGGACAGAAACACCTTTCAGATGTTAAATTGCAGCTGAATTTTTTTCCTCTCCTCCCTTCCCTAGCTGTACACTAGTAATGTAAAGAAACTTAGCAGGGCTTGGCTGAAAGACACAGGAATGTTTCCTTATACTTTTTGCACGTCAGTGGTGGCCATCTCAGTAACTGCTGCTCGTGCACCAATAAGATGGAATTTTAATCACGGTTGATATTATAAAGACTGAAAGAGAATTTCAATCATTCTTGAGAAGTTTAGAATTAGTCACTTATTACTCATTGTGCAAGTTGTATGTGTTTTCATGCATGATTTTTTTGTTTGCTTAACTCTATCGCTTGTGACTTTGGTCGCAAAAATGGAAACGATGAACTCTGAAATAGCCAAGAAATTTTTAGATGCTTATTCATGATCTAGTGAGATGTTTTCGTGATTTAACAGATTATAACCGTACTCAAGCATAATGATCTTCATCGAATTGTAGCAGGAAAAAAAAACAATAAATTTTGTATCGAATGATGCTCAGAGGTTAGAAAGGGCAGTTTGGAGATTGTCCAATATTCTTTTTTTTTTATCCTTATGAGATGTTGGGTCCTTGCATCGTACCATTTATCGCAATTGAATAGAAAGCACCTCCTGGAGTTTCACTTTATCCAAGAGATCTAGATTTTTGTGATATCCATCCAGTCACGTAAAACTGGGTTACTGCGACTCAGAACGTTAGAGGTTAGGGATCAGTGAGGTTCTATGTGGTGCTTGGAAAACGACCTTTGCTGAATTTAAAACTTTACAAAATTAGAAACTATGTACATATCAGAAATTAATATTTTTCATGAGCTGCACACTCAGCTTTTATCCACATTACTGAGCAATTTTTATATGACAGGAACATTGAGAATCCATTCATCTGCAGCCACCGGAAAGCTGCCCACTTGTAAAGTCCAGAAGCTATAATTTATGCACACAAGGGGAAAAGGTAAGTGTGTTCCATCGTCAAAAACTAATTGAAAAAACGCGTTCTCACAATCAAGAATACATTGTCAAGTTTTTGTGACTGTGAAACCTATCATTAAGGGTTCACCACTACATGCATAGGTGTTTAATGGTTTCAAACAATTACCAAAAAGCACGTTAAGAAACAAATCCAGAATTTTTGAGGAAAAAATCGAATTTTACTTTCACTTCGTACAAAATCAATCTTGATTAATTCCATAACAACAAAAGAAGAATAATTGAGATGACTATTTGTGGGCGTGTAGCAAGGATGACAACAAAAATTCCTGTATCCGTCAGCTTAGACCTGCACAGTTGTTTTTTTCAATTACCAGTTTACAGCTAAGCAAAGAAGCTAAGAAAAAAAAATAAAACAAATCAGCCGCAATTAAGCTCCTAAAAGGCGTTTTTGTCCCAGCGATGAGACTTGAAAACAACTCTTAACATTTTCGTCAGTGTATTTTCCATGATTTGGACTTTTTTACTCTTTATTCCTTTGGCTTACATTTTCCACTCATTGGTATTCTTTACCAGTTCAGCGAACTTTCCACCATTCTGTATCAAAATTTCAGGTTTGTCAAATTCCACCACTCGTCCGCCATCAAGAATCAGCACCTTGTCATAATCCATAATGGTATTCAGACGATGAGCAATCGTCAGTACTGTGGAGTCTTTAAACTTGTGACGAATGACTTGCTGAATCAGGTTGTCTGTCTTGAAATCTACATTGGCAGTGGCCTCATCCATAACGATGATCTTGCACTTCTGAACCAATGCACGAGCCAAACAAACCAGCTGCCTCTCACCAACACTGAAGTTGGACCCTGCTTCCTTTACCTGGTAGTGAAGCTGACCAGGAAGCTTTTCCACCATGGCTTTTAACCGCACGTCTTCAAGAGCAGCCCAAAGCTCCAGATCTGTATGCTCTGAAAATGGGTCGAGGTTTCTCCTCAAACTACCTCCAAAGAGAACTGGGTCCTGCGCAATAACAGCCATGGAACGCCGCGCCGTCTGAAGGTTAAGAGTTCCAACATCGACACCGTCAATTAACACCTGTGACCAACAAATGGAAAGTAAATAATATCGTAATTGATATTATCAAATCATGCAAGGAATATTTATCATGTAATGTGGTAATGTGGTTTCAAACTTTCAAAAGTCTCATACCTTGATGTTTCATGTTTTGCCCACGCAATTTGTTGTTTAACAAAGGGCAGTTTTTAAATAACAGATTCCAATTCAATAAACACAATTTTCAATTCTTTGCTTTTGAAAGTCTTCTCAGAAAACCAATTGTTGAAGTGACTTGCATCCCGCCCTTTTACTCAAAATTCTATCGAGTGTTAAACGATACTAACTAAACGATTGTTGGGATTTTCATTATGAGATCAGTACACAACACCAAAATTGAATTAATATTGGTGTTTCAGTTTTAGTTTCTCACAGCGGATCTGATCGGTACTCTCGTAACAACTACAGTACATAAATATTTTAGATGCTCATAGCTTACTGGAGTTTACAGCAATATGTTAAGTAATGGCACTTTCCCGCATGCGTTTTTACAAAACTAGTCCCGAACGTTGCAAAGTAGGTTCGATTTTCATGTCATAAAAATCCTTGGATATGTTGTGTGAAGTACCGTATTCTAACCTTTCCTTCTGGTTCAGGCATGCGCAAAAGTGCAGCAATAATGGATGACTTGCCAGCTCCCGTTCTGCCTGCAATACCTATCTTCTCCTTATCAGCAACAGAGAAACTGATGTCTTTCAAAACTAGAGGACCACCTTTAATGTACCTCAGGGACATCTTGCGGATGGTTATGTCACCCCGCTGCGGCCAAGACGAAGGAGGACAGGTTCTTGTGCTATATCCTGGCTCAGCTTCTAAAGTGGTGTACCACATTACTCTCTCAACTGAAGTCATGTAGTTCTCAACGTCAGAACTTACTTTGACGCCATACTGGACCTCATCCAATGACTCAAGCAAGAAAGAAAGGGACATCCCTGCCAAAGCTAAAGTATGATTTCAATAATGAATATAATATAACCAGAAATTCTTGAGGTGCGAAGTGCTTTTTTGCCGTACTTCTTTCTCTCTGTTCTTTGTCTACGCGTCCGCCGGTTTTCTACCTGGCTGTCAATCTCTATGCCTGTCGGTTCAATTAGATCCTTCTGTCTGTTTATTTGGCTGTTACTGTCTGCCTGTTTGTATTTCTGTCAGTTCGTATTTCTATGTGTCTGTGATTAGGTCCGACAAGTCTTTCAATTTGTGTCTGTTAACCCACCACTGTTTGTTCATTTATCTTCCTGGCTACCTGCCCGTGCGTGCTTTTACCTTTAGGTCGCGTATATGTATCAGTCTTTGTCAGTCCGTCTATCTGTCCATTGTCCGCCAACCGCAGAGCAGAAACTCAGTTATTATTTCCAACACAAACAAAAGCTACCAGTTACTTTAACTAAAGGACCTACGAAGCTCTGAAAAATTGATGCAAACGTTACCTGGGCTTTGAGTGACAAGAACTGCACCAATTGCTGCTGCAGCTATCATTAGACTGCATGCAAGTGTCATGCGTACAGTAAGCCATTGTGTGCTTGTTACTACCATGATTAAAGCTGATGTGTTTTCATCCTGGTATCTTAAAAGATGAAAAGAATTCAGTTGAATGCATAGACATATACGCTATCAAAGGATTCCAGTAACGCAATGTAATCTGCCCTTTTCTTTCTGGTGTCCTTTTAATTTACCATTTCATCTATTATTTGAGACGGATAAAATTATTTTAGTAATTTTTTTTATTAAGTACGCGTATCACAAATGAACTCTCTCCCGAGGTAACTAAGGCCATTCAATGCTAATTATTTAGCAACGCCTCTATGAAGGAAAAAATTAATTTCTCGTCAGTACAGAATTAAAAGTCTGAATTGAATGAACCAAGATAAAAAAAGTTGTAGGCATTGAAGGAGGCAATTATACTTCTTACGAAGTTTCATCGTTTGTCTCACGATGTAGTCACTACAGCTGTGGGTGGCGACTTTTCGACTTATTAAAGAAAGTATTTATCTTCACAACTGTTGAATATCAGGGAATCAAATCTGAGCATAAAGCGTTATAAGGTGACATGTATCACTATGAAGAAATTAGTCTTAGTGGGCAGTAGAAACGTAGCGGCTCAAATCGAAAGTGTGTTATAAAAAGTTATTATCAATTTCAAAATATTTCAAACTCTTAATTTTCGCAATGAAGAGCAGATATTTAACTTGCTTTTTCATTTATTTCATCACTTTCCAATTCTTTCAAAATAATTTATCTTTGGTTTCAGATTCCAACTTACTTGAAGAGACTTTTCAAGAAACGCTGCTCCATTTGAGATGAGCGAATTATTTCAAGTCCAGCGATGGTCTCTGAAATGTGCGAATATACAGGGCTGCAGGTGATAGCCTCCAATCTTTTGATTTCACGAGATGACCTCATATAATATCGTCCATAATATAACACAATTGCGACAACAGGAGTCGCAACTAAAATAAGCCAAGCGTTGGCTGCAGTAGGAAGAAGAACGGTGCTGAAAGAAAATAAAGAAACTTCGACAGCCAGGAGGAAGTGAGTAGGCAAAACGTCGTCCATGTTCCCGATGTCTTTTGAGAAACGATTTAAAATGCGTCCAACTGGGGTCTTGTCAAAATACAGCACTGGTGCCCTGAGGACAGCCAAGACCATTTTGTTGTGCAATATTTCGGAAGCTTTAAGGAGAATGAAACAAAAAAGTAGTGAGACAGCTATGTTGCCTAAAAATGATAATCCAACGATAGCGCCGTATATTCCCAATGTCGCGAAAGATCTCTGCCGCTCCTGACTCATTTCCGCAACCTGAGAAGCCCACCAGTACGAAGCAACCAGTAACCCTGAAAAAATGAAAACAGTAAGTAATAATCATAAAAGGTATAATTAATGAAATCATATCATTGAAAAATAGTGCCAGAATTAATGATACACAGGTATCTTTCCCCTGAGAAAATCGCTTCCAGATCAGCCTGGATTAATATCCCTGGTATTTCAGCTAAAACATACATATTTTCCCCCGAAGAGGTAAATGTAACCATAGTCCCATTTTCATGTTTGATTTGAGTTTTTGGGGCCCTTTTCAGGCAGGAAAAAAACTTGAATTCATAAATACATATCTGATTGAGCCATGTTATTGGTATACCATATAAAACCTAAGAGGTCTTTACCAAGATAAAACCAAAAGGTTACCCACACTAATGAAAATGGACCTTGTGAGTTACAATAGTAGAAAATATCAGGTTGCTGTCGTTCAAAAGGAATGTTGTTCTCATACCTTTCATGCTAAGAACAGCAACAGAAAGGCAAAGCACCAAAGGAGCTCCGAGAGCTGTCCTGATGTAGCTCCAATATATCTTCCAAGTAATGGAACCAGTATTGCGGTCTTCTTCCTCTTCTTTTAAATCTTGATCCCCGAGGTCTTCATCATAAGGAAGCTGAGGGCTTCGATGCGGGGAAGATTGGCATGTCCCCTCAGCACTTTCAGTTTGAGAAGCAAACTTTTGGACTCTTCATCCTGGAAGCATTGTCCTTCCCCAACTTTAACACCGTTGTTCAGCACTATAACGTCAGGTATGTGAGTTAAGAAGTCAAGCTGATGAGTCACAAAAACACGAGTTCGGTTTGAGAGAAATCCGCAAATGCAGTTATTAAAGAGATGCTTTCCAACTTTGGCATCCACTGCACTGAGGGGATCATCCAGCAAATAGACATCAGCAGCCGAGTACAGTGCACGAGCTAAACTTACACGTACACGCTGACCACCACTGAGACTTACTCCACGGTGTCCTATCTCAGTCAAATCTCCTTTAGGGAAGTTTTGTAAGTCTGGTTGCATACAGCAAACATCAAGAGTTTTATAGTAACTACTAACGTCAAGAGGTCTTCCAAATAAAATGTTGTCTCTGATGGTGCCTGAAAAAACCCAAGGAATTTGTGGAACGTAAGCGACTCTTCCATTTAATGTCACTGTTCCGCTGATAGCAGAGAGCTCTCCAAGAATTGCCATCAACAGAGAGGACTTTCCACTTCCAACTGGTCCTGTTACAGCTAACATCTCACCCTGCCTCACACGTAATGAAACGTTGGTTAAAGCTCTTCTGTCTTCACTTTTGTTCCATGAAGCCGAGACGCGGAACAAAGATAACTCATTCTTTTCAGTGTTTGTGTTAGTCGGTGTTCTCGACATAGAGAGCAATTTAGCACTACCAGCTTTGAAGCTCTCTAGTCTAACGAAGGCTGTACTACATTCTTTTCTTTTTAAACTTAAACCAAGAAATCCATTTGGCCCCAGCTGCTCAGCAAATGTAATTTTTGCGTTGGTCTCTGCACATGTTAGTCCAATTTCCTTTGACATGAAGTCCTCTATTCGTTTGGCAGCAGTGTAGCCTTCGGCAACGAAGGGCAGCGAGTAAGCCATGCCAAGAGCCACAGAAAAATTTATTACATTAAGGCAGGATAGGATTGTAAACATTTCCAAAGCAGTAATATGTTCTCCAGTAGATATCAAAGTTATTATAGATAGCAGACTGGCCAATGGCCCTGTTGTGTAAATCACGGAATTTAGGCCGGACACAATGAGCCCTCGTAGTTTGACAAACCACATTTCTCGCCTGTGAAGGAAAATGATTAAAACGTGAATGACTTAAGATGTTCGATATCAAAATACCTCGCCTCTGTTGGTCGTCCCTTTTATTTGGGAGAACAAGAGGAAGGATGGAAATAAAATAATATTATCGTTATAATAAAAATAATAATAATAAAGATAATGATGGTAACATAATAAAAGGAGGAAGAAGAAGAAGAAAGATGATAATGGAGATAGCAATAAAAATAATAATGACAAAAATGACAACAATGGGTTCTTCTTTTCAACTATTTTCAGGTACAATTGGAATTTGTAGTGTGGGTTTTTGTGGGTGGAGTAAAACCGGAGGACCCGGAGAAAAACCGGGATAAACCGAGCAAAGAGGGGAGAACCATCAACAAAATCAACCCACACGTGACGCCAGGTTTAGTAATCAGGTGCTCTCTCCGCTATGCCATCCCCTCTTCCCAGTTAGTCTGGTTTGTTAGTTTTTTTTTTTATGAAAACAAAAAAGAAAGTATATGTGCAGACTTAAAGACTTGAAAGCCCACGAGTGGGAAATACGGATATCCAGCTACAGAAGAAAAGCCTCTTGAATTACTTTGGATGGTTGCTCAAAATCAAAGGTAGAGGTAAAGCATTGTAATGGTATTTTCTTCCTCTGGGCATAGTAACATGAATGAATCACTTTGTTTTGCTTATTCTACCTCCTTAGTTGCTTGATTACTTCAGCAAAGTTCATTTCCCAGGCGTAGATTTTAACAGCTCGAACACCATATACAACCTCGTTCATAACTTTCAGTCTTTTGTCTCTAGCTTCTGCTGCTTTGAGGCGTAGTGTTCCACTATAATGTGACAGTAACATGATGGTAGAAATGGATATTAAATAAAATGAAACTCCGACAAGAGCTTTCCATCCTGTCAAGGCCAGAAGAATTGTGCAAGAACCCAGAATCTCGATTGGAGAGAACAGAAAATTGTTCAATGCCCAAACAAATTCTTCCATCTTCTGAGCATCGTTTGAAACAAGATTTATGGTCTTTCCCGAGACGATTTTCTGAAGGTCACAGCGCTTAAGCTGCGTTAGAATCTGTGTAAAAAGGGGAATATCACACAGTGTTAAGTAAATATTCAAAGATGCTTGGTTATTTTTGTTGTGTTCTTCAAACGCGAAACGACTCCACTTTAAGAAGAGACATTTAATACACAACAACTAAACAGTAACTAACAAAAAAACTACAACACGCGCGGTTTGGAACGAAAACGAATATCAATAGATTCCTCGACAGTTCTGGGTTACGTAACTCCTGTGACGTTTAAAGTTAATTAATACAACAATTTTCAGAAAACAGTCTTGGAAACATAACCATGAGTTGGTGAACCACTGTTTTGCGGAATAAAACCAAACTAAAAAATATATTAAGAAAAGAAGCAAATGAAAAGCCGTTAGGGTAAACCTCGTTTCCAGGGTATTAATTTTTATCAGTGCACCTCAGAGGGAGGGGAGTAGGGCAAGAAAATAGTTCTCTGAATCCGCCTCGACTAAGAAGAGGATTTATTATCTTATTTAATAACGTTTTGGAACCTTGGTTGCTAAGTGACACTCATATTTAACTATAACTCAATTGTTACATCAATGCGTGGCATAGAGGACCAAAGAGGTAAGTCCCCCGTCTTCAGGCTCGTACCCAGTTTCTTCCTCCACGAATACCATCGAAATGAAGCTGTGAAAACTAAAGAACGGCCCTTACAGATTAAAAGGTCAGCAGCATAAAAGTAGAAGTTTTTCTATTATACTTTGCTTCAAATCCGTGGCACTCACCTTTTTGTAGATGAGCCCTACGCACGCCACCTTTAGTCGTATGCCCCATATTTGTGTTATTCCATAATAGTGATTCTTCGTCAGTCCCTTGATTGAAGAAAGAAAAATTATACCGCCAATGAACGGAAAGCTAGAAACAGAATATCCTTGCTGTTCTCGTCCCAGGTCCGACAAGAAAAACCACAGCAGCAACGGTAAGAAAACGGTGGCAAGAAGTCTAAGTACTTTCAAAACAATCAGCGTCGTGTACGCCCGCCATGAGAACATTCGGGATAATGCTCTCCACATGTGAGGTTTGCAGCCTCGGGCTCGGCTGTTATTAACTTCTCGTTGCCATTCAATTTCAAGTTTTTGAACAAGTTGATCCATACCGTCTGCCTCGCGGACGGGAAAAATGTCTTCCTTTCCCAGAGGTTTCCCGCTGCCAAGTCTAAGGACGGTGTTCATCCACTGCAATGTTACTCGAGAGAGCCAGTTCGCAGAATCATAAGGATGTGGAGCTGTCGGACGACTACTAACCGCCGGCTCATTCCTTTCCATGTTACGTTGGTTATTCATTTATTTTGCTTGTTCTGTAAAAAAGTAAGACAGCACTTCAACCTTTAAACGAGCAGGCTACGTAACCCACCCTATCGTGTCATAAGCGACAGGAGAGGGGAGGGGGCGGGAGCGAGAAAAGTAAGGGGGGGTGGATCAAGCTTTAGATGGTGAGGAGCTCTTAAAGATAACGTACACCTTTTAAGAGCTGTGGTGGTGCTGAAGGCTTGACGTGATTAACTCTTAGCAAATTTACGTAGAGATAGCCTTACTTCGTATTACTTGGGCCTATAGGGGCCTTATTCTAAAACATTTCACGACCAAGGGTTGGAAAAGCTACTGATAACCTAAGGTGCTAGCTAATCTCGTACTCAGATCCAACCGTGTCACAGAACATCTTTCCTTAAAAAAGGTTGCAATGTTGTGTTTGTTATACAAATCAGGGTGGCACTGATCTAATTGCAATGTTAATTTCGTCATCACACATGCGAGGATATTTCTTTTATGCTAACTAGCTCTTGTGGAAACTACAAGGCATAGATTAGTTATTTACAGTTGGTTATTATTAGTTATTCTGGAGAGAAATCTCCCATGATTTGAAAGACCTGAATACCAGCCTTCCGCTGCCATCAAAATCAAAGATGGCGGTCATAATTTTCGCTCACAAAATACTGAGCACTCGCTCGCCAAAATTACGCCTACTCTGCAGGGTAAACGTTATCCGGTCGAAAATCCGCAAATAAGTTCATAGACCGTGAATCAATGAAAGGAACGCTTTCAACCACAACATGCAAATTTACTTGACCCCATTTCATCACACACTGACTGGTTTGAGAGGCCAGTCAAGTCCTTCACCACTTCAAATTCCTTAGAGAACTTGCTCCAAAATTTATCAAATTTCTTTCAGAAGACAGTCTTAATCTTTACTCGCCGACTCTCATCAGCGTATAGACATGCACGCCGGAGAAGCACAAACGCTGCGAACGGACCTGAAGAAATGAAACGTGTATTTCAACGCTGGCAGAAACTGTTGGAAAATATAGTCATGTCGAAAGATTTTTCTATGGTTAATCATACGTAATAAGTTCATTGACCATGAACTTATAATTACAACATGCAAATTTCTTAGTTCTCGTTTCATTCTACACGGACTGGTTTAAAAGGGGACTCACGTCCTTCACTGAATCATGTTGCTTATAACTGTTAGTTCAAAAGTTATCACATTTCTGTTAATAGGCAATTGTGTATTCTGTTCTCGTTTACTCTTCACAGAATCGTGGGAATACTATCTCGTTGGTTTACCAAGCGTTTGATAATGAACTAAATAAAATGATAAAACGCTTTGACTAAATGCCCAGCAGCCGGGTACGGTCTCAAGTAGACTAAATGGGCTCAGGAAATATCAGATGTTTGTTTAAAAATGTCAAGCGATTCCAATAATTAATTTGGTTTACTGTGGACAGACTCTCTGCGCTCGAGCACACTTTCATATCGCTCGGTTATCGACACGCTTCCGATCAGACTGCCGGGCACGGTCTCGAATGGACTAAATGTCCACTTCTGTAAAAGTTAGACGTCAATGTACGCAATAGGTTTTTCACCAAAATACCATTGAAAGATTTTTTCGTGTCGACAAAACTTCTCAAAAGGTTTGTTTACAATTTTGGTAGAAAGAAATTTCTAAAAAAAACATCTGATTAGAAAGCGGTGGTTGAAATTTTCAAACCCATTTTTTTCCTACCCATGAGACTGTGCCCGGCTACCGGGCATTTAGATGACAAAATCCTTGATTTAAGAATCATGCAACATGCAATAGTCATTCATGGAATGCACTGGAAGCTTTAAAAGCGACGTAAGCTTCAATAGTATAACCATAATGACCTCAACGGAAAAAGGTTGCCTTTTTCATACATCAGGATAATGACCTCTTCGCCTTCTCTGCTGACTGCTGACTGTCTTTTTACGAATTACAGTTTTACCCCGAGCATCAGTATTATCCTCCAATATCTCAGGCATCGGAATAACGTGTCAACCTATTCGTTCTTACAAGCCCGAAGGCGTTGAAAATATTACCAAACAGGCTCAGGGCTTCCATGTAGCAAGTGACGCAACAAGTAACGCAACGGACAAAAATCCAGCCCTAGTCTCCTTCGCAGCCGTTATCAAGGATGTCACGCAGCGCTCATTATAAACGGTTGGCAGTTTCAGGTCTAGCTTTTAATGACCTTTTATGTTTGGCACAATCTCATCCCAAGCATATAAGATACACAGCACCCCAATGATGGATGCTGATCAACCAGCTGAGACTTTCTCACTTTGCCAAAATGTTGTGTTCAGATTCATCCAGCCATTTAAGGGCCTTTTAGAATTTGGCTGATTGAACATGTTGAATGTAATGGGTTTATATTCTTCAGATTGAGTGCACTCTAACATCAATTCATATCTCAGTAACTGTTGCTGTTGCACCAATAGGATGGAATTTTAATCACGATTGATATAATACAGACTGAAAGAGAATTTCAATCATTATCTCGAGAAGTTTAGAATTTGTCTCTCATTACACATTATGCAAGTTGTATGTAATTACGTTTTCATGTATGATTTTTTTTGTTTGCTTCATTCTATCGCTTGTGACTTTGGCCGAAAAACGGAAACAATGAACTTTGATATAACCAAGTAACCTAAGAGGCTTATTCATGATCAAATAAAATATTTTCGTTATTTCACAGATTCTAACCGTACTTAAACATGGTGACCTTCAGAGAATTGTCAAAGAAAAATTAAAACAATAAATTTTGTATCGAATGATGCTCAGAGGTTAGAGAGGGCAGTTTGAAGAATGTCCAATATTCCTTTTTTATTATTCCTTTCGAGATGTTGGGTCCTTGCATCGTACCATTCATCTTAATTGGACAGAAAGCACTTCCTGGAGTTTCAATTTCAAACGAGAGATCTAGATTTTTTGCTACATCTATCTTTTACATCATTGCAGTCAAGTAAAATTGGTTTACTGCGACTCAAAACATCAGAGGTCATGGATCAGTGAGGTTTTATGTGGTGCTTCAGCCGTTGAAATGTACGCTTGGAAAACGATCTCTACTGAATCTAAAACTTCAGAAAATTAGAAACTGTGCACACATCGGAAATTATTATTTTTCATGAGCTGCGTACTCGCCGCTCTTTTTTCAATCAAACCTAGTCTCGTCCCCAATCTCCTTCTTAAACACGACGTTTTTAGTGTACTCGCGATTCTTCGGCCTTGAATCATTGATTTCCCAAAAACACAAAAGAAGGAGTGAAGCAAACAAAAACAATCTATACACAAAATACAAAAATATATGTATTTTGCGAGCCATTTGTCAAACGAGGGTTTGAGGGCTAGATCAACACAGGTATAAACTAATTAAACATATTGGCTCTATTTGAAAGTCAACCACATATAAATTAAAATGCAAATGAAATCTTATTTACTTTGATAAGATCACTGTTGGCTTTGAAAAGAGTCTTGGTAAAGATGACCAGGGACTACTGTTTTTCTTATGGTAAAAACACTCAAAAGAACCCACACTACTGAGCAATTGTTACATGCTTTGTGCAGACAGGAACATTGAGACTCCAATCATGTGCAGCCACTGGAAAGCTGCTCACTGGTGAAGTCTACAATGCGTATATAATAAGCGGTTTCAGCAACGCCACTATTCTAGACAAAAATCAGAAGTGAGAAGCTAATTTACGCACTAAAACAGAAAAGGAAAGTGTGTTCCAACGTTAAAAACTAATTGAAAAAAACGCGTTCTTATATTCAATAATACATTGTAAGGTTTTTGTGACTATGAAATCTCTTACTAGGGGAATATCACCAAACATTTACGAGATCATTTCAAATCAAGTTTAAAGGATCGCTACAGTATGGACTCGTTGAAAACCTATTTTTCGGTTACATATCTTGCTTCAACTCTTACATCGACAGCTTACTTGGAGGTTTCCCAACTTACTAATATCTCGCTTTCCCTCTTTAAAATTTTCGGAATGTTGCCTCGCCGGTCTTCCGAGCGTATAAACAAGATATAATATATAAAATAGAATAATTGACTTGAAACACTAAAACTAATTATACAAGCTAAGCATTTAAATTAATGCGAGAGTGGTATTAAGCCAGCATACTTCCTAAGGCCAATATAGGACGGCTCTCAAACTCTGTGATCATGAGCGAAAGGGAAGAACACGTATTCAATTTGTAAAAGGCATATTAAGAAACAAATCCCAGACTTTTGGGGAGAAGAATCGCATTTTATTTTCATTTCGTACAAAATCAATCATGATTAATTCCATACTATCGATAAAAGAACAATTGAGGCGGCTACTGGTGCGCGTGTAATAAGGATGACGACAACAATTCCTGTGTCCCTCAGCCAAGACCTGCACAGTTGTTTTGTTTTTCAATCACCAGTCTATATCTATGCAAAGAAGCTAAGAATAAAAAAAAATCGGCCGCGATTTAGCTGCTGAAAGGCATTTGTGTCCTCAGCGATGAGATTTGAAAACAACTTTTAATCTTTCGTCAATGTATTTTCCATGATTTGGGCTTTTACTCTTTATTCCTTTGGCTTACATTTCCCCTCATTGGTATTCTTCACCAGTTCAGCGAACATTCCACCATTCTGCATCAAAATTTCAGGTTTGTTAAATTCCATTACTCGTCCGCCATCAAGAATCAGCACCTTGTCATAGTCCATAATCGTGTTCAGGCGATGAGCAATTGTCAGTACTGTGGAGTCTTTAAACTTGTGACGAATGACTTGCTGAATCAGGTTGTCTGTCTTGAAATCTACATTGGCAGTAGCCTCATCCATGACGATGATCTTGCACTTCTGAACCAACGCACGAGCCAAACAGACTAGCTGCCTCCCACCAACACTAAAGTTGGACCCTGCTTCCTTTACCTGGTAGTCAAGCTGATCAGGAAGCTTTTCCACCATGGCTTTTAACTGCACTTCTTCAAGAGCAGTCCAAAGATCTAGATCTGTATGCTTTGAAAATGGGTCAAGGTTTCTCCTCAAGCTACCTCCAAAGAGAACTGGGTCCTGCGCAATAACAGCCATGGAACGCCGCGCCGTCTGAAGGTTAAGAGTTCCAATATTGACACCGTCAATTAAAATCTGTGACGAGCAAATAGAAAGTAAATTATATCGTAATTAATATTATCAAATCATGTAAGGAATGTTTATTATGTAATGCGGTTTCAAACTTTCAAAAGTCTCATACCTTGATGTTTCATGTTTCACCCACACAATTTGTTGCTTAACATAGGGTTAGGTTTAGGGTTATATAACAGATTCCACTTCAGTCAACCCAGTTAGCAATTCTTACTTTTGAAAGTCTCCTCAGAAAATGACCAGTTGTTGAAGTGGATTGAACCCTCCCTTTTACTCAAAATTCTATCGACTACCTAAACCATTGTGGCAATTTTCATTGTAAGATCAGGACACAACACCAAAATAAAATTAATATTAGTTTTTCAGGTTTAGTTTTCTCACAGCGGATCCTATCGTTACTCTCGTCACAACTACAGTACATAAATATTTCAGATATTCACAGCTTACTGGGTTTTACAGCAATGTGTTAGGTAATGGCAGTTTCCCACGTGCGTTTTCACAAAACTAGTCCAGAACGTTGCAAAGTAGGTTCGTTTATCATGTCACAAAAATCCTTGGATATGTTGCATGAAGTACCGTATTCTAACCTTTCCTTCTGGTTCAGGCATGCGCAAAAGTGCAGCGATAATGGATGACTTGCCAGCTCCAGTTCTGCCTGCAATACCTATCTTTTCCTTGTCAGCAACAGAGAAACTGATGTCTTTCAACACCTGAGGACCACCTTTAGTGTACCTTAATGACATCTTGCTGATGGTTATGTCACCCCGCTGCGGCCAGGACGAAGGAAGACAGGTTCTTGTGCTATATCCTGGCTCAGCTTCTAAAGTGGTGTACCACATTACTCTCTCAACTGAAGTCATGTAGTTCTCAACGTCAGAACTTACTTTGATACCATACTGGACCTCATCCAATGATTCAAGCAAGAAAGAAAGGGACATGCCTGCCAAAGCTAAAGTATCGTTTCATTAATGAATATGATATAGCCAGAAATTCTTTAGGGGCGAAGCGCTTTCTTGCCATAGTTCTCTCCCTCTATTCCTCGTCTGCGCGTCGGTCTACGTAACAGGTTTTCTACCTATCAATCTCTGTGCCTGTTGGTTCAATTAGATCTTTCCATCTGTTTATTTGGCTGTTACTGTCTGTCTGTTTGTATTTCTGTCAGTTCATATTTTAATGTGTCTGTGTTTAGGTCCGCCAAGTCCTTCAAAGTGTGGCTGTTAATCTCACTGCTATTTGTTCATTTTTCTTTCAGGCTACTTGCCCGTGCATGCTTTTACCTTCAAGTCGCGTATATCTATCAGTCTTTGTCAGCCCATCTATCTCTTGATTACACCGCTTGTGCGCCAACCACAGAGCAAGAACTCAGTAATTATTTCCAACACAAACAAAAGCTACCAGTTACTTTAACTCTAGGACCTAAGAAGCTCTGAAAAATTGATGCAACATTACCTGGGCTTTGAGTGACAAGAATTGCGCCAATTGCTGCTGCGGCTATCATTAGACTGCATGCAAGTGTCATGCGTACAGTAAGCCACTGTGAGCTTGTTATTACCATGAATAAAGCTGATGTGTTTTCATCCTGGTATCTTAAAAGATGAAAATAATTCAGTTAAATGCTTAGACATGTACGCTAACAAAATTCGTGAGATTTTGGGATAGGACAATAGGAAAACGTGTCAAAGAAATCCAGTAACGCAATGTAACCTGCCCTTTTCTTTCTGGTGTCCTTTTAATTTAGCATTTCATCTATCATTTGAAACGGATAAACTTACTTTAGTAATTCTTTTTATTAAGTACGCGTATCACAAATGAACTCTCTCCCGAGGTAACTTGGGCCATTCGATGCTAATTATTTAGCAACGCCTCCATGAAGCAAAAACTTAATTTCGCGTGTACAGAATTAACAGCCCTAGTTGTATGAACCAAGATAAATAAAGGCTGTTGGCATTGAAGGTGGCAATTATACTTGTTACGAAGTTTCATCGTTTGTCTCACGATGTAGTCACTACAGTTGTGAATGGCGACTTTTCGACTTAATAAAGATAGTCTTTATCTTCACAACTGTTGAATAACAGGGAGTCAAATCTGAGCATAAAGCGTTATAAGGTGACATGTATCATAAAGAAACGAGTTGTAGTAGGCAGTAAAAACGTAGCGGTTCAGATCGAAAGTGTGTTATAAAAAGATATCATTATCAATTTCAAAATATTTCAAACTCTTAATTTTCCCAAATAAGTGCAGATATTTAACTTGCTTTTTCATTTCTTTCATCACTTTCTAATGCTTTCCAAAGAATTTATCTTTGGTTTTAGATTCAAACTTACTTGAAGAGACTTTTCAAGAAACGCTGCTCCATTTGAGATGAGCGAATTATTTCAAGTCCAGCGATGGTCTCTGAAATGTGCGAATATACAGGGCTGCAAGTGATAGCCTCCAATCTTTTGATTTCACGAGATGACCTCATATAATATCGTCCATAATATAACACAATTGCGACAACAGGAGTCGCAACTAAAATAAGCCAAGCGTTGGCTGCAGCAGGAAGAAGAATGGTGCTGAAGGAAAATAAAGAAACTTCGACAGCCAGGAGGAAGTGAGTAGGCAAAACGTCGTCCATGTTACCGATGTCTTTTGAGAAACGATTTAAAATGCGTCCAACTGGGGTCTTGTCAAAATACAGCACTGGTGCCCTGAGGACAGCCAAGACCATTTTGTTGTGCAATATTTCAGAAGCTTTGAGGAGAATGAAACAAAAAAGTAGTGAGACGGCTATGTTGCCTAAAAATGATGATCCAACAATAGCGCCGTATATTCCCAATGTCGCAGAGGATCTCTGTCGCTCCTGACTCATTTCTGCAACCTGAGAAGCCCACCAATAAGAAGCAACCAGTAACCCTAAAAAAAATGAACATAGTAAGTAATAATCTTAACTAGTATAAATACTGAAATCATATCATTGAAAAATGGTGCCAAGATTTCAATTAATGATACACAGATATCTTTCCCCTGCGAAAATCACTTCCAGATCAGCCTGGATTTGCATCCCAGGTATATGAGCTAAAACATATATATTTATCACCCGAAGAAGTTAATATAACCGCAGTCCAAAGAAAAATTGGAGATTCTTGTTTTTGATATGTATCTTTAGTGCCTTTTTCACGCAGAAAACAAAAACTTGAATTCACAAATACACATCTGATTGAGCGATATTATTGGTATACCATATAAATCCTGAGTGGTCTTAACCAAGATGAAACCAAAAGGTTACCCACACAAGTAATTAAAATGGACCTTGTGAGTTACAATAGCAGAAAATATCAGGTTGCTGTCGTTCAAAAGGAATGTTGTTCTCATACCTTTCATGCTAAGAACAGCAACAGAAAGGCAAAGCACGAAAGGAACTCCGAGAGCTGTCCTGATGTAGCTCCAATATATCTTCCAAGTAATGGAACCAGTATTGCGGTCCTCTTCCTCTTCTTTTAAATCTTGATCCCCGAGGTCTTCATCATAAGGAAGCTGAGGGCTTCGATGCGGGGAGGATTGGCATGTCCCCTCAGCACTTTCGGTTTGAGAGGCAAACTTAAGAGTTTTGGACTCTTCATCCTGGAAGCATTGTCCTTACCCAACTTTGACCCCATTGTTCAGCACTATAACGTCAGGTCTGTGAGTTAGGAAGTCAAGCTGATGAGTCACAAAAACACGAGTCCGCTTTGAGAGAAATCTACAAATGCAGTTATTAAAGAGATGCTTTCCAACTTTGGCATCCACTGCACTGAGGGGATCATCCAGCAAATAGACATCAGCAGCCGAGTACAGTGCACGAGCTAAACTTACACGTACACGCTGACCACCACTGAGACTTACACCACGGTGTCCTATCTCGGTCAAATCTCCTTTAGGGAAGTTTTCTACATCTGGTTGCATACAGCAAACATCAAGAGTTTTATAGTAACTACTAACGTCAAGAGGTCTTCCAAATAAAATGTTGTCTCTGATGGTGCCTGAGAAAACCCAAGGAATTTGTGGAACGTAAGCGACTCTTCCATTTAATTTCACTGTTCCGCTGATAGCAGGTAGCTCTCCAAGAATTGCCATCAACAGAGAGGACTTTCCACTTCCAACTGGTCCTGTTACAGCCAACATCTCACCCTGGCCCCAAATAATGAAACGTTGGTTAAAGCTCTTCTGTCTTCACTTCTGTTCCATGAAGCCGAGACGCGGAACAAAGATAGCTCATTCTTTTCAGTGTTTGTGTTAGTTGGTGTTCTCGACACAGAGAGCAATTTAGCATCATCAGCTTTGGAGCTCTCAAGTCCAACGATGGCTGTACTACATTCTTTTCTTTTTAAACTTAAACCAAGAAACCCATTTGGCCCTAGCTGCTTAGCAAATGTAATTTCCTCGTTGGTCTCTGCACATGTTAATCCAACTTCCTTTGACATGAAGTCCTCTATTCGTTTGACAGCAATGTAGCCTTCGACAAAGAAGGGCAGCGAGTAGCTCAAGTTTATGGCCACAGAAAAATTAATTACATTGAGGCAAGATAGGATTGTAAACATTTCCAAAGCAGTAATCTGTTCTCCAGTAACGATCAAAGCTATTATAGATAGCAGACTGGCCAATGGCCCTGTTGTGTAACCCACGGAATTTGCCCCGGACAGTAGGAGACCTCGTAGTTTGACAAACCACATTTCTCGCCTGTGAAGGAAAATGATTAGAACATGAATGACCTGGTGTAATTTTCTTTTTTTGTCTTTAGCCTGGACATCTTTTGGGATGTTTGGTACAAAATACTTCGCTTCTGTTGGTCGTCCCTTTCAATTGGGGAACGAGTAGGAGGGTGGAAATGAAATCATATTAACGTTATAATAGTACTAATAGTAATAATAATAACAATAATAATAATAATGATAATAATAACAATAATGATAATAATAATAATTATTATAATTATTATGATAATAAAAGGCAGAAGGAAAAAAAAGAGAACAAGGAGAAAAAGAAAAAGAAGTAGAAGAAAAGGAGAAAAAGAAGAAGGAGAAAAGAAAAAGAAGAAGAGAAAGAAAAGAAGAAGAAGAAGAAGAAAAGAAAAAGAAGAAGAAAAGAAAAAGAAGAAGAAGAGAAAGAAAAGAAAAAGAAAAGAGAAAGAAGAAGAAGAAGAAGAAGAAGAAGAAAAAAAGAAGAAGAAGAAAAAAAAAAAAGAAGAAGAAAATAAAAAGAAGAAGAAGAAGAAAAGAATAATAAGAAGAAGAAAATAAAAAGAAGAAAAGAAGAAGAAGAAGAAAAAAGAGAACAAGAAGAAGAAGAACAAGAAGAAAAGAAGGAGAACAAGAAGGAAAAGAAAAAGAAGAAGAAAAAGGAGAAAAAGAATGATGATAATGGTGATAACAATAAAAAAAAATAACACAGGCATTTTAGCCATGGACATTCAATGAGGGGGTTCTTCTTTTTAACTGTTTTCAGGTCCAATTGGAATTTGGAGTGTTGGTTTTTTTTAGGATGGAGTAAAACCGAAGGAAACAGAGAAAAACCCTCGCAGCAAAGAGAAGGGAGAACCATCAACAAACCCAACCCACATGTAACGCCAGGTTCCAGGTTAATCCAATCCGAGTTAGAGAGGTAAGAGACTAAAGCTCTCACCACTATGCCATCCCCGCTTCCCAGTTAGTCTTGTTTGTTAGTTTGCTTATGAAAACAAAAAAGAAAGAATACGAGCAGACTTCAAGACGTGAAAGCCAACGAGTAGGAAATACGGATATCCAGCTACAAAAGAACTCTTGAATTAGTTCGGATGCTTGCTCAAGATTGAAGGTAGAGGTCAAACATTGTAATGGTATTTTCTTCCCCTGGGCACCATGAACATGAATGAATTAGTTTGTTTTGCTTATTCTACCTCCTTAGTTGCTTGATTATATCAGCAAAGTTCATTTCCCAGGCGTAGATTTTAACAGCTCGAACACCATATACAACCTCGTTCATAACTTTCAGTCTTTTGTCTCTAGCTTCTGCTGTTTTGAGGCGTAGTTTTCCACTATAATGTGACAGAACAATGATGCAAAAAATGGATATCGAATAAAAAGAAACTCCAACAAGAGCTTTCCATCCTATCAAGACCAAAAGAATTGTGCAAGGACCCAGAATCTCGATTGGAGAGAACAGAAAATTGATCAATGCCCAAACAATTCGTTCCATCTTCTGAGCATCGTTTGACACAAGATTTATGGTCTTTCCCGAGACAATTTTCTGAAGGTCACAGCGCTTAAGCTGAGTTAGAATCTGTGTAAAAAGGGGAATATCACACAAAGTTAAGTAAATATTCAAAGATACTTGGTTATTTTTAGAGAATAGTTTAGCTTGATAACATGACCATGTGTTGGCGAACCATTTTTCTAAATAAAACCAAACTAAACTATTAAGAAAAAAAGTAGAGGGAGTAGGGCAAGAAAATAGTTCTCTGAATCCGCCTCAACTAAGAAGAGGATTGATTCTTTTCTAATTACCGTTTTGAATTTGGAAGCTTGGTTGCTAAATGACATTCATATGTAACTATAACCCAATCATTACATCAATGCATGGGATAGAGGCAAGTCCCCAATCTTCAGGCCCGTTCCCAGTATCTTCCTCCCCGAATACCATCGAAATGAAACTGTGAAAACTAAAGAGCGGCCCTTACAGATTAAAAGAGATCAACAGCGTAAAAGTAGAAGCTACTTCACTACACTTTGCTTCAAATCCGTGGCACTCGCCTTCTTGTAGATGAGCCCAATGCACGCCACCTTTAGTCGTATGCCCCACATTTCTCCTATTCCACTGAAGTGATTCTTCGTCAGTCCCTTGATTACAGAAAGAAAAATTATACCGCCAACGAACAGAAAGGTAGAAACAGAATATCCCTGCTGCACTTGTTCCAGGTCCGACAAGAAAAACCACAACAGCAACGGTAGGAAAACGCTGGCAAGAGATCTAAGTGCTCTCAGAATAAACAGCGTCATGTACGCCCGCCATGAGGACATTCGGGATAACGCTCTCCACATGCGAGGTTTGCAGCCTTGGGCTCGGCTGTTATTAACTTCTCGTTGCTATTCAATTTCAAGTTTTTGAACGAGTTGATCCATACTGTCTGCCCCGCGAACGGGAAAAATGTCTTCCTTTTCCAGAGGTTTTCCGCTGCCAAGTCTTAAGACGGTGTTCATCCACTGCAATGTTACTCGAGAGAGCCAGTTTGCAGAGTCATAAGGATGTGGGGCTGTGGAACGACTACTAACCGCCTGTTCACTCCTTTCCATATTTCGTTGGTTATCCTTTTCTTTTACTTGTTCTGTAAAAAATAAGACAGCACTTTAACCCTTAAACGTGCAGGCTACGTAACATACCCTATCGTGTCATAAGCGACAGGAGAGAGTAGGGTGGAGGGTCAAACTCTAGAGGAAGAGGAGCTCTTAAAGGTAACATATTTTTCTAAGAGCTATGGCAGTGCTGAAGGCATGACGTGATTGAAAGTTGGCAAATTTACCTAGACATGTAGCCTTTCTTCGTATTACTTGGGCCCTTATTCTAAAACATTTCACTTAACAATTGGTTCATGCGTCAGCGTGCGTTCATCGAGATATTGAGATATGAAGCACGCGGAAGTTTGGAGAGCTCGAAAGATGCGTCAGAGTTGCTCGAGGCGTAGCCTCGAGCAACTCTAGCTCCTTGAGTATCTGACCGCTTACTATATTGAAAAGATCCCATTTTAGCTTTTCTTACGTACGTAGTAAACCTAGGAATGGATAACTCGCTAAAATGGGTTCTTTTCAACGTTGTAAGCGGTCAGATAGAAAGCGATGCACCGTAGAAGTAAGGTGAGTTATTTTCATTGAGAATTTGATCGTAATTATATTCCTAAGAGCGGTCGTAAATATTCCCATACAAATTCTTATAATTTCGCCATGACTCTAAATTCGCAAGATGATCATCTCACAACTGGAGCTTGGGCCACCTGTGATCTAATTAGATAAGCTGACTCGGCAGTGTGTTTTTGTCTCACTTGAAAAATTCGACTGATTCCGCACCAAATTGTACTTGGTTTGTGGAAACGCGAACAATGGGACCCTCATACATACGTCTACCGTAAAAAGCCGCCCATTTGTGTGCATTCTATGAGGCGTCAATCGTTAATCCAGTATACCTGAATTACAGCGTAATTGATAAAAATCTAACTGCAACATGCAAATTCACTTGATCCCCTTTCATCACACACTGACTGGTTTAAAAGGCCATTCAAGTCCGACTCTACTTTGAATTCCCTAGAGCTCTTGCTCCAAAATTTATCAAATTTCTGTCAGTAGAGAGTTCTGTAATCTTTAATCGCTGACTCTCACCAGCGTATTGACATGTACGCCGGAGAAGCACGAACTGATCGCCACCAACCAATTAGAAGGAAAGAAACGTGTGTTCCAACGCTCGCAGACATTGTTAGAGAATATTGTCATGTCGAAGAATTTTTCTATGGATAATCATACGTAATAAGTTCATTGGTCGTGAACTTATAACTACAACATGCAAATTTTTTCGTTATCGTTTCAGTCTAGACTGACTGGTTTAAAAAGGGGACTCATGTCCTTCACTAAATCATGTTCCTAACGACTATTGGTCGAAAAGTTATCACATTTCCGTTAATAGACAACTGTGTATTCTGTTCTCGTTTACCCTCTACAGAATCAAATTAATTTGGTTTTTTAATGGACAAATCTTCCGAGCTAATGCAGACTGCAATGTAGCATAATGTTAAAATGTTTAAGTATGGTACGTGTAAGCGAAAATTTTCAAACAAACGTCGAATTCACTAAATAGGTTTGTATGAATTTTTCAGTGGCATTTTGGTGAAAGTTTCTAACTGCCAGGCATTTAGTCCATTTAAGACCGTGAACGGCAGTACGTCTGATCAGATGCGTACAAGTGTCGACAACAGAGCGATATTATAATATGGTCAAACTAGTAGAGTTTGTCCTCCGAAGAAACAAAGACATTTTGGAATCGCTTAGCATTTCTAAACAAACACGTGATAATCCTAAGACATTTGAAAGCACCTTCCGGTGGAAAATCTGTGAAATTTTCTAACTCCTAGGCATTTTGTCTATGCGAGACCGTGCCGTTCTTGATTTGAGAATCATGCAACATGCGATGGATGCACTGGAAACTATAAAAAGCGACGTTAGCTACCATAGTATAACCAGTCACCTGGTCCTCTGTGTTGTCCTTTATACCCAGATGCACGATCACCCTACACTCCTCTTACACTGACCTTACACCAGGATAATGGCAACGGAAAAAGGTGTCCTCAAAATTTCCAGGTTTCCTTCACCCTTCAGAGCTTCGCCTCTCGGCTAACCTTCATTTTCGAGTTACACATTGACTCCGAACATTCGTAGTATCCTTCAATATCTTAGGCATCGATAGAACGTGACCTATTCGCCCTTGCAAACCCGAAGGCCTTGGAAATATATGCGTCAAGTGACGCATCAAGTCACGCAACGGACAAAAATCCATCCCCAGTCTCCTTCAGCCGTTGTTTAAGGTGTCACGCAGCGCTTATCATAACTAGGTTAGCAGTCAGGTTCAGCTTTTCATGCTTGGCACAATCTTGTCCCACGCATGTGAGACATGCTGCATCCCAATGATGGATGCTGATCAACCAGCTGAGACTTTCTCACTTTGCCAAAATATCGTGTTCAGATACATTCCAGCCATTTTAAGGCATTTTAGAATTTGGCTGATTGAATGTAATTGGCTAATTGATTGAATGCACTCCAAAATAATTCATATCGAGCTCGTTCGGAAATAATCGGGTACACAAAGAAACCCCATAATATGACCTGTAGCGTATAACTAATGGTAAATTCTCGATGAGAATAAACATCCACCCTACCCACTCTGTCCCCATTTGAAATGAAGACACGCGCACCGCGCACTTTCATTGGAAGAAGTAAGAACGTATCCTATTGGTCCGATGGTTCAAAGGTTGTAACACTCCTGACTGTCATATTGGGAAAGCTGGTGTGGAGAAATGGAGTGGAATTTTCTGTCCGGTGTCGGTGCCTTATTTCTTGGCTACTATTCTTTAAACTTTGTGCTGCAAGTTCTTCATGGAATAAGAGCTTTTGTTCTTCCAGCTCTTGGTCTTAGAAAGAATCTTAAGAAATTTGGTGAATGGGCAGGTAAGCTTGGCTATAATTTGCGCAAAGCTAGTAATTTTTATAAGTACATTACTCCAATCGATCCTTCCTAAGTTTAACTAGTAGACAGTTTGCCGTGTTACATGCTATATCTGTCTGTTCATTGAGAAGTCCTTAGAACCAAGGAGAACCGATTGTCCTCAAGGTAGCATTTGCTTTGAGTTTTTCCAGCGCGAACTGCTCGACTCGATCGTGATACCACGGTGTAACATGACGGCTTATGGACTACATGATTAGATGAGCTCACTGATGTGAACGAATTTTGTTTTTTTTTTTCAGTGGTGCTGCAAAATATCTCTTTTTTTCTAGTTTCATGCATAGTTTACTGATTAATGTCTCACATGTTTGTTAGAAATTAGGTATCTAAGTACAAAGTTTGTTATGGCTGACTAACAAGTTAAGGGTTTTCTTTGATTTGCAAACCGTCTCATTCTTTGTGTGCAGATCTTTAGCTGAATAAATTCCTTGTAATCCTTATCCAATTTTTTTCTTTCGTTTGCAGTGATTACAGGGTGTACCGATGGAATCGGAAAAGCCTACACACATGAGGTACTGTGATTTTCATAATGCAAGCATCTCACTTCTGTGAAAAATAAATGATTAACCATTGAGTCAATAATAATTTAATACTTTTTTATAGTCTAAAAAGATGGTAGTGATAACTCAGTTGTATCACGGCAATATAATCACTCCAAATCAGTCCAAGTGGTGTAAGATTGGATAAGACAAAGTAAACCTGTAGACTTCCAAAAAAAAAAATTCAGCCATTTAACAGAGGAAGAGATGTGAACTTGGACCCTTATCATGAGTCTGCTGTTTCCTTCCACTGTCTGAAATGCCTTTTTTTTATGTTTTGGTAAAATGTAATTTAGTCTGGTGAAAACTACACATGTACGTCAAGTGGTCTTACAGCATAGTGGTTAAGAGTTGTGTGGACTTTGGATTCCAGAGTTAATTTCATTGTCTGGCTATTTCCTTACCCTGACCACCTGAGTTAATTGTCATAGTACTTTACTCTCCCTCAAAAATTATACTATCCCTAAATCCTTCAACTCCTGTGAGTGACCAAGACAGAATTTCTCCTCACTATATATATGCAATATCATGCAGACAAGCGATTAGATTATAAGGAAAATTATCAATTATGAGATTACTAATTGATCCAATACCAAATTCTTCAAACTAACATAAAGAGAATCATGTGGCAGATAGTAAGGAGAATTGCTAATGAGATCTTGGGAGTTAAAGGGTGAAGAGGCCTGACTTTATCTCTGTCTATAGTAATGCAAGAAATCTCATGTTTGGTCAATAACACATGTGAAATAAAGGGATTTTGCCAAGGGTTTTTCATCATCATTGCCACCCATTAGAACAAAAGCAACAAGGGTTATTTCTAAATATAGCAATCATTAGTAAACTTAATATAAATTAATAAAATGTGAAAATAAATCTCTTTTAAATGAATAGGAGGTTAGAATCTTAAATTTCTCGTCAGTTTCATTCCATAATATACATAAAAGCAAAAGATTCTTTGATATGTCTTTGTTGTATTCCAAACATGTCTGTAGAAAGCTTCACTGTCTGTGTAACTTTGTCTTTTTGTGTTGACCTCAGCTTGCAAAGCAAGGCATCAAGTTGGTCCTGATTAGTCGCACTGGAGAAAAGTTGGAACTGTTGGCTACAGAATTAAGTAAGTAATTTATAAAATGAAAAATGTTTGTTTGAAATTCAAACTTTACCCTTAAACTCCCAAGATCTAATTAATTAGTCTCCCTTCGGACCACTATACATTTCGTCATAAAATTAAAGGGCAGAATTTGGTGATATATCTTGATGATGTATTCTGGCTGATAAGGCTGTTTGTTCTCATACCCTGTTGGCATGATAACATATTTAAAATCACAGGGAGGAGTTGCATGTTGATCACATCTAATAATCAAATCATTGAAATAATCAATGATGATCTGTAGATATGTACACATATGTACTAGCTTTTCTATTCATGTGCTTTACTTTGATTCACAGAGGAAGCATATGGCACTGAAACTAAAATTATTGTTATGGACTTCACTGGAGGAGCTGAAATCTATGATGGGTTAGGAGACAAACTTGCTGGTCTTGATATTGGAATATTGGGTGAGTTATAAGCGTAACAAAAATGTTTCAGCATGAAGGGATTATTGCTTACCTTTGGTAGCCAGCAAGATTTTGGTACACTTTCCATAAATTGCCATCGACTGCATTATGAATACCATTACTAAAACCTCTATTTTACAAACCTAAGAATAGCATTTGATTTTTTTCGATTTGATTATCTGGGTGTGAGAGGTCTTGAAAATGATGGACATATATATGTACAGTAGTAGTACCTGATGATTGGACAACACAGACAGAGGTCATCTTCTGTGTCAACCAAGTACAACAGTCCTTTTCAGGACTTCTCTCACTTATTCTTTTCTTCTTTGTTTTTGTTTTTTTCTCTGGTTCCTTCTTTCCTTTCTTACCTTTTTCCTTTATTTCTGTTAACCCTTTAACTCCCAGAAGTGATTAACATGTAACTTCTCCTTATAATATCCAAACATTATCCAGGAAACAGGTAGTGAGAATACTCAAACTCATCAGGTGCAAGACATATACCTTGATCAAGCACCAAATTCTAGTAACCAATTTACAAAGAAATGTATAGCAGCTAGAGGGGAGAATTGACAATCAGATCTTGGGAGTTAAAGGGTTAACTCTGTCAGTAATGTATGATTTAAATATTTTTTTATCCTTTTAACTCCCATGAGTGACCAAGGCAGAATTTCTCCTTACAATATCAATACAATATTAATACAATATCAAGCAGACAAGTGATGAGAATAAAGAAAAATATCAGTTAGGGGATTATAAGTTGATCCAATACCAAATTCTCTAAACTAACATCACAAGAACTGTATGGGAGACAGTAAGGAGAATTACTAAATAAATGAGATCTTGGAAGTTAAAGGGTTCATTGTTTAAATTATTATTTTTTTTTGTAGTCAACAATGTTGGAGTTTCACATTACCCAGAATTTTTTGGCAACATGAAGCAAGAGGTAAAATATGACATTAATAGACGGTCATTAAATTTCCAATGATAAGCATTTGACATATAATTATTTTATTTGAATTTTTTCCGTTTTAGCTTAAATGCTGACAGATGTCATACATAAATATATATTATAAATAAGTTAACATACATTATATTGAGCTAATAATCCCTTCCACAATGAATTTACTGAAGGCATCTTTGATAATTATTTGACATTTTCTGTAATAATGGTAAATTTGTATGTTATGGATATTTAAGATGAATGGGAAGTTGTACTGTTACATCTTGTCTAAGTAGCTCATTTGCACTTGAATTGTCATGAATCTTTCTTGTTGTTTTCACATTGGTATTTTTTGCCAATAAACTACACCAGTTTGTGCCTTGAAAATGAGGTTAGGGGGGATGAAATTGGGTTTTCCAAGGTAAACATCTAAAAGGCCTATTTTCTCTGGCCACCTATTTGTAAAAGTTTACAGATTATTTGTATGATTTCTTTGTAGGATGCATGGAAGATGTTGAATGTTAACGTTCTTTCTGTCACAATGGTCAGTACTTGCATGTATAGCAGCTATTTCTAGAACTTGTGGTTATATTGTTTTTATAGTTTTTTCTTTGTCATAGAAAATGACTCTTATATGAACTAAATATTATTATTATTGAAATATTTGTTTTTCTTTAAAGATGACTCACACTATCCTTCCAGACATGGCTGCCAAGTAAGTTTGTGGACATTTACGATTTCTTTTGGAGCTTCATTTTTGTTTAGACTTTGCATGGGGTGGCTAAGGCTGAGAGCCCTGGACTCCAGTTTGTGATGTCTGAGTCCAAGATCAGGCCAGGGAATTGTGTTACATTCTTGTTCAAGATGCATTTTTTCTCCTAGGAATTTAAACAGATATTAGTGAACTGTTGCGGAAGCCTGAAAAAGTCCTCAAGGTTATTACCTGCAAAGGATTGGCATTTTGTCTCTTGGGAGTTACAATACCTTTGCATAATGCCTTCTTTTTGACTGCTTTGTGTTTTCCATTACTGTTACTTTCCTGTGATGCCTCCTGCTAGCAAGCTTTTATTAGTAACACAACAGTCTGTGTGTCGGATAGGAGTGGGTGCCAGCGAGAAGTCAAATTTTTTATTTTTTTATTTTTTTATTTTTAGATAAAGATAGCTTTTGGGAAGTAAAAAAACCTGATATGGAATAGATTAAATGTAGTGTATTTCCTTTACGGCTGTACATGTACATGTATGTAGACCTAATCATGCCAGAAAAATAATCTGTTTCTTAGGTCTGGTAAAAACAATTTTCAAGTTTTCTTTCCTATGAACGAGTCCGAAACTGCACGCACTGTTCTTTTTTGTTGATGATAAGATTTATGCTGATTAGGAGTAACTGTTTCCTGATGTATCCACATTGTTCTTTAGAGGAAGAGGTCTGATAATAAATGTAGCCTCTGCAGCAGGCCTGACACCTACTCCACTGCTGTCCATGTACTCTGGGACCAAGGTCTGTGTTGCTCATCTAATTGATATTGACTAACAGTTATCCTTAATATTGTACATGCTTGACATTTATCTCTTTGTTCTATGGAAAAAATATGAGAGGAGTTACGGGGCCAGGAAAGAAAATTTGTTATTTTCCCCAGATTACGGAACAGAACAGCAATTTTTTTAGCTTGTGCAATTAATAGCTTCCAATTTCCTTGATAACTCAGTTGGTTAGAGGGCTGCATCAGTCTTGTTTTTTTTTTTTTTTTTTTTTTTTTTTTTTTTTTTTTTTTTTACAATAAACCTTTTTCTATAACAACTTTTTTTTTATTGGCAGGTGTTTGTTGATTTCTTCAGCAGATGCCTGAATGCAGAGTATTCTTCAAAGGGCATCATTGTTCAGGTGATTGCTCTTTCCTCAACATACTGAGTTTTTGTGCCTTTTAATAGATATGCATTAATCATGTGGTACTGTATGAGAAGTAGTGGCCTGGTGGTTAATAACCTGTGCTAAGGGTACTGAGGTCTGGGTTCAAGACCTTGCTGGTTCATTCTTTTGAGTCCTTAGAAATAGGTATTGGCGAATTGTCAGGGAAGCCTGATTGTTTTTAGCCTGAAATGCAATTTGTGTCAGGTGTTGTAGAAATTCCCTTCCTTTGCTTTTTCCTTGGGGGTGTGGGGAGGGTGGGAGGGTACAGCTACATGTAGGCTGGGGGGGGGAGGTAACTTTGTCATGGGTAACCTTGTGATGAACTGGTGTCCCATCCTGTGATGGGGGAGTAATACTTCTTGTGAGTTAGGGTTAGGATAAGCTAATCCTACAGAGACTAGGATAAGCACTGGTTTTACATTGTATGTTTTATTTCATCTTGTTTTTTTTTTCATTTTCAGTGTGTATTACCCTACTATGTTGCTACTAAGATGAGCAGAATCAGGAATCCAAACATCTTTGCTCCAGGTCCAACTACTTATGTTCGTCAGGCCCTGGGAACACTCGGAGTGGAGTCTAGGACTGTAGGATGTTGGAGCCATGCTTTGCAGGTAACTGTACTTTGGAAGAAACACTAAGTACAATCTAAGGGCCAACACATTTATAATTAAAGTCTTTATAGAAACTATTTTGCACAATTTTTCCAAAATCAAGCCTTAAAAAATGTGTTAAAATATTTTTTTTGATTTCTTTTCCATCCATGTTTTCCGCTGACTTTTCACTTGTGATATATCAATTTAAACCAGATAGTGCACTAAAAAGACAGAATGAATGCGAGCAAAGAAGTTAGTTGTCTGCTGTGTGTTACTCAACCCAAATATTTTTACTCATTTTTTGAGAGCTGGTTTTATTGTGATGGTACAGTGCTTTCCACATCAATGTGAATTATGCAGAACTATTTAAAAAAATAGATTTTAGCCGTTGTCTTGCAATGGAAAACTTGTTTTCAAAATGAACTAGTTTTTTGTCAGCAACGATGCTTGACCATAAGAGTGTATTAATTTTAATCAAGTTCCTTCTATCGTTTAGCACAATCCTTATAACAACAGTAGATCAAAAGTGTATTTGAGTCGACAGGTCATCGGGGCGACTTTATGAAGAAATAAATTTCTTCTTCCTCTGGGAGAACAGAAAAAACGCTATTTTAACCTCAATCAGCTGTAAAAGAAAGCCTTTCTTTCCATCAGTCGTAAGATACGAAAATAAGAAAGTATCTTCGACATCTTTGGTATCACCAGATATTTTCCTTAGCTGTAGATGGGGTGTAATCGTTCACGTGACACTTTTAAACTACGCGAAAATTTTTGTCGGATCACAAACGAAATGTAAAAGGAGGAGTGTGTGTTAATATTTCGCCAATGTAACAGTGGTGTTCCTAACGTGAATTTACGTTTCTTCTCGTAGAACTGGTTTATATCACGGGTTCCGGACTGGCTGAGGCAAAAGCTGATGTGGAATGTCAACACAGCGAGGCGAAGAGCTGTCCTGAAACGACTCCGAGAGAAGGAGCTGAAAGACTGATATGTTAAACAAATGTTTCTGAAGGAAAGAGAAGACAGCATTCCATCAGTGCAAGCAATGAGCGAATTATATTTCTTTTCAGAACTGTTAGTGTGGGAAAAGAAATTATAGGAAATTTATAACAAAATTTGATGGTTATTATGATTACTAATGTTTTTAGTTACAATTAGCAGACGAAGTGTCCTATTTCTTACATCTTCACTCTCCTCCCGGGTTGCTGTGGAAAAATTGTCCAAAGACAGGCCGTAAATAAATCCAAAAAGGTTCTAAATAGTTGTGTAATTCTGGGAACCTGACTCCTTCAGTTATCGTTTTCCCAGTTACAGTTATGTAACTTTCAAACACGTTCAGCCGCGAGATTCAAATGCGCGCCGATGACGTAATGCATAGGATAGCATTGTACAAGCAACGGTACACGCTGCCAATTCATTTTTTCTTTTTTTTTTTTCATTAAAATTTTTATAATTCCCATTCCAGATTTAGAGCTTTACTGTCAAGTGACTCTGCAACAAGCAAATCATTTTTTGGCGGCCGTTGCGTCCAGCTAATGACTTTGAAAGCTTCAATTTAATCTTCTCAAACCTGACAGCGACGAAAAATCACAATGCTCACATCATTGTTTCTGACCGATAACTAATTTGTTTTGTTACGAACTGGTTAGTTATCGATTTATATTAGCAAATATTTCCTCTCGACAAATCTGCTCAGTAAAATGTTTTGTTTCGCTTGCCCAGTCAGCTGGGTCGTATGCATGTTGCGCGGTGTGGATCGCTAACTTTGAAAAATTACAAATAGCCTAAAGTTTACAGGTGCGGTTGATGATTCTACAAACAGAAAACTGCCGCACGCAAAATCGCTTGCGAAAAATTTTTATGCCACTGTAAAAAGTCATATATAACATAGTTACACCCTAACGCGCGCTCTGATTGGCCAATATTTGATGAAAAAGAAATGGATGTTCGTAGAGATGATTCAGGCTAACGTCATTGTCGGTTTCGAAACTTTCAAGATTGTTTTCCGTTCTCTCCCAATTCGAAGATATATCTGCTAAAAAATATAGAAAATATGCTAAATAATACTATTTTAAAAAAACAACGAGCATGTAGCCCTTTAAGCGAAGAAATTAGTTTTGGAGTTTACGATACTTCATTCCCAAACGCGAATTATGGCTGAAAACAAAACGGAGTTTTCTGACTTCAACTGAGGCTTTGCGACGTTGGGGACTCTTCATCAGAAAGGTAAATTTCAAGTTGAAGCGTTGATATGTCCCAAAATCGTAGATTTTGTTTTGAAATCGTACAAGTTACAGAATTTTCAACACGAACTGCTACGCAGTCAGTCTGACTGTAGATTCTGATAAACAGTAATGGAAGAAACAATTGCCCAGTAATAATCTTAATTTTGGAACGCAAAAATATTGTGGCAATCAAAAGAACCAGAAACAAAGCTTAACTGGTGTTAATTACCATATCGAGAATCTCGGTCTAAACTTGGCTGAGTCCTTAAACAGTTTTGATCGCAAAGGGTCTTATTCTGAGCTAAAATACCAACTGTATATCTTTTGTCGAAATCTCGTCAAACCGAGTGAATGTTTATGGATTTCACGATTTTGGCGAATTTTAGTCAAATTCGTCAAAGCAAAACCAGCTTGGCGGAATTGACTATTTTGACGAATCTTCGCCATATTCTAGACATATCTCCCAAAAGAGTACATTTTGAAATTTTTTTGCCTCTCGGTGGTGTCATCCCTGACAGGAATTGAGAATTCACCCATTTCATTCTGTATTTCAGGCGTCTCATCAAATGTTTTGCCTAGTTCCCGTCTTTGATTGCAGCGGGCGAGATAGAGGTCTCGTGAAAATCATGAGGGCGTGTTGTCTCTAGATAAGATTAGGCTCCATACGGTGCACCTGCAGATCATGAGCTAAACTGAAGATCTAAACCATAGTGTTGGTGGGCCTTGTCTGACAAGCACGTGTTGCTATTTTTTATAGTTGACTGCGTGATGTTCATGTGAAACTGTTACAGGGTCGAAGGCCGATGAGCTGCAATTTCGGAGAAAGGATGGACATGTTAGCGGTCGGTGTTTAGGCGCTGTCGATTTAGTTTTTACGAGAAAATATACCATAAAACAATGTATCAAACAATGAAACGAACGATCTTTATCAATGTACATGTCAAGTTAATCGACTCTTTTAATTATTTCAACGCTCTTAGAGGCAAAGGCGGAAGTTTCCATAGATACCACACACCATCGTACTTGAAGCGTATACAACCAAGCCACAAAACCACGGGATTAGCAAGTGACTTCGTACGACAGTTCGTGGTAAGAGAGGAAGTGACATGACGGAGGCTAATGTGAAGGTTAATAGAGCAAGATGAAGAGCGATTTTATCATACTTTACGATCATATGAGACTGACGAAGATTGAGGTTCAATAGAAAGACACATCATTGTGCTCAATGTCGACAACAGCTGCAAATCGACGTGAACAACGATGGATCAATGTTGTTGTATTAACATGGATCTAAACAATTTTTGGAGCAGTTCGTCGCGATGAAGACATCGACATTCGGAAGATTTGACCCAGTCAACTTTGTATCTCTATTTCTGTGGTCTTTGATCGAAGTTTCATCGTCTAGCAATGCTACACAAGGTAGGGTGAATCGTGAGGGAGTGCCAAAGGCGTAAATTCTTTTGCAGGTGAATAGATCAAAGGCTGTCCAAATACGTTCTTCCGTTATACCTCTCCGCCGCTCCGAAAATGTAGCACAACCGCTTAAAAAAAAATCAATTAAAGAGAGTAAATACTGTCAAGCTCTCTTTCTGCATGTGACATAGATACGTTGTTATTGAATTTGATTCGATGCGGTACCTCCTTTGCTTGGGTTAATATTTGATCATATTTCTCATAAGTTGTTTTCAACTCGTGATCACACCTGTAATCCATAACGCAGTGCGCAAGATAGCGCATATATTTGTAAGGGAAAACTTACCGATACAGGCCCAGTTTATATTCTTTGTAAATTGACACTAAACCATACTAGAGGTACGTGACTGCGTCGACTTAAATTCTTCTCGCGCTCTCTCGAATACTAATTTGTTACACACACGCGAAAGATATCTGTTGTCACGTTCAGTGTACATTCCTTGCGTTTTGGATGGCTTAAAAGTGCCATAGTCAACATCGACTTGTCAAGTATTTTGTTTGTTTTTTTGAGATTTGCAACGTCAAGAAAATAAATATTTGACGGCATTGCATTCAAGTGGCGTGATTACACAAAATCACCATAAAACAATGAAAAGGACGAGAAAATTCATAATCCAATGTCTTGCGACCAATCTGATTATTTCCTGAAAGGGATTATGTGTAGATACCCAGATCAGATGGTCACACAATTCGTTTGTTTTCCGGTCTGAAGTATATGGAAAGTTGAAAGGAATTACAGTGTAGCTCCAACACAAAAGATGCGAAGCTGTTAAGCATACTAATTTTTCCCTGATACCGTTGATTTCAACCCTCCTTCCCCTGTTAAATTTCGCACTCTGTTTTCTGCAATTTTACAACACTGGATATGGGAAGGGGGCCATTGAAGCAATCTTTCCTTCAATTTAAATTTTTATTCCTAAATGCTTTTTCAAAGATGGCTACAGCTGTGCGTAGATGTTATGTTTCAAACAGTCTGTCACCATTGATCATGAAGTGTCTCGCTGGCCTCTTCCATCTCAGTTTGTTGATTTATTCTGTCTTGGTGCTGACAAAAATTTCAGTGTTAATACAGTCGTAGAATCTAGAGAGAAATATGTGTTTGAATTTCATATATTCTTGGGCATTTAATGTATTCTTGAAGAACAATTATAACAAATTTTTAGTATAGCGCTCGGCATTTTAACTTCATAATACTCTATGTGGTCATATATATATATATATATATATATGTATGTATATATGTATGTATATATTCTAACCCCAAGTACTTTCATTACTTTCTTAACAAATTAATTCCATGTTGCTGTGCTGTTATTCAGTAAATTATATAAATCACAGATGATGTCCAAATGTGGTAAAACTGGCAGGCAAGGCTTAGTGAAATGTGTCACTGATGTTTTTACCACATTTTCATGTCTCCTGTAATCTATTACTGTACATACTCAGGACAACATAGAATCTTTTTGTTTAATATGATAAAAAAGCAAAATGTTGTTAATGCAACTATAACCTGCAATGAATAGAACATGAATAAGAACCAATTCAGAATTCAGCTTTTTACATATTACTAATGTTAATCAAACTCGTATAATGTACATTCATTATTTTTTCCCAACATCCAGACCCTTGCAGATTCAAAAGCTGTTGATAGCTCAAGAAGCATCATTTTGAAAACTACTGATTAGGAAGAGGTTTAAAATTATAAGATTACTCTGGTTCATAATTGTTGCATTTGTTTTTCTTAATTTTCAATTTTAGCTCCTCATCTAATAATTCAACCAGCACAGCCAGACAATACCTACTTTTCCTTGACGGGATCAACCTTCTTGTTGAACTGTACCATTAAAGGGGAGAATGTACATGCGTTTAATTTATCATGGTGGCACAATGGAGAACAACTATCCAGAAGTAAAACACGACAAATTGACAATGCCACACTGCAGCTGCAGTTATTGAATGCAAAAACTACTGATAATGGAATTTATTGGTGTAATCAAATTTCTGACACAAAATCTGGAGGAATAAATATCTCACTTTCTGTGGCAGGTAATAACTTATTTATAGGATTTAGAGCTACCAAATACGAGCCCACCATGTATGTAGGAAAATTTATAAGCTCCCTGCCCCACATTAGCAACCAACTTCCCCACCACACATTAGAGGAGTTTTGAAGATTACTTCTTTACTAGCTTACAATCTCTTAAGGTACTCTGTACTGTGCATTTTCACCTTTTTTTTTTGTAATAATTATTACTCTTTGCTGAAAATGGTGAAGATTGAATCAGTGCCCACTCTCAAGGTCTGTTAACTTGAAAAGTACCCAGAGCTGTTAATTGCTCTGAATACCATAACAATGCTCCTCCTCCCCCATAGGTCTTCAAGATCTATAAACTATTTCTCATATCTGATGAGGCTGATTACATGACCTCCAAGGAATGTCCCCAACCTAAATGTTTAATTGATGGGAATGTGTTCAGTACACCCAATAAGTTTGATCAGAGAACATGCCTAAAACCATGACATTCCTATGGAGACACTATGGGTGGTGGAGAGCTAACTTTCACTTGATAACCTTTTCAGACGTCCTCTATCTCAACAGCCACTATGATCATGGCATCAATGATACATTTCACACCTCACCTCTTAACCCTCACTTTTCACCTGTAACCCAAGACCTTTCCACCTTGTACCTCTTGTCCATGACCATCCTAGTCACTATTTACCCTTAATTTAGCCTTAACCCTTTACAGTACACCCTAACATCAGCATTCATATTCTCCATACTGTTCTCTGTACATTTATTAAGGTGCCGAGAAGGAGAAATTGTTCAACAATCAAGAGCTTCTTTAGTTGGTGATCATTTCCTTTATTCTCATGATGCTAATGTTTGATTCAGGGGTGATATTGTAAAGGAGAAATTCTTAGATGGTTGAGTCACTTTTAGGGTTTAAAGGGTAAACCTCTCTTCTATCACTGCATCAACCCTCTAACTCCCAGATCAAATTTGTCATTCCCCTTACTGTTGACCATACAATTCTTATAATGCTAGTTCAGAGAATTAAGCAGTAGATTAGCTAATTATTCCCAAATTTATATTTTTCTTTATTCTCATCACTTATCTGGTTGATATTAAATTGATATTGTAAGGAGAAATTCTGTCTAGGTCACTCATAAGAGTTAACCCTTACACTCCCAAGATCTCATGATTAATTCTCCTCACTGTCAGGTCAGGCATACCCCTCTTATGATGTTAGTTAAGGGAATTTAGACTTAGATCAACCTATAATCCCTGAACTGATATTTTTTTTATTCTTGTCACTAGTCTGCTTATATTATATTGAAACTGTAAGGAGAAATTCTGTCTTGATCACTCATGGGAGTGAAAGGGTTAAAGGGTTTAAATTTCCTTTGCCAGTTGGTGCTTACTCATCAGTCCCTTTGACCCCAAATAGTGATAAGCATCTTATTTCTCCTGACAGTGTTACACCTGAATCCAACATTAAGGTCATCATGAACTCAAGAAGCTCTTTACGGCTAAACAAATTTTCCTTGTATATTACAGCTCAGAGATACATGCCCTTGTGAAAAACACGTTAAAAAAAGCGCACATACATGTTTCTTTGGAATTGTATAATTATTATTACATTGAGAGAATAGTATGAAGATCTTCCATACTATTGTTAGGGTATAAAGGATTAACCCTTTAACTCCCAAGATCTGATTGTTAATTCTCCTCTCTAGCTGTTACACTTTTTCTAGTAAATTATTGAGGAGAATTCAGTGTCAGATCAAGGTGAAAACTTTGACATGACAAGTCTGAGTATTCTCATTACCTGTTTGCTGGATAATGTATATACTGGTATATTATAAGGAGAAGTTGCATTCTGGGAGTCAAAGGATTTAACTTACAGTGTGTGAAACAATGTAAGTAACCTTTTGTTCTCTTCTTATTTTCTGACTTATTTTGCAATCTTGTGTTTCCTTCAGACCCACCTAGTCCACCACGTAATTTAAAATGGAGTGCTATTGGTGCTATGAAGAGGGAAGTTCATTTGTATTGGGAAGCTTCTAGCTATACTGGTGGCTTACCAATTGACTATTCTATCAAGCTTTGTTTAAATGACTCAGTAATGAAACCAGCACTGCCATCAGCACTTACCTGCAAATGGATTGATAAATGTCATTATTTAAATGCTCCCAAAAACGAGAGACATTTATCATGCATACTGAAGGGAACTGATGATTTTATTCCTGGTTGTGGAACTGAATGTAGTTACTCCATCTATGTTGTTGCTACAAATGCTGTAGGAAGTACAACCAGTGCGATTTTCTTACCAATTGTCCACTTATTTCAAGGTAATTTTTAATATTCTTGATTCATGTCCATTGGTTAGCTATAGCTGATTTGGGTTAGGGTTAGGGTTATAATTTGGTGTTATCTTCTAAGTTGATGATGTAAATTGGCCACTGTAAAGAGTTTCTAGAGCTGAAATTTCTTGTCTTAGCTCTTCAACAGAGTCATAAAGAAGGAGTGTCATTAAAAGCTGGTTACTGACACCTGTAAGACTTGACTCTCAATGCAGTCCATTTAGCTTATAATGGATGACACAGCTGCCCATGACACCATTGGCAGCTGCTCGTGGATAAAAGGTTTTGAAACTCCTGATAAAGGAATATTGGGATTTCTTTGTTCACTCTGACGAAGGGCTAGCCATCAAAATGGAAGCTTTTGAAACTCCTTACAGTGGTCAATTTATATTTATATATAGGCCCCCCCCCCTCCCCCCCCTTCTGCAACTCCACAATGGAATATCCTTTGAAAAAATACTGTGGTGTGGACTGATATCCTTTTGTGCCGAAGGAAGAAAACAGTATGCTTATTCCCTTCATGCTATGGAAACTGTGATAGGCATTGCAACTGTCTGCCACTAAGCATGTGACAGTCTATGAATGACCTATGTTAATCAATTGTTATTGTGTTTTTATCATTGAACTTTCATGGTTATGATAGTTTTGCAAAACCATTTGACCATGCAAAATTTTTTTTACTCTTCAGCTACACCTAGGCCACCAGAAGAACTCACAGTGAAACAACTTTCAAACAGGAATCAGGAATTGAAAGTTTCTTGGGCAGAAAAAAAGGATTGGCGGTACATTGATATTGAGTATACAGTACTCTACCACACATGGGGAGACAAACACAATAAGGTTTGTTTCTTCGACACACATGTAGATTGTAAAACATTCAAAGAATTAGGGTTACTTGTGTCTTATTTGTTGTTTGTTTGTGGACATGGGGATTATATATTTTTACACATTTCCTGGTATCATAATCTAGCTATTCTGTGTTACATTCTGCACGCATGCCTATTGGCCCATCCAGCCAGAGGTTATCCCATGTAGCAGGAAGCAACCAGTAATGTTACCTCTTTCCCTTGGGTGGAATGCTAGTCCCTCACAAGGTTACTCCCCAGCATTTCATCAGTCTACCTGACAGTTCGCTTGTACTTGTTTGTACTCCTGGGTAGAGAGGGCACTGTGAGAGTTTAAGAAGCTAAGGTGCCTTCCCTAATAACACAATACAATTCGATCCGGCCGGGTCTTGGAGTTCACTGCATCTCCTATTGTTGATTTCACTTTGTTCAGATCCAACTTTATGCTCAGTGATGGCCTTTGGTGAAGAAAGGTTTCTTAAATATAAAATCAAGTTTGAGTTTGATTTTTCAAAGTTATTTTCAGCATTTTCCTCTTTTGTCTTCTTTATTTCAGACTGCTGTTGTCAAAAATAAACAGTTCACTATACTAATAGGATTGAAAGCATTTACATATTACTATGTGTACTTGAAAGTCAGATTTTTAAACGATAACTATGCCAACTCTGCGTACAGTGACATCGTAGGGCCACGTATTATCAGGACATCACCAGGAGGTAGGTCAGGTCTTTCAGTATGTATATTCTCCATACTGTTCTCTATACATCTACTGAGGTACTGAGAAGGAGAATTTGTCAAACAATCTTTCTTTAGTTAGTAATGATGTCCTTTATTCTTGTGAAGTTATTGTGTGATTCAGCTATGATGCTGTAAGGAGAAATAAGACGCTGGTCACTCTTAGGGGTTAAAGGGCTAACACCCAAGTTCAACTTCCAATTGCCAACCTCTACAGATCAACTGGCTGTATCGTCTTTCGCTATTGACTCTCTATTGACTCTCTATATTTGGGAATGCACATCACGTAGCTTATTACGGCCGTTTGATAGGTTGCAAAATAGGGGCTCCTCGCGCACGTGAGTATCATGCGCACTAGTGATATCCGTGCGGGTCCCCCCCCCCCTTCGGTAATGCCCAAGGGGTATTACAAGAGAATTTGGTTTTATCAACTGAGTTGATAATGTAAATTGGCCATGTGAGGAGATAATAAAGCTGAACTAATGTAGGCCTGAGCATCCTCCTTTGTGAAACTGACTTATATCATACACACTATATATATTTTAAATCGATTGCAGTTCCAGTCAATCCGCCTGTAGTGGTAAGGGATCGTTCAGACATCTTCCCTGGTAATTCAAGCCTCAGAAATGTAACTGTAGAATGGAAGGTAAACACAAGTGAATCTTGCTCTCGAACATTACCGACAAAATACAACTTTAACTTTAGTTGTTCACGATTTATTTAAATATTTTGACCGCCGGATGTCGAAATGTTATATATCAATGTAAAGAAAATAAATATCCTCGCCAGTGAGCTGATGAACCTTCAGACTTGAGCTGGAATCGAACCCGTGCCTCTAAGATACTCGATACATTTGAAGGCGTCACTACCAACTGGGCTACGAAGCCATATGTTGTGAACTAAACATTTTGCAGTTTATTTTTCATTCTCGTAAAGGAACCTGCTCACAGTCAAACGAAATAGACCATATTTAGACATAAAGAAATGTTCATTGCAGACGGGTTCCAATTGAAGAAATTGCAGAAAACCTCATTCATCAGTTGTGCTGTATGCCGAGTGCGATCAATTGTCATTTCTTGACCAATCAAAGCGCGCTTAGCTTAACATCGCGATCAATCTAAGCAAAAGAGATTACTCCAAACATCATAACCTCATTCTCAGGTCCTCTCTTTTCCTCCCCCGAGAAAGAAGCATACTTTCTCGAGGCAGGAAGGGACTGTCATGCATGGATGAAGAAAAAAATATAACATAGGAATCTTCCACTGTTCTTTTCAGTTGGCAGACATTTCTTCATGGCGTGGTACTCCCAGTAAATACATGGTTTTTTGTAAGCCCCACAACGTTGGCAAGGGACAAGCTCAAACTTTGGAGTACAGCATAGATGCCACTTCAAACAAGACCACTCTACCGAAACTAAACTCTCGGACCAAATATAACGTTTACCTGAAGATGTGTAACAAAGAAAAAAAGTGCAGTAACACTGGTGAATCGTACATCATCAAAGAAGTGCAAGGTGAGTGGGAAGGATAAGGGAAATATTGAATGTGTGAGACGCCTATAGACCTGCATGAAGTCTAAGAGTTTAAAAGTGATATTTTAGCTTCACGTTGAGGTATTGTACAGTTTAACCAGCATTCTCGAAAACCAACCGTTCATAAATGTGTTCTTGTACCATTTATTTTTGTTTGTTTTCGTCTGTTTTATCTTTTATAATCTTTTAATTTACTATTCTTTCCTCAGTTTCTCTGAATAATTGTACCAAGGAAAAATTTATATTTCCCAATATTTTTCACCGTTTTCCAGGGGTTATCTGTTGTTGATTTTTTACCTACCTCTTTAAATTTTAGCTTCCAGTTTTCTCTGATGTTCTCGCTTTAGTTACCCTCCAAAACCACGCATAGTCCATGTTTACTTTTTATTTACGACTTTATAATTGCACGCACTTCTGTTTAGGACCATATTGTCTCCAAGTGCACTGCTTTGTTTTGTTTTCTTTTAAATTGTACAGGCTGTTGGTCAGAAAAAATTTCTTGAAGCACGTACTTACAGTGTTATCGCTTTGTTTAGAGAAAGAAACACAATCAAACTATCAAAAGAAACTGAGTACTATACAGATAGTCTTGCTGTCCATTTCAGCGGTCATGGTTTTCGTAGCAGTTCTATGTGTTGTATACTTATTCAGGTACGCAAAATGTTTGTCAATATATATGTACCACCATCACTTGCCCAGGTTTTACTGCGTTATTGAAGGCCCTTCAATCTAACAAATAGATTCCACGGTACTGTGCGTCTGTTTAATGATAAAGAGTTTTAGATCCACGTTTGGTGTGTTTACTGCAACGTCAAACCGCGGTCAGCAGTTTGTGGTTAGAAGTTAGAATTTCCGTGACTTTCAGCTTTTTAGATCGACGTCGGCTTTCAACTGAAAAAAATCAACATGTTCACCTCCATCTTGAATGACACAAAGATGGAGGTCCTTCATTTCATACACAAAATGTAGCTAAAAGATTGGTTTTGTGGCGTCCCAAACGGATTGGTAATAAAGGAAAGACCTCACCTCACATATATTTATAGGACATAGGTGAGAACTTTCGAACAGGAAGAGAAAAAGCGTCGATGAAGTTCAAGTACCTGTAACTGCCCCGCCCGAAGTTCAAACGTGGACGGCAAACGGCGCATGTGACCGCTGGAGTCTGGTCACGTGACTCCTAGACGTTTGCGGTCACATGTATTTATAAAAAAACGTGGATATAAAACTCCCCAATAGATCACAGATGACGTTAAAATGTGGTATGTTCAATTTGGCTAAAACTAGCAAATTGAGCTTGAACATAGCCTGCGACCACGCCTTCATTATACGCCCCGCCTGGAGCAACGCGAGCCGCAAGAGGTCTGCAAGGGGAGACCTCTCCTTGACTTCTCGTGAATCTCTTCCCCTGCAGTGCGCACGGTGAGGGCCTGATCGCATGCTAACTGTATGCGAACATTAAATTTTCACCAAATTATAACATTTCCGTCTGTTAGTGAGAGTATATCAAAGTGCCGTTCGAAGGATATGGTGGTTGTTAACCACAGGATATTGTTTCAGTGTCCCTCGCCAATTTATGAACTCCAAACACCACGTTGTCTTTCGACCCAGTTTGTCTCTCGACCTAGTTTGTCTCAATTTGTTCATGTAAATATGCAAATTATTCCCTTTGTTCTTTCTTAATACTTTATTTCTTAATTGTTCAGGAAATGGCGATGTGGGGAAGCAGGAAGGCATACATCAAACTTTCAACCTTTGGGGGAGCTTATTCACATTGATGTGAGTATCTTTTATTTTGTCAGATCCTTATTTAGCTGCTTACTTGCTTCTGACCCGGTCAAGTGACACGTGGCTTTGACCTCAATCTCTCTTTAAGTTCGCCGGATTATTCGATAAAAACATATTCACTGAAGTAAGACGTGATTTCTTTTGTTTGGTTTTGCAGCCTCCAGCTAACGATTATGAATACGTCAATTCGGACGCTAGCGCCCAGGTAGAAGGGGACTACGATGAAATTGAAAAAGGCGGAAACTAGTTTTGGTAGTCAATTGAAAGAGCACTTTTCAACTGAGTGTTGGGAGCAATCTGGGATTGCACTGGTTTTGCCCGATTTGTTTTCATAGCAGTTTTAAACAAAGTGTTGAAAAACCAGAACCAAAGCCATCGCAGAAACCAATCAGAGCAAAGGTTAACATAATTTTTAGCCAATGAGAGCTCAAAGTGGAAACAAACAGACTGTTGAAGCGCGGGAAAAAGGCTAATGATTAAGTCGCGAATGTGTTTAGTTCTGTATCTGGTTGGTTGAGAGGATGGCGGGAGTTTTCTGGACCAATCACAGAGCAAAGTTTTAAAAGCGTACCAAAGTGAAACCCAAGCAGTCCGCTCATAGGATGCCATCTTCCGGCATTTCACCAATCTTTTTATCATTGGAAAGATTACTTAGTCATGCAACTGTCTGTAAATGACAATTTAACGTTAAATTAGAAAAAGAAGATGATCATTGACGCGATAGATTATGCACATTTACTAATAATTGATAGATGTACTAATAGAAAGAAAACAGCAAGAATTTTTAAGGAGGAAAATTTTAAGGAGTTATTATTGGAATAATAAGATTTCTGTGTACGCTCCTACCAAACGAATTTATTTAGTTCTGTGTTTTATTGTATTATTTTGCTTTATACAAGAATTTTACGAATGCACAGACATTTTCCTGATTGTTTGAGATCTCTTTTAGTTTATATGGGCATCTAAGCCTTGAACGTCTTTTAATCTTTCACGCGTGTTTTGGAGCTATTGCATACGAGAGGAGGGGAAAACATTTTTGCTGATGCACCTCGCAAACTTTCCTCTGTAAAGGAAGGTGTTATCCTAATATAGTATCTAGTCATCATTAATTTACAGGAATATGGATGAGAGAATTGTAACATGGGGACATATTTGTGGACATGGAAGGTCTAAAACGGTTCATGCAGAACTTCAGAATGGCTTCAAGTCTGAATAGGAAAGAATTGTTCAATAATACATTTGAAATTGTTTGCATTATTTAAGGAAACTTGTATATCTGTACGTGAGATTTGTAAAGCTGAATACTAGGTTGTCAAAAGCACAGCTACCCACAACAAGTTCTATTTATTAATGCTTATGTGTCGTGTAAATATTTTAGACCAGTAGCACATACTTTTTATGAGTGTTATTTAATATAACTTATTTGAATTATGAATTTTTGTATTTGCAATTTTGTACTTTCCCGAATCGACGATTTTCACCTGTATTTTATAATATCATAGTGCACGTGTGTGTAATAAATATATTTATTTTTATAAATAATTGCTTCACAACTCTTTTTTTTTGTGTGTGTAAGATTTTGTGTTAATGGTTTTTAACGGTAAATAGCGGGTAGATCGGGAGATCGTGATATAAAAGACAAATTCTTTTAATTTTAATCAACACAACCCTTCATTCCCTAATATCAGTACGCTCATTCTCCTAACAGTTCCCAATACATTCCCTATAGTTTTGACAAGGAGAATTTGGTTAACAATCAAGAAAGTCTCTCCATGACCTAAGATCATGATTCAGCCCCAATACTATATGGAAAAATCACGATAGTCATTCTTACTTGTTAAAGGATAAACCACAAGAAAACACAAGCAGCAATTATTGGTACTTGGTTAGCTTTGTACTTTATGCAGTTCTTCGATGAAATGGAAATTTGAGAGGAAAACAGTTTTTCTTAATAAAACGCTGCCGGTAGTCTATCCCTTGTCTCGTACTCAGACGTTTCAGCTACCGTCATACGATAGTTAGCGCGATAGTAAACAGCACGATAGTAAACAGCGCGATAGTAAACAGCACGATAGTAAACAGCGCGATAGTAAACAGCACGATAGTAAACAAACAGTGCGATAGTAAACATCGCTATCGTAAACGGCGCTATAGAAGAGGAGGAGTGAAAAAAAAAAAGCGAGGGAGGCTTGAGTCGGGTCGTATACTGAATAGACCCGACCCAAACCTCTCGTAAATCACTCCTCCGCTTTACCAACTGAGTGCTTGGAATAGGTTACACTCCTAACGTTTATTTGAAACATGGCCTAGTAATCCCTGCTTGAACATTAGGGCGGCATTTTATTGGGTGTTTTGAGTGGAGTGTCATTTGTTTTTGCACTTTTGTGATATTCAAGGGCTAATTTTTTAAAACTTTCTTTTCCGTGTCAAACCAAGCATTACTATTCTAACAACATTGAGTTTCCAAGAAAAAGTTTTGTAAAATATTTAAACGCGCGCAGGTTATTTGTAATTAATACGTATATCTAAGTGAATCCCTTAGTCCGCCAAAGTGTGAATAGCCAACTGTAACATCGCCATAAATGACTTATGAGACATTTCTCGCGACAGAAGATCCTTGTTCTTAAATTTCAAACGCGTGAACTCTTGATTTAGGTTTGCTATCTGTCTGCGTATAAAAATAGATTATGAACAAAGAAAGACGCGAAAATAAACGAATAATAATAATTATTTAAAGAGCGAAACACACGAGTACACAATTTTTGTAAGAAATTTCAAGTCCTCATTTGGGACATGAATTAAGGAAGAAAAAAAAGATTTCCACTGACTCTTCCTAAATTTTTTTCAAGAAAAGTAAGGCTGGTTACTGTGGGAATAAACATTAGCTGATGTTAATCCCCCCCTTCGTCTGTTATCTCTCACCAAATATCTCAATATGAGATACAGCTTCATTTTTATCCCTATTAACCTTTCTTAGCAACTACAGGATCACTTGCATGATTATTCGTTCCTAAAGTGCAAACTTGACCACCATTCAGGTGGAGGGAGGGGAGGCAGGAAACCTGTGAATGTGCTGATATTCTCTATATGTAGAAAATTACAAAGAAGTCGTCTGATTACTTAACTCACTTCACACATCTTTTAAATCTGATAACACTTTTGCTTTAAATAAAGACATACCTTAGTGCCATTAGCCATACCATATCTTTGATTTCCGAATCTCGTTAGAGAGCTCAGTCTTACTGTTTCCATGGTCTTGAGATATCTTTGTTTCAACTAGAGCAATTATGAAGCAGGAGGAAAACAAGAATGACATTTGAAATTGAAGTCAAAACAATAAGGAAGATGTGTTTCCTCATAACAGCTTTCATTCTGTGCAGCCTACCACAGAGACTAGCTGGGCTTGAGAGTATGTTTGCAGCAATCTAAATTTGACTCACACTCGTTGTAGGTAAATCCTAGGCAAATGCACGCAGTTATAATTGCAATGAAGATTTTATGCATTTAACTCGATTCATTCATTTTTGATTATATGTGACGTAAGATTCTGCGAGATGATCCTCGGTATTTACACCCTTCATATTGGATTGAAGCTTCTTCCTTCTCAATCACTGTTGAATCAAGAAAGTTTTGGTATAGGAATATGGGGTTTGGGAAGAATTGAGTTAATATTGCGTTTGTTTAGTATCCGGGCCGGAGACAGCGGGACAAGATAGAGTCCTTAGGACTGACTAGGTCAGGCAGTTAGGCTGATGAATTGATTGGCGCCCGTCCCCCCATTTTCAGTCAGAACCAGCAATTTTACAGAGCTTTTGTCAAGTTGTAGGAAGCAACTCAAAATCTTCGTCTGCCTTTTTCTCTTCATCAGGCGTGCGTGGGAGTTTGTTTGTTCCTTCTTATCTGCGAATTTGTGGGCGTTCGAGATAGAGCTATGATGGGGAACCTCTCTTTGGTATTCTTGGAGCATTTCGTTGATGGCCTTAGCGGGAATCGCGTACCTCATACCGGATCGGAGATTACTGTGCATTGTCACAGGGACAACAGCAATTCCTCTTGTACTTGGCTTTTTGTAAGTGTCGAGTTCCAGATCCCTCATGGAGATTCAAGTTGGAGATCGTTTTCTGTAATTCTCGCAATCTTAATGTTTGATTCAGCCGTAAAAATGTTTGGAGAAGTTAAATGCTTGTCATTCTCAGGGAGTAAAGTGTTAACTTATCGGAGGCTACATGCTTTGGTTCTTGTCATTGTATCTCGAAGGTCACTGTTTGAGACTTACTAACGGACCCACCTGACAAGAGACAAATCATTCGATTCATGTACAAAATTTTTACTTTGTCATTTACTGCTCACAAACGATTAGTATTTTTAATCTTAGACGTGACTCGTTTAAGTATCTTATTACTTACCTCAGATTGATACTTCATCTGAGACTCCTAGTCACAATTTTCTTCATGACAGGATTTCTCCAGAATCTCCTCGCTGGCTGATTGTGAAAAGGAAGATTAGGAAGGCTAAGGACCTCTGCATGAGTATTTCCCACGTTAATGACAAGAACATTCCAACGGAGGAAATCAAACTTGAGGAAATACACGAAGAGACAATGGAAGACATCCGGGATTTGTTTCTTTGACGAAAGATGGCTGTTAAGACCTTGATCACGAAGAAGAAATATTCAACTCGAAAATAATCATCATCATCAATTTTTTCTTTTTTTTCAGATACGAGACTTTTCCATGTTATTTACTGGTGATGGAATCATATTCTAGGTCTAAGAACGTCTCACTAGGGCTTGCAGATAACATGTTACCTCCTCCTCACCTCTCCAAAGTTTCACTTCGGTAGAACTACCAAAGACAGTAAACTCAATCACTTCAGGCTTCACAGTTCCGCCATTGACCCTTTAACCCTTATGAGAGATATACATCTTATTTCTCGCAACAGTATCCCCCCTGAATCACACATTAACGTCATGAGAATAGAGAAAATGATCGCGAACTCAAGAGGCTTTTGATTGTTAGACAAATTCTCCTCGTAAGAATCATAGGGAATTTATGGTGAACAGCATGGAGACCTTGAATATACTCTTGGCGATTGAATTTTTTGAAGATTGGCTCGTTCAAATTTCCGCCGAATGTGAAATAAATCACTTCTAGGTTTGGACGCAAAAAGGGCATTATCATTCCCATGATTCTTACCGCTATCGGTGCTGCCGTCTCCGTTCTCTTGACAACAGATGACGGATCCAACAAGGGTGAGTTTAACTCTTGTTAATGGTGTTCAAGATTGATTGAAAGCATGTACATTCCCACTAACAGGAAAATTTCTGTGCTCCATCTATTAAGTAAATTTCAAAAAGCTGTCAGTTAATATCAATAATAGAGTCAGTCCTTGACTTTGCAAAATGTCTTCAAGGGAGTTTTTTACTTCATTGGTCTTTTAAACAATCAGTATTGTCATTTCAACAGGATTCTTTGCCGCTAAAATAATTATGTCGCTGGTTTGGGCTAAGTTTTGAATAATGATATCGTACAATGGTCTTGTTTTGTATTCAGCAGAGCTTTTTCCTACGGCTACTAGGTAAGAGTTTGTAGGACTAGCCTCCATCGTAACTACTAGACTTTCAAGCTATCGATTGATGCCACAATCATTTAAAAAATAGTTAAGTGTTTTGAAAATTTCATCCATCTTTGTCAAGCCAAGCAAAGTTTTTCGGGGCGAGAGCGTTATCTGGTATATCGAACATTCAGAATCTCTTCGAATTCGAATCTATAAGGATCTCTATTTAACAAGCGCGCGTTGGGTATCAGATGATGGATAGCCAACGAGGTCCGTACGCCGAGTTGGCTGTACCCATCTCATATTTATCCAACAAGCTCAAGCGGAAAACACCCCAAAATACAGATAAGTCTTCTCAACTTAATTTTGTAAGAACAAACGGAATGTATCATTGTACAAAACCACTTTCGGTTTAACGTGTCTTCATGCGCGCGCATGGTATAATAGCTCATAACCCACGGCGGCTGAGCCAATGAAAACTCTTGAATTGCATTATTCAATGATACAGTTTTTAATAATTTTGGTTATAATTAATCGACGCTTTTAAATATTTATTCTTCACTTCAGAAATATTGCATCGGGAACATCGATAGCTGCGGCTGGTATTGGATCGCTGAGTTCTCCATACATTATATGCACGGTAAGCCATATTTCGTTTCCGTTAGCGGTTTTTTCTTTCTCTCATACGCACCCATAAAATCAATGATTTACTGATCGTATCGGCGTCCTTAAGGTCGTATAAGTCGCGACAGAGAGTTTTGAGGAGCTGACGAATTGTTTGTTAGCCCTTCGGCGAAACAAAGCTCATTGACCTACTGATTACTTCAATGAAAAGCCCTTCATATTATACCATCAGCGTGTATATTCCCCATACTGTTTTTTAATACACTATATAGCGTTCACAAGGAGATTTCAATTAAAGATCAAGAGCTTCATTTTTAAGTTTGCGATTATTTTCT